TTAAACTTAAGTATTTGTATTCAACATAAATAGAATTGTATTCTTAAATTAACATTATATTAAGTTGATATTTGATATTTGAATATTTTGATTTAATTTAATAGATTCAATTTTGATAAAAGAATCAATGTTATTAATATTTAAATTAGATGATTCAAATTAATCAATAATTATATTTTAAGCATTCTAAATAATAATTTAAGATCTATCTTATTAAATTAAACAATCATAAATGATATTAATTAATTAAATACTTTATAGAAAAGCACTTTAAAATAAAAGTTATTTGATATTTCCAGTCTGAATAGGATTCAATTTGATACCATCAAATTAGACATTTTTAAAATTGATAATAGATATACTTCTCTCATATTGAAATGTTGTAAATCCATTTCCTTATATTAATAGTTCAACATTACTTAAATATTAAATAAAAATACATGGCAGAAAAGATATTCTAACTGAATTTTTATTGAATACTCTTATTACCAGTTATAATACAAATTTGACTTTCTTGACTTACAATCTTAATTGAAATATTTTAGATAACTTTTTGATTAGCCATCAAATAAAATTATTGAGTTTCAAACTAATTTAATATTTATAAATATATATACTTCTTTAAAACTAGATGATGAAAATAAATCAGTAATTAATATATTCGATTATTTAAACTAAATTATTTATTCCTCTTAATCTAATTCCATCAATGCTCTATTGAATTTATCATTATCACAAAATAAATTTAAATTAATTTCCATCTTCTTTATACATAAATTTGATACACAATCTACATATATACCCAAAGATTAATCAAATATTCCCATATATCCCCTTAAACATTAATTTGATGAATATGAAAACTCTTGACTATCAAATAATGGATTAATTTAGGAAATTTCTTATTAATTTCTTTAACGACACAATGAACAATTAATAGGACAAATAATACATTGATTGTTATCTATACTTAAATTTCTTCCTTTAATTGTATTTGGACATTTAATACAAATATTAATATTATCTATTAATGCACATTCAAGACAATTCTCAGGACACTTTAGTATACATTAATTATTTTATAGTTCATATCCTGATTAACAATTTGAACATACTATTTCATAATCTTCCTTATTTGGACTTGTTCCATGTTCACTAAATGAATGAGTTTAAAAGTTATCATCTATTTAAGTTTTATAAAATGGACGAATCTCAGTCTTCCAATCATCTTTTGAGTATTTATTTTATTAATAACACTTTTAACAAAATAGATCTGGTGGACATGGTTCACATTATCCTGTTAGTTTATTGGCAAAATATCCATCTTCACATTTTAAACATAAATAAGAGATTTCACCATTCATCTAACCAAACATACATAAATAGCAATTTTAATTAAATCCAGAGCATTATTAAGTAAATGATATAGGACCTTGATCAAAGGATGAACTTGTATCAATATCTAGTGTTCTAGGTCCATATAAACATGCCCATGAAATTATATCATCAGGTGTGTAAATACAATAATCACATTCAGGATACTCTGTAAATTCACAAGCATTAGTATTTACATTATAACAATATATTGAATCACATTTAGCACATTTAGTAATAACCTCTCCAACATAAGGTACAAAGTCATAATCAAATGAATTAATTATTTTATTATCTACAGATGATTCAAATGCAATTATACAGTTTTCAATTGTATTTTCAATGCAATCAACAGCATTTAATGATAAATAATACTTATAATCATCTACACATTTTAAACATTTCAAAAAAGGTTTATTAAATAAATAGTTCATTTATTATTAACAAATAGAACAATTTAATCCACATTTTAAACATTCTGCACCTACTGGTTCATATGTTGATGGACATGAAGTACATTAAAGATTTTCATTTTCCATTTTACAAGTTAAACATAAATTTGGACATAATTCACATTATTAATCTCTAGATAGGTAATATCCATTTTTACATTTCTCACATATAAATTATTATTATTAATTAGTTATTAAACATGCATAGTTTGAAAATGTACACTAATTATTTTAGAAGTAATGATTTTATTTACAAATTACATATACTTAGTCAGATAAATGAGTTTAAAAAGCAATTTAAAAACAATCAGGTAATTCATCTTCATTATTACAAAAATCTTATGCTCCTTAAATCAATTACAAATTATTATCTTAATTAATCACATATAGATCGTAATCTAAAGGTGATCTTACTGATTTCCTATATGCATCTTCATTAATTTATCTTTATTATGTAATATAATCAGTTGTACATATTGGCTTTAAATACCAACTTATAGAATTGAATAGACAATCAACACATAAGAGATCTGAAGTAGATTATTAAGGACTATGAGATTTATATAGAAAATTACCATTTAATGCAACTTTGGATTTGAGGAAGCATAAAATATCCAAATTAACATGTTTAAACCTATGGATCTTAAATAATATCATAATAATTTAATGTTGGATATATTGTACTGAATTATAAACATATTTTATCTTTTTCCAAATATCCATCTTTACAAATACATTCATCTTTATCTTCCATTAATATTCTATTTTAAACATCAGAACAAGTAATACAATTATTTTCTAGGGGTCCATTACAAGTGGAACATGTATAATGGCATTCTAATAATAATAATAATATTATGTTACAATAAGTGAAATCCTTATCTGAATCATAATTATATGTAAATTTAAAGTGTGAGAGTTATCCCTTTAATTTTCTTACATTTGTCATATCACTACCAAAAATGGCATAATATTTAGTATTAATGAATAATCCTTAATTAGGATAATTTCCAAATGAATCTTAATCCATATCAAGATTTCCTGCAAAGTATTTTATTGTTAATAAAGTCTTTGGTCCTGATTTTCTTCCATATTCAAATTATATATAATGCCATGATGTTAGAGCATCCAAATATATATAAGGAAATTCATCAATATAAAGCCATGAATAAATTCTTGTATCTGGTATGACATTTTATTATCTAACAGGAATAGCATAATGAATAGAATCAACAAAATAGGCAGAATACTTAGGGTTTATTCTATTCAATTAGGCACTTATCTTCAATATTTCATCACCCATATATAAATAATTACCATAATTTTAATTTGTTGTTAATCGAAGCAGCAAATATTAAATTGTTTATACTGCATCTATAGAGTCATACTTTACCCATCCAGATATACAAAATCTTTTACCTACCTAATCAATACTAAATATTTATTATGAATCTCCTGTGAATGTAAATAATTATGGAAATAATTCTACTGTTTATTCTCCTATTACTTCTTATGGTATTTAACAATTAGTTTCCACTTCCTCAAATTTTTATTCAGAATAATCTGTAAATTACATCAACTTTGATAATCTCCCTCTAAATATTCCAACTGTAAATACATCTATCTATAAATAATACAATTATATTTATTTACATATCCAGTTCCTCCTATTATAAATTTTACTTTATTTAATTCTTGTAATATATCTCCAATATTATTATTTGTGACATAATTACTTGTCTAGAAAATCACTTATTTTTATTGAATTGTTATCATTGTTAATAACCAAGTACCTTCATATTCTTTTGGATCATATTCAAAGCTATAAGTACTAAACCCTGGCCAACCCCAATTATCTAAGTTTTCAACTCTTAATCTATGAATAACTGAATCCCCATCATCATCAAGTACTGCATACATGAACATCACTACTCTATCATCATCAAGAGACTTCAACAAAAACATCAATTAATATCGTCTTGTATCTGAAGTCGCTTATTATTCTACTTGTGGGTAACTTTTCACTTTCCATAGAGGAATAGAGAAGCTCCAAAATGCAAATGTTTAAGAAGGGCTTACCTAATCAATTATTGTCTCTTGTATTGGATAGTGTTCACTAAGTAATGAATCTTCATAATTGTTAAATGGGCAACAAGACCCTAATCCTAGAAACAAGATAAATGAAAGAAGAATTCTGAATTTGAATCTACTGAGATTTTGTGAATTCATTACAATTTCTTAACTAATTATTTAATTAATTATTGAAGACATGATATGAGCTAAGTTAAGTAATAAAATTCTTATTAGTTAAAATTTATTTGGCTTTCAATATGATAAGGATTACAAATATAATAAATAAATTAATTTTTAATTTTTCTTACAATTAATAGTGTTTTTTATTTCATTATTCATTGCTAAGAATTTACTATTCTGTTATTAATAAATGATTAATATCTATATTTTAATTTTTCTAGATTTTAGTTTTTTATTAGCCTCTTAATTACATACGTTAAATATTTATAAGATAATCAACAAATTCAGTTCATTTTTAACTTAAACAGTACTATTTTTAAATATAAATACTTAGATAATTTGTTATTAAGATTAAATGATATCATTATATTATAAACTAAATAAATATGAATATTATAATATTTTCAAATTATTTTCATATGCATCAAAATTGAAGAAAAAGCAATTGCTAATATTTCATATTGTAATTATAGATATTAAATATTTATATTAATCAATAGATTAATAATATCTTTTTGTGATATCTTTATATAATCTATTATAAATATTCTCCTAAAGTAAAAAAAAGTGTAAAAACAAGATTAATTTTTATTTAATAAATATTTTCATAAAATATTGAAAAGAATATATTTTTTCATTTGTAACATATATATATTACATTAAATATTATTATAATACATAATATAAATACTACTATTATCCTTAAATACTATATAAGTATATAAGTGAACTAAATCATATAAAAATCAAATAAATTTAGTTCAATATTTGTATGATATTAATAATTCAATTATTATTATATATTTGATTAGATAAATAAAATGAAATTCATCATTAATATAATAATCTAATTATTTAATGGATATATTTAGGAAAACTAAAAAAAATAAAAACTTATTTATAAAACACTGTTAAATTCTTTCATTATTTTTTTTGTAAATTTTTTTTCTTTGTCTTATTCTTTTCTTCTTTAATTAATTAATCTATTTTATTCAAATGACTATTTTTATCTGGAATCTTTTCTTCTATCCTTACACCTACTTTATATGAATAAGGGTCAATATTGATTAAATGTCTTTTTCTATCATTCAATAATTGAGTTTTATCTTTTTTTAACACTAATTAGGTGCCAATGATAGACTCATCAATAACCTCAATCTTATTATTTTAATCATCAATTAGGATGCCATCACATGAGGTATTAAGATTGAAAAAATCAAAATTGCTATTGATATAAAAAAAGCCTTGTTAAATGGAAGATTTGAATTTTTCTAAAGCTTTTTCATAATTCTTGAGCTTTTTATTGTTGTTGCTAAAAGTAAAGGCCATATATTCTTTATCACATTCAATCTCATTGAAATCTTAAAAGTTAATTATTTATCCATTATCCATCCCTGAAGCTGCTAATTTTTTTTATTTGTAATTCAATATATAAATAAAATCATTTATCAAGCGAAAAATTCTAATTCATATCAACAAACTTCTCGAATACTTGATATATGAACTTATCATACAGATCCTCTTAAATCATAGATTATTGAATACTTTCTTTGGTGAAAGTAAATGAAATGAATAAAGAATAAATAAATTATCAAAATCTCTTAAGTCTTAATCATTAAGCAATTTAAATATGAAAGGAACATATAATTTCTTTTGCATAATATCCTTCAATTTTAAATCTTGAAAGAAAGGATGAAATTTAATTATAATTCACTCCATCAAATCATCAAACTTTAAGTTAATGAGAAGATTATGATAATCATTAATACAATATTTTTAAGTATTTTTCGATCAAATAGGAGGCACATTTGAGATGGGAATGTGAATTAAATGTTCCTCTCTAATCTACTTAGAATCATATATTGCTTTTTTTATTAATAAAAAGAGGGAATTCCTTTTAACATTACATAAAAAAGTCTGCCTAAGGAATATAAATCAATAGATTGATTATGTCTCTATTGATTTCAATACCATTTTTAGAGTCAATTGCTAATTTAAATTCACCACACTAGAATTTAGTCCAAGGTTCTTGAATTTTCCTAAAAAGCTTCAAATGATAAATTAGTTCTCCCTCCTAACGATTATATGTGACTAATTCTAATTTCATTTGAATTTAATAATAATATTATTTTGAATTATCAATTAAGGAAAATAAAAATTTTTAAAATAATCATTAATAATATCTAATTCTACCTCCATATTAATTAAATACAGTATCAACTCTATGTAATGTTTATTCAAGTTAAGAGTAACTTGAAGAGAAATAATTATTGTATTAAAGTGTCTAATTTCTTAAATTTGATTAATAATTTTAATTTTCTAACTTATGTTGTTTGTAATGTTCTCTTAAATTTTCCATATAATCTATATCTAAATCATATATACTTGAATCAAATAGTTGTTTTGGTCTATCTTCTCTAACCAGATCGAAACCTTTTCTATATTTTTAATGATCATAAGTTTATGGTTCTTTCTATTAAACAGAATCTGTCTTCTCATATAAATATGTATTAGAAACAAGAAATATAGGAGGAGATATAAGATTATATAATTACTTTTAAGTTAAGTAGTCTTATTTTTATTTACATTTCAAAATCTTTAATAATCCTTAGAATTCTTCATTACTAAAATGAAATCCATATTATTCAATCAGATCTCTAATTGAATCTTCTGATAAATATCCTGTCTTTTTTGTTGGATATTTAGTACTAATAACTTTCCAAATTTCATGAATATCATAATAGACCCATTAATGTAATTCATATTTTAATTGATTAAGCTCTCTTATTGAAATAATGATTCTTTCAAAAAATCTCAATATAAATTCCCTATTCCATTCTGTCATTAATTGATTTGTAGTCTCTTTAACACTTTATATCATTTGATCTTTATATGATTATGGTAATATGAAATTGATAAATTCTTTAAATTCAATATCATCTTCTTTAAAACAAAATGAATAAACATATTCCCATTCTTTAAATTAACAATTTACTTTGCCTTATGTAAGAAAATCATGAAATTTCTTCTTTGTAATGTAACCTCTTTTCAATTAATCAATTGATTAGAATGCTAAATGGATATCAAAATGATGATGTTGTGTTTCAGCGATTCTATAATTTTCAATCTAAGATATGGATAGTAGATTTCTACATGAATTTCCCAAGAAGCAATAGCTTTTAATAGATGTGCTAAATCTCTTTCAATTTTTTTATTATTAGTCTTAATAGTCGTTATCATAATATATAATATAAATATATTAATAGGATAACTAATGTAAGTGATAAATAATTGAAATAATATAAATTATGTATAAATTAAATACAATACAAGGACATTCATTTTTTAATTTCCAGGCTCCATTAAATTACTTTTCAAAAAGAAAACTCTTTTAACTGGCTAATGAAATAAAACCAAGAAAAAGAGATTCTCTAGGTAGAGTAATACTTTCCTCATCTCTACCAAAAGGATTCTGGTTTAGAGATTATGATTAAGTTAGAGTGGTTAATAAAAAATTAAGAGAAAATCGTCCTAATAATCATAGAATACAGAATCCCATTTATTTTAAGAGAAAAGATATTCAAGATTATTTATTACACTACACAAATAAAGCAAGTACACCTGATCCATCTAGAAAATGGAGAAAATATCGTAATTTAATATTAGAAAATAATAATCATGTTTAAATGTCAAGAGAGTAAATAAAATAAAAATTTTAAGACACTCTTAATTTATTAATTCCTAATAAATAATCATCACCTCCAAAAAGTTAACGTGGATCATTTATGTATTCGTAATAATAATAATGTTTATTTGACATTCGAACAAGTTAACCATCCAAAATTAAACATATAAGTAGATAAGTATCAAATAAAAAAGATGATAGTGTAGGATCATTGGATAGACATTTTTAAGATATTAATTGTGAATAAAGCAATTTTAATCATTCCTATATACAAGATAAAATAGTTTCATCAAATTAAATTACTCCTAGAAATAGATTCTTCAAAGATTGTTTCAGATTATATGGAATAGATTCTTAAATATAAGCACCAAAAAATAAATTGATTTTTACTGATTCTGTATAATTAGTGGAATCTTTGGAGACTAGATGTGATAAAAATGAAGGTATTTAAAGTTATCGTGAAAAATCTAATTAAAAGTAGAATAATTTATTAAATTTAATTAAGAAGTAAAGATAAAAGAATTTATAAACTAATAAGATTGTATCTCCAAAATATACTAAATTAAACACATCAAACCCTAAAGATAATAAAATTGTTAATATTTATTTTCCATCTCTCAAAAAAATCAATGTAAGAGATCTTTCTTGATTGTATTTATATATATTTATATATACTTCAATATATTATTATTAAAATATTTGTTAAATACAACAGTTAATGAAATAATAATAATATTAACAAACCTAGGGTATACGTGGTTACTCACCTGCTACAGCTCCATAAAATATTCATCCTACTCATAATAGTAATAAATATTCAATTAATTCTTAGATTTGCCTATTTCAAATTAGTTTAATGAAGAAATTTAACATAGAATAAAACTCAAATATCAAGAATTAGGATTAAAACAACCTTTATATCCACAATAAACATAAATTTTAACATCTGAAAATGGTATCTATAATTTCAGAAAAGTATTCGATCCAGTAAGAGATGGTCGACCTGAATTCTTAATGGACCCAAGTAAATATATCATTATTATTGTTAGAATATATGGATCAACTAAAAGATTACAAAAATAAGTATTTAGCTCCTAGTAGAAACTATGATTTATAATACAGAAATCCTTCATTAAATATCAAAAATCATGACTTTTATTTTTAAGATTTCTATATGAATCTATATGAATAAGATAAAGAGGAGATCTTTTTTAATAAATATGGAAAGAAATTTGTTTATCAAGAATGATTTATATAAAAATATTGAATTCAACTTTTAAACATATCTAATTACAATAACTAATGATATATTAATAATAAATACTTCTTTTGCTGTAGCTCTTTGATATGGATCAACCACAAAAATACGAGACAATAATTTTAAGATATCACGATCTTGATTTGTTATATTAGATTCATTATTTCTTATTTTCTTAAACAATTCTCTTTCATTCTCTCCTTTGAATGGGAAACTACCTTATAAGAGAGCAACTAACAGAACACCAGTAGCCCATATATCTGCTGCTCTTCCATCATATTTCAATTTAGAGACAACTTCAGGTGCCATATAACTAGGTGTACCACAATGACAAGTAATAGGTTAATTAGTAAATGTACTAAAACCAAAATCTATTAGTTTAATTCTTTTATTTTGTATAAGTATATTTTCTAATTTAATATCTCTATGACAAACATTCCTATCATGTATATAATGTAATATTTTAAGTAATTAATGAATAATATGAAGTGCTTATTCTTTGGGTATGGTTCTTGTTGAAGTTGATTTAAGTAATTGATATAGAGATTCAGTTCCACAATATTCCATTACTAAATTTATATAGGTAGTATAATGATAGACATCATATAGTTTAGTAATTTGATCATGAGATAGAATCCTGAGAGTATTAATTTCTTTGATAAGATTATTAAATCTTTCACCTTTGAGTAATGACTTATCATACATTTTGATAGCAACTTTATTACCATGACGATCAGTTCCCATTTTTACTATTGCATAGCTACCTTTTCCAATTATAGGTCCAATTTAATATATTTTATCATCACAAGTAGATGGTATTTATTTATATAGAGAGTCTTAATGATTAGTGGAATCCTTAGCACTCAGATTGCCTTAGATTCTCTTTCTTTATATTTTTGAAGATAGTCTTAATTATTGTTGATTAGTGTTATTAGTTATTGTATTACATTATTGACTTTCTTTAGTACTTAGATATCGTTATTCATTGTTTGAATTCTTAGTGTTGAAGTTGTCTTCAAATTTAGCTAATTCTCTTCCTCTACTAGGAGTTCTAATTTTGAAGTAGGTAGTAAGATTGTTGAGTCTATAATTTGTTAATCTGGATGGAGGAGGTTTGGATGAATTATCAGGGAGGTTTTCTTTGTTTTCAATTGAACGAAGACATTCTCTTGGAGGTTTACGTATATTCATGAATCGGTTAATAATTAAATATAAATTGGGAGTACATTATAAAAATAATAGTTATACAAGTATTATATATATAACATCTAATTTTGGAAAATAAAAAACATTAAATAGAGAGCATATGATGATAATTATATTAATAATGCGTCAGTGATTAAATAATAAGAAGAAGTGTTTATAGTGAGAGAGTCATTAAATATGATAAGAATTCAATAATTGGGATAGCAATTTAATGCAACCAAGTCAACATTGACAATATAAGATTCAAGATCAGGAAAGAAATATGAAATTCCAATTTCTAATAATTTTATTAAAGCAAGTGATCTTGAGAAGATAAAAGATGAAAAAGGTTCAATTATTCGTTCTTATGATCCTGGTTATATGAACACAGTTAATTGCGTACATTTTGCATACATAAAAGACATCCAAAATTAGTTTTATAGATGGAGACAATGGTATACTAGAATATCGAGGTTATCCCATTGAACAATTAGCTGAAAAAAGTACTTATTTAGAAGTAGCCTTTTTACTTATCTATGGTGAATTGCCAACTCAATTGCAATATGATAAATGGTGTAAAAAGTATGCAATTATTTATTATTTTATTTCAGAATCTAAACTCATACATTTGTCCACTAAGATCTTTATGGACTCTTGTCTCAATTTAGATATGATGCACATCCTATGGGCATGGTTATTAGTTCACTTTCAGCTGTTAGTACTCTACATCCAGAAGCCAATCCAGCTTTATCAGGACAAAATATATATGCAGTATTATTTAATCTTAAAATAGGATTAAAAATCTAAAAACAAATAAATTCATAGAATGATTGGATCTATTACAACTATAACAGCACTTGCATATAGAAATAGAATTGGAAGACAACCAAATCAACCTCATTAATAATTAGGATATGTTGATAATTTCTTATATATGATGGATAGACTTAATGAATCTAATTATACTCCACATCCAACTATTACAAAAGTCTTAGACATTTTATTCATTTTACATGCTGAACATGAATTGAATTGTTCAACTTCTGCAGTTAGACATCTTACATCAAGTGGTGTAGATATCTATACAGCTATTGCTGGAGCTGCTGCTGCACTTTATGGTCCTAAACATGGTGGTGCCAATGAAGCAGTTTTAAGAATGCTTGAAAAAATTGGATCTAAACAAAATATTCCTTAATTTATAGAAAATGTAAAAAATAAAAAAGCTCTCCTCTTTGGATTTGGACATAGAGTTTATAAATCATATGATCCAAGAGCAAAAATTGTTAAATAATTAGCTTACTAAGTTTTTGATTTGGTTGGTAAAGATCCTTTAATTGAAATTGCATTGGAATTAGAAAACATTGCCTTAAATGATAAGTATTTTAAAGATAGATCACTTTATCCTAATGTTGATTTTTATACTGGAATCATTTATAAAGTAATTCATACATTTATATTTTATAGGCTCTTGGATTTCCTACTGATATGTTTCCATTATTATTTGCTATCCCAAGAATTTCTGGATGGTTAGCTCATTGGTGTGAATTTCTTGATGATCCTGAAAATAAAATAGTTAGACCAAGATAAAATTATTAAGGATATAAAACTAGAGAATATGTTCCTATTGATTAAAGGAAATAGACAGATGCTTATATTCATGCTTCATCAACATCATTCTCAACAAGAAGAAATGTTTCTGTTAAAAAATGAATATAAAATTAAATTATTATTCATAGAATTTATATAAAATTAAATTTAATTAAATATATTACTAATTTACACTTAAGTTTGCATAAACATATCTTTTACATAATCTTATTAAATATCATAATTAAAGTTTATAAGCAATAAATATGATACAATATTTTAAATATTTGAATCTCTACTGATTCTATTACTATTTTCTCTATAATTAATAAAGATATATATATTTGTTATACATTTGATTAATGATAAAATACTATATTATATTTATTCATTCTAATTTCATGTTGAATAGTTCTATTAGTTCCTCTTACTAATTGTAAAGTAATTATTGTAAATTTAAACTAAATTCTTCAATTTATATATATAATTCTTAATAAGCAACTATTGTTTATGCAAAAGTTAAATTGAAAATTATAGAATTAAATTTTTAGCCACATTCATAAGTCATCTTATTTTCATTTTGAATATTCTTTTTCTATTTTCGAAATACACTTTCAATTTTAGTAATGTTTTTACAATTAATCAAAATATTTATATTAATTTATAAGATTGATTTATCTAGCATAATTTTATATTTTCCAGATTACATAATAATTTAATTGTTGAATTCTAAATTTACAATTATTAAAGTGTTATTTATTGAATTAGAATCATCTTTCTAAGTAATTATTACTGATTTCAATCGAATTGGAGTAAAAATAGTTTTATATTACTTCTTTACAAAAAATTCTAGACTGGCACATGGTGCAAAAACTGCAGGGACTACAAATATTCATTTTAATGTTTACCATAATGAAAAATGGAATAATCAAATGTTTAATCAGAATAAGTTTAAGTTGTTTCTTTTACTAGATGAAATTTATTGACAGGAGTATATTGAAATCCGTAATAAGTAGTTAAAAATTGATAAAAATTTCCCTCAATTAAATTTAGATTAGAGATATGATAAGCAGTAGGTCCAGTAGGATATTACATTTTTTAATATGGAAAAGCTTCATCAATACCTACTAATATCTAATAGCCAACTTAAATTAAATTAGTAAAGTCTTTGGTTATTTCAACAGTAATGCTATTTTCTGTGATTTCTGCTATCTATTTATGATTATAAGATTTACAGAGATTTCAAAATTTACAGGTGCTTTGCATCCGAAGCTAAGAAGGGATAGAACAGCATTTTATGCATTAATATTTTTAATTGGAAAAGTATTTTTTATTGGTGGTATCATATTAAAGCTATTTATTATTTGAATTCTTTAATCATCGAAAGCTACGTAAAAATAAATAATTTTAGTTATTGTTCCAAAAGTTTTGTGAATTTGAATAGCAAAACCTAATATTACAAATTATAGATAACCTTAAGTAGTTATGCTTTTTAAATCACAATAGAATTAAATTCCTCCTTAATCAAATTATATTGTTTGTATAACTAAGAATACTTAAGGTGGGTTTTGAAAAATTCCATTAAATTAAACAGTACAAAATAAGGATGGGTTTTATTGTGATACAATAATTATAACTCCAGAATCATAAAGTAATTATGAGAATGTTATGATAGGAATTAAATAACTCAAATAAATATAAATCATATTAATTAATAATACTAACATGAAAATTTAATTTCTGAAAAATAAAAGGAATTGCATATTATATATTTTATAATTGAAACAACTTAATTAATTAATCATAACGAGAATCTCAACACAATAGTCCTTAGATAATAATGGGTTTGAAATAGATAGTTTTAATTTAATCGATTTTAGGTGAGGGTTTAGTTTAAATAGATAATTATTCTAATTAATGATTCATAGAATCAGATTTATATGGTCTAAATGCTGATTTATTAGGTACTTGGATATATGATTTAATAATTACATAAATTTGCATAGAATGCAGTTGGTTATTCTTCTTTTTCAGAATCATCATAAATTTGAGTCATCTTGCGTGATAGTTTTTGTGTTTATTTTATTAATTTAATATGCTTAAATGAATTTTGATTTATATTGGAATGAGTTTATAATTAAATTAAGTTCGACTAATTGTAAATTTAAATTTATACATTTTTGAGCACTTCTTTTTTGATTGCATAAACTAGTTACTTTAATTATTTAAGTACTAGATTTGTTGGAGCGAAGGGATAATTTCTAAGAATAGAAGGTTTTCTCATAATTAGAAATTAATATGTAGTGTAAATAATCTTTGCTCCATTCTATTCTTACATAACTTATTAAGGTGTGATTCTCTTGAGGAGAGATTTTAACTAAAAGTTTAATAAGAGTATATACCTCTTCAATCAATTAGTCTTCATTCTTTTGCATAATTAATTATGAGAGTATTCGTTAGAATTCAATATTATAAGTGACTTGATGTGTTTTTGTAACAGATTTAATTGCCTTGATTTATTGCTCATTCAAGTAGAGTCTTAAAATTAATGAAAGTGATATACTTCTCATTATTTGATGTTTGAACTACATATTAAATAGGTGTTTTATTTGTGAATATGGTAATGATCTAAGATATAGACTTGATGTATTTACAACTCCATTTTCCCATAATGATTAGGTTTAACATAATTGAAATTATATCGACTGATTTATTTCGAACTGTGGTTCCATTAGATTTTGAATTTGAATAGTAAAATAATTAATATTTTAATAACGATTTTTATAAATATTTTAGTTTGTATGAATTTACCAACTTCAATTTTTCATTTCAGTTAAGAAAACAATTCTTAATTAATTGAAATTCTTTAATGTTTGTAATTTACACATTACATAATTGATTTGAATGTAATAGAATTAAATGTAATATATATAGATGATTCTAACATCTCCTTTGCATTAAACAATAAGTAGTTCAACTATTATTTTAGATTAAGTATTACCTACAAGATTGGAAAAGTATTTAATATAATTTACTCTAGCTATATGATAATAAACATTTAACAAGATTAAAATATTACAAATTACATATCAAATTTGTCACTCAATGAATTCTTTAATCAAATTCAATATGATTAAATACTACAATTTGCAAAACCTCTGGGTAATGATATGTAAATAGTTTAAGCTTAGTGATCCAACAAAAAGAACAAAAATAATACTAAACTATAAACACACAATCTGATAGATAAATTGGTTTTTAATAAGTAATAATTACAGAATAATTAAAGATAAAAACAAATGGATTGTTAACTAATTAGATTTTCAATAGCAAGATCAACAATACTAGATCAATTAGTCCATAACCTATTAGTACAATTAATAATAAGACTCAATCTAATACATTATCTCAAATCCCTATTATACCAACACAATCCTAAATTATAACAGATTAATTTATGAACTTAAATCCAAATTTATCAAATTTTAGTAATAATAGTATAATTAATGATAAACCATAAACCCATTAATAGAAGTATTAATTAAATAAATGGACTGATGAATCTAAAGAAAAATTGTTTCAAGATAATTTTATGATAAAAGAAGAAATTACACAATAAGTTGAATTAAATAAAATAGTAATTAAGAAAAATGAAGATCCTTAATTTTATTAATAATTCAAAAAGGCATCTCCAAAATTGAAATAAATTAAGGGGTCAGGATTATCACCAGAATCATATCATTTAAATAAATCTAAATCTCCAGAAGTTGTACAAGTAAATCTGAAAAATCATTTTAAAAAATAGGAAATTACTTAAAATAATGAATAATAATCATAAGCTATTAACAAATTACCTTAATAATTTAAAAAATTATAATGTGACAATAGTAAAAGATCTAATATTAGTAAACCTTTTGAATAAAATAATACTAAATTTGCTGTTATTTAATCTAGTAGAACTGCTTAATAGAAAAATACTAGATTACTCCAATAATTAGCATTCCAAGATTCTAAGAATGAAAATCAAATGAAGATTATATAAAGTGAAAAAACACTCACTCCTAGAATAAATGAAAAGGATTATAAAGATTTTTAAATAATGTTTAATGAATAATAATAATAATACTCTAAAAGTAGAAGTCAAAATAAAAAATAAGATGAATAATATAATGATAATATTCATCATCAGAGTTAGAATATTAAAGATTAGATTATTATTAAACCTTAATTTGAATTGATTAAATAAGAAATACCTCAACAAAACATCTCATAAAAATTAATAGAATCAAAGTCTATTAGAGGAATTTCACCTTAAAATAAATCCATTCCACAATAATTTACTTTCATCTAATAACCTCCAATACCACCATTATAGAAACCAATATAAATAAAAATAGACATCAAATAATTCATGAATACTAATTAAAAAAAAGATTAATAGCTATCTATCAGTCCAATATATAATTAAAGATAAAATATAGGTAATATATAAATTAAATTAGAAGTGACTAATGAAAATGGGAGATCTTATTTTATAAATTTGAATTTTTAGAAATGAATGATTAATTAATTATAAATGAATTCACAAATAATTTTACTTCTTTTACTTATATATGAGATAGGAAAGAGTTATTTTTTATTAAATTATGTTGTTCTCCATATTTGAAATTTTATGCGTATAAAATTACACTATTTATTAATTATATATAATAAAGATGTTTCCCAAATAAATTCAATATACTCAATCTCAAAAGACGAGTGATTATAGCTTATCTAGTTAACAATTTAACTAGAGACCTTTTCGATATGAAAATCAATAATCAGTTAAAGCGTCTTGGTAAAAACTTAAACCAAATGAAACTGACAATGATCCCATAACAAAACGTGATAGAACAGTTAAATCAATAGTAATCAATAATTAGTATATTAGACTGTCTTATAAGAAATATTTAGTTGCACTAATTAAAAAAAACTGATAAAATTAGTTAGTTCATTTCTATAATCAGAACAGCAATTAACATAAATTACTGAGTAATTGGACAAATAGCAAATAGTTTCACTCTTCTTTAAAATTCATCAGATGCAAAGTCCATAACTTGTGTAGTTTTTACATTTACTTTATGATTCTCTATTTTCTTTAGATTCATCAGTTAGTTCTAAGATTTACACTAATCAAGATGTTCTTAAATATATGATTCTGTCAAATTATGAATAAATTTAAGGACAAGCAGGGTAATTGACTAGAATACTTGAAATTTTATCAGAAATGCAGAATCTGAATCCTGATTTTTAAGTATTTGAAGAAGAGTTTCAAATTGATATGGAAGAAGTAAAATATTATATTATTATATAGATTTCAAATTCATTTAATAGAGTATAATTACGAATTCTATTTTTGGTAAGTTCCATTGATATATTAAGAGCTTTGAAAGGTTCAGTAGGTTTGTTTGAACGATTAGAATAATTTGTGTTTTCATAAATCAAGAATAGTTAAATACCAAATATTAGTGATATGTAAACTCTTATTTATGCTTATATACTTTTAAGTGAATAATTAGATATTGCTAATAAACTTGGTTATTCAAAATAAGCTGTAGAGATTATAGGTAAGTCTTCTGATTATTCAATATATGAATTAAAAAGAAGATTTATGAATAATGCATTGAGATTATCATAAAAATATTTAGGATCTTAAGTTTATGATTAAATATCTAGTATGAATAGATCATTTAGTCCTGGATTCAATAAATAATAAATAAATCATTTTAATTAATCAGAAAATGTATCCTATTAATTTTTAGTTAATCAATTAAAAATGGATTACACTCTAAATAATGATGAAAATTTTTAAATTGATTTTAAATGCAACAATTTATTAACAAATCCTATTATTTATTAATTAATGGATAAGTAATTTAATAATCAATATTTTTTTAGATTATTACCATAATAAACAGCAAAAAAAGAGAAAGTAAATTCAATATTTACTGAATAAAGTAGAGTGGAAAAAAACAATTAACCAATTATTGTTAAAAAATAATTTTCAATTAAATAATTGAAATAAGAGAATATGATTTAATCTTAAACATAAAATTAAGTATCTACTCCTACACAAAAGAATTCATAATAGGTAATAATCATCAATTAATTAAGATGTCTTAAACTTAAGGATTTTAATCTTCTTAATTTAAATAATAAGCCAACAACATAATTGTCAAACCAGGTTTAGATTCTAATGAATTTGAAATTCTATAAAATAAATTAGGTCGTTAATAATAAGAATTGGAAGAATTAAAATAATTGTATAATAATAATATGGTTTAAAAAAAGAATGAACTTAATTAAACTAATTAATAAAATTAACAAAATGATTAATTAAAGAAAAAAATTGAACTATTAGAGACAAATTTAGTATAATTAAAGAATGAAAATACTACTTATAAAAAGGAAAAAGATTAAAAATAAAGTGAAGTTATTGAATTAAGATCTTTTATTCAAGATTTACAAGATAAATAATTAAAACTAGAAAAATTAGTTTAATAATAATAATAATAATATTAATAATAATAATAATAATTTTAATTATAATTATAATAACAATAATAATAATAATAATAGTAAGCATCTCCATAATAATTACCAAATCCAAATCCTGCTTAATAATATTTAAAAAAATAACAAAGTAGTTAATCAACTAAAACAAATACTCAATTATAAATGAATATCTAAATTCCTACCAATAATCTTGATGATAAAAATAGATTATTTGTAAGAGCTTAAAGTTAAATGAGTCATTCTCCTGGAGAAGAATTTAAAAATGAAATGGATGATACAAGTCCTAGAATTATTAAATAGAATTAAGCATATTTGCTTTAATTATTAGATATGTTAGATTTAAATACATCTTTTACTAAAACTTATATTAAATTACATTCAAATAATGAAAATAATTCTTGGGAAAGTGATGTATCAATTGTCCATAATTTTAAAATGGAAGGTTTAATAACTGATTCAAATGATGGAAAAGTGTTAATGCTTAAAGCTTATAATTAATAAAATATATTGTGTACAGAATCAATATCATTTGATCTCTTAAAAAGTCTTCTAGGTTATGTTGATTTTTAAGATACTCTACCAACAAATCTACCAAATATTAGTACAACTCATTAATTCTTTAAATTTTTAATATTACCATATACTGCAGTTGTATAAGATGAAAATACTTAATAATATAAAATTTAATTGTGGCCTAAACCATATGGATTATTAAATGGATTAAATTTAAAAATAGATTTCTTAGATCTTAATTGTTTAGTGTATGTTCATCATTTAGAAACTGATTAATTTAGAATTATTATATTTGATCCAGCAAGTTATGATTGTTTCAAATTAGATTTAGAAATGGATTATTCTTCAATTGATACATTTTTTGTAGATGCTAAATCTATTAAAGATGAATTTAATTATTATTGTAAAAGTAATCTATTGAAATTAACTGAAAAAACTCCTAAATTTGGAGATGATGATGTAGCTGAAGCATTAGTAGAAAGACATTTTTCAAAAGATAAAGTAAAAATAGTTTAAGCAGATATAAAATTAAATTAATCTTATGGACAAGAAAATTTAGTATTAAAATAACCAATTGAATTTCTGAAATTTATAAAATAAATAGTATAAGTCTTTGAATAATAACTAAAATTGCAATAAATTACATTTCCTAATAGTTTACTTGGTATGAAATATTTCAGATGTAAAACATGGAATGCTGGTACTAAAAGTTAAATATAAATTGTCAAAGAACAATTAGATCAATAATAAATTTCTATATATTTGGCTAATTGTTTTGAATCTTTTGGTCCAAACAAATCTAAACTTAAAGCTAAAGGAACCACTCAAATAAATTTTTCAGCTATTCAAAGGGAATTTGCTGTCTCATATGATAAATTATAAATAGAAGAAAGAGCAACAATTTTATAAACCATTTTATATTCATTTAACTTAAATATTTTTGAAAAAGCATGTGAATAGGATGAATAACAATTTGATAAAAACCCTATTGTATAAAATATATATGATTGTGGTTCTTATAGAAGGTATTAATATTTACTTATATATATTAGAGTTATTGCATTTGATAATGGCAAAATTGCTTAGGTAACTATTTAAGTTATTGGATCAAATAGAAGAATGTGTGGTATTAAATTTTCTGTTTTTAATGTTGATGAAACAATTGAAAATGGAGTATTTTTACCAGTATCATAAAGTGAATGGGATACTAGAGCAATGGAAAAATAAAAAATTAAAGCATCTGTTCAAAATGTTCCATTTGCAGAATATTTATTAACATAAATTCTAAAATGTGAAACAATATAAATTGTAATATAAATATTTATTTATTCTTAGATATTATTTAAAAAGATTTTGAATGCTGATTTCAAATCAAATTAAATTAATAGTAATGAAATTAAGAAAAGAAAGACTTTTATTGAAAGAGTAGACAATATATTAACCTGGCAAGAAGTCATTGCAAATTTATGAGTATTAGATTAATTAATATCATATCACTAGATATTTTATATTGTCTTTTAATCTTTACTTTCTATATAATCTATAATTTAATTTTAAATTTAATTAATTTATTTATAACACATAATTAATCACAATAAATCAATGTAATTTTATTATTTTTTAACAACTTTTGAAATTGTACTTCCTTTATTGACAGATTAGAATTATGAAACAATGACAGATTCATTATAGTTTTATGATCTTAGTATCTATGAGTTTTAAATATCTAATTTTAATTGATAGTTTTCCCTTTAATATAATAAATAAATTACGATTCTAATTATTAAATTCTTGAAAGTTTAGCTTATAAAGTTTAACTTGAAGTTAATTAATAGGATCTTCTTAAAGACTCTTCTTATAGATACTTTTTTTATATTTCTTATATTTATGAATGTAATTTTTAATTTTCTTCATAAACACCTACTTCTTCAAGATTTAATTATTTTTTTAATTTATTTAATTAATCGTATTAGTAATCATATTTTTCTTATAATTCAGTTACTTTTTAAACTCTATTTTCTAAATCTTTAAGAAGTCGATTATTTTATGTTGTTAAATTGAGTAATTCATTATTATTTTTCATAAGTTATAATTAATAATTTTTAATATCTTCATTTAATTTAGATATTTCAGTCTCTTAACTTTGAATTTGTTTTGTATAAACAAGAATTTAACTTTCATAAACTTTATTTAATTGTTTAATCTTATTCTTTTCTTGAAATGCCTTTGTTTTAAGTTCATCTATTTCTTTAAGTAAATCTGTCATATTTTATGTTTATATTTTTTCAATACAATATTCATCCAATTATAATTAAGCATTTTAAGTTTTAGCTTTTTAAATGTTTTCTAAATGTTTAGATAATTATTATATATTTTCATCTTTTTGTTATAATTATTATTTAAGATAATCAATTTAATTATTCAATTCTTAAATTTCAATATCTTTATTTAATTAAAATTATTGAATTTACTTTTAATAATTTACATTAGATTATTATAATCGATCTGATTCAAGTAATGAATTTTTTAAATTTGTTTAAATTTCTAAATAGTCCATAGATCTCATATCTAAATCAGTAATCAATTATGAATTTTAATCTTTCAATTATTAATTTTCTTTATTCAATTATAATATTTATTCTTCTAATTTGATAATTTTAACTTTATTATCATCCTTTTTTAATTAATTAATAATATAATTTTTTTCTTCAAGTTCTTTACTCAATTTATTATTTTGAATTTCTAATTCTTTAATTGTCACTTCTTTGTTTACTTTTGGTTATGTTTTAATCATTTTAGCTCTAACTCCAAATCTAAGAGTACTGAGTGTTTCAGATTCATTACTATCACTTGGACTACATGTGATAATCAAAGAAGTCATAGAATTTTTACTTAATCCATTCCATAATAATTTTGTTAAATTAGATTCTCTAAAAGGTACATGTTATTATTTTTCTGATAATCCATTTATTACATTAGACTAGATATATAATAAATAAGAATTACAAGAGTAAGCAGACTCTTATTAATGAATGATCCTTCTTGTAATGTGGTTCCAGTTGTTCCTGCTTTGGATGCATTTTCACTACCTGCAAGATCAGCCATAATTAATTATCCTGTATATGAAGTTCCTTCAATTTCATTATTCATAATAACAGTCTAATAGAATTTTAAATAAATTTACCATTTAAAATAAAAGATGAGATCTTGAAGACATATCATTAAGATTAGTATAACCAACTTATCTATTGACCAAACTTTTTTATAATGCATTATAAATTTCATCTTTATCACTAACCCATAATTATGATACTTGTTGAATATAAAATCCTTAGTTAGCCATTTCTCTTACTTTTAAATCTTATTTATTAACATCTAATAGATCCTTAACTTTTTCTTTATATATTTCAACAATTGAAATTTTAATTCTAAATTCAGATTCTGTTGGAGAGCTCTCTATTGCATCAAACAAATCATTGATAGTTCTTCTAATGATACCTGGTTATTATTAATCACCAATCATAGTGTAAGTTTTACCAGATGATGTTTATCCATACATTAATAATGTGGCATTAAATCCTTATAGAATTTAATCTATAATAGGTTTTCCTATTTCATCATACACTTATTATTAGTTTGTATTACTATCAAGGATCTTATCAAAAGTAAACTTTTACTCACCTAATTGTATAGTTTAATCTCTAATGCTATAATTAATTAGTGATGTTTCTTTTTAATTTAAAGGTCGGATTCTGCAAAATACTTTAATATTGCTCATAGTTTAGATTAGTATTAAATCTGATTAATTATTATTATAATAATATTAAATTAAAATCAATCATTAACATCTAAAATATTCATGTAAAATCTTATTAGTTGTTTCATCATTCTCCTAATGATATGGATATTTGAGTTTTATAAGATTATCTAATTATTATTATTTATTAAATTAAGTCTTAGATTTTGACTATTCACTTTCTAAAGTCTTTTGATTAATAGTTATCTTTTAATCTGAACCAATCAAATTTTAAGAAACCTCTTGGATTCTTGATAATTTAGAATGCATTTAAACTGTAGTAGTTGCCTATTCAGTTTCAAATTTGGTTTAAGTTGTTTTTAAAGGAGTCTAATTGCAATTCTAAGTTTAAGCTTTGGTGGAAGTAGTTAATGAATTACGAAATACTTTTGATTTTAATTCAGGTCTAAGATTTTTAAATTCTAGAGATTTAAAGCTATTGGTAATGCAATAATATAATACTTATTACTATGTTAATATGGTATTTAATGATCGATACTTTTGGTTTCAATTAAAGCAGATTTGTAATATTTGAGTTTTGCATTTTAAGAATATTCATCAAATTTAGGTTATTCATTAATTAATTAATCAGCTTTAAAGGTTCTTAAAGATCTTGATATATGAAGAGTAGTTTCAATTTGATCTTCTTTTATAGTAGTAATATATTCAGTTCTCTTATGCTATATGATTTAAATGAATAAATACTTCTTAATCTTTCAATCTCTTTCGTGTTGGATCTCCCAATACTTCAAATCCTTCAACAAATACTTTACTTTAATTTTAATAATCTAATGGAAATTGATCCCATGATGCTGGGTCATACCTCTTCTTATTATATATATTAAAGGTATCTTTATCCATCCATTTAGATTTATCATATTATTTCCATGTAGGATTAGTCAACATCATTAAGTCTTTTTTCTGTATAAGAAATATATTACCAAATAATCAATTTTCTAACTATTATTGTCAACACCTCGTTTTATTCTTTCAGTCTCAATTCTATCTCCTTTGCCAAATCTCATAGGATTCCCTTATTTAGATTGATCTTCCATTTTCAGCCATTTAGAATGATTCTTGTGTGGTTCATTATTATTAAATTCTCCAGTTTCTAAATGTCCTTATTTAAAATCTAACATTGTTTATCTAGCTCTGTCCTTTCCTAATTATTAACTCTTATATTATATCTATATATATTGTTTAAAGAAATCTATTTTCCAGAGTTTATAAATTTTATTATTATAGCATATATATTAACAAATGTAAATTTAAAACAAATTAACGATTTCAAAAATTAATTAATATTATATATTAATTTATCTATAAACAATACCTCTTTAATATAATATTGCCATCTAATTCTTTTTCTTTATAACGATCTCGAAATGAATGTTTAGTAATAGGCAATATTGGATAACTACCTTCTTTCAATATTTCTCTTAGTTTATTTAGTTTATTTTCTTCAAACATTTCTACTCTATTAGTTTATCTTGCTTTAAATTAAACTGACTTAAATTTTCTTATTTCTTCTTATTTACTCTCTCTTTATTATCTATGATTTAGTTTTTAACTTATACTTATGAAATTATTAATCTTTTAATCTTTCAATTTACTTTTACTTAAAAATGTTATTCAAAGACATATTTATTTAATATTTAATTATTAATATTTCTTATAATGTCTGACGATAAATTAGCATTTCAATTAGATGTCATTGAATACGATTGGTTAATACTAGGCACTGGATATGAAGAAACCCTTTACAGTGCTCACCTCAGCAAAGTATCAAAATAATAAGTAATCCTATAATATTCACACTAAAGAATCTGGTCCTTGATTTAGGTAATACCTATTCAAGCAACATAAGAACAATGAATTTTAAAGAATTCCATAAATTAGATTCAGAATTACCAACAGAAGAACAATATCCATATCTTCATAAGAGACCAGTCTTTAAAATACTTGAAGTAGATGAAAAGCAAGATAAAATCAATAATTATTTTGCTAATAAAATCAATTCAGGATAAGAATTCAAACATTTTAATATCGATATGCAACCAAAATTGTTATTTAGTAATAGTCCTGCTGTTTCTATAATGTAATAAGCAGATTTAGATTAATATATGGATTTTAAGGCTGTTGAATCTCAATTCTTTTTTGATTAAACTACAAAGACATTTAAATTAACACCAACCTCTAAAAGCGATATTTTTAAATGTTAATTCTTAAGCTTAAGTGAAAAAAAATAATTTTTTCAAGTAATCTAATTAATTATTATATAGCTTTTACATACTTTAGTGAAAATATTTCATAAAGTAATCAATTATTAAGTTGATCAAAATTCAACATAAGAATTTGATCAAAATACTACTCAATTAGATGAAGATACATATTAAAAGTATTTAGAATTCAAAGATCAATAAGCAATAATATTTTTGAATGAAATTACATCCAAATCACTCAACAAAGATAAAATTTATTCTATATTATTTTATTCAATTTGTTTCATTACATAGAGTTTTCATAATTAACATAACTTTATTACAACCCAAGAATTTATAACTAAGTTTGGTAAATGTATTAAATCAATGGGTATTCATAGTAAATCCCCTTTTTTATACACTAATTATGGAACTGGAGATATTCCATAAGGATTTTGTAGAATATCAGCTGTTCATGGATCAGTGTTTATCACTTAAAGTTAAATAAGAATATATAAAATAGAAAAAGAAGAGAATCAATATTTAATATCATCTAATTTATCAGAAAATAAATTAAAAATCAAATAAGGGATAATTATGAATAAATAGATTTATGATTCTTATGTTTAATTAAATGAAACTAAAACTAATTAGAATACAAAATAACAATAAAATTATGTATTAATGAGATTGACTTTGGTTACAACTAAAGATTAAAATGTATTATGTGAAGAAGTGAGATCTTTAATACTTGATTAGTTAATTGAGGATCAAAATACTCAACATTAATTAGATCCAAGCATTTATGTAATCCCATGTAAATAATTCAGCAGCAATCCTATTTATATATTTAGAACAGATAGCAATAGCAATAGTGCTTATAAAGATTATGAATTATTTTATGTTTGGACATTGCTAGATAAGTAAGAAGGAAAGGAATTAAAGGAGACATTGAAATAACTTATAGTAGATATTGATTCTAAATATAATGAAGGTGAATAGAAGAGCATTAACTATATTTGTTATGAGAAAGTGTTATTATAAGAAATGACTAAAAATGAATATAAGTTTTAACCAAATGCTGATGAAAATATGTAAAGATTTTAATTATTTTTAGTTTTGTGACTACTGAAGATAATGATGATTTAGATTTAGATGCCTAAACTAAAGCATTTATGGGGAATGTATAGAAAGTGAATAAAAATTTTGAAGAAAACTATTATATGATTGAAAAGGTAGCTAAATAATAATAAACAATGGAGTAAGAAATGGATAATTAGCAGTACATATTGAATTAATTAATGAATATAAAACAAAAAGAATGATTATATATTATTATTATTTAATCTCCAATGAGGACATCAGCATTCTCCTTCATTGGAGTTCGCAAACATTTTTGGAAGGAAGTTATTTATAATATCTAATTATACTAAGAATCTATAGAGATGACTGAAATTGTAAGAATAATTTTATATTCAGAAATCTAAATCACCAAAGTACATTCTGCCATTAAAGTTGTCAACTGTTATTGAAATTACTGGATAAGTAAGTAAAAATAATAGGAATTTCAGTGGATTCTTGTTTAAATACAAAGACTCAACTAAATTAATGAATTGTAGATCTTAGGATTTAGCTATGTAAGTATACTTATTTTAATTAGTTTTATGGATATGGTAAGTAACTAAATAACTTTTCTAAATATCACTATGTTCTATTAGGCAATCGAAATAATAGGGAGAGGGAGCTCATCAAGTGTTTCTGTTTTGATCGATATTTATTCATAAGAACAATTTGCTGTCAAAAGTATAGATAAAGAATACCTGTTGAAGAATGATAAGTTATAGGTAATTATATATATTATATATATAGATATTATTTGAAAATGAAGTGAAGATCTTATAAGAATTAACCAAATATAATCATCAAAATTATTTTGTGCATTTATACAGAGTATTTGAGAGCAAAACATCTTACTATTTAATCTTGAATCTCATGAAAGGTAAATCACTCACTGCCTACTACAATAAAATCAAAGTAAGTGATTATGTTAATTTATTTGAAATTAGAAATAATCAGATTCCAAGTTATTCTCTCCAGATATTACTAAATAAATCATGAAGAGACTCCTTTCTGGTGTTTCACTTTTGCATTGTCATCGAGTATAAAATTAATCTAACTTAGATAATCCATAGGGATCTTAAGCCTGACAATCTATTACTTCTAGAACCAAATAATGTTGACACCTTAGCCATTGCTGATTTTGGATTAGCAACTTATAGTAATGTTGAAAAGTTGTAATTTTTTACTATCCAATAGGTATTCATATCCAATATGTGGAACTAAAGGATATATGGCACCAGAAATCACTCATTATAAAGATGGATAAATTAAATATGATGAATAAATTGACATCTACAGCATTGGTGTCATTTTTGTTTGGCTGTATTTTTATTATAATCCTAGACTCACTGGAGATATAGATAAACATAATCCTAAATTATAAAAGTTGGATTCCATTACTTAAAATTTATTAAATAATCTTTTAAGAACAAATCCAAAAGAAAGATTGTCAGCATAAGCAACACTTGATCATCCATATTTCTAAACTGAAGAAACAACTAAGAAGACTTTTCAATCCTAATATGGATTTGTAACTCCAATTTTTATATTCTAGGAAAATGTTGATTGTGACTCTATTGTACAACATGAGGATTTGAAAAATTATTCATTGCCTTTAATGAAGAAACCTTAAAGATAAATTTGAAATACACTTTCTCTATCTAACTAATGTCAATCTCTATATTTTAATTATAATTTATTATTTACTCAATATTGATACATTTATAGTGAACATTATAATTTTATTATTAATGCTCAAAAAATACCTCTCTACTTGTTCATCTAATCAATAAAATTAGTTAAAATCTGCAATAACCAAAATAAGTATAGTCATCTCCTTAAAATTTAGATCTATCTTAAAGAACTATTAATTATGGTACTCCTAAAATCTAACTAAATCTAGGATCAATTTAAAATAGTATTTTAGATAAGTAATACCCTTCATCATAACATATCAAATCAAATAAGTTATCAGAACACAATTTGCACAGTAATTACGTAAAATCATCTTAGAACAAGATTATTCTCCATCTATTAGAGATTCTAGTTAATAAGGCTTGGATCTATTACTAACTTAAAGAGATGAAACCCTTAAATTTAGATCGACTTCGTAAAACGAAAAAAAACTATAATTGAAGCGATATAGTGGTAAATAATAATGTATATCCAATGAAAAGATCAGAGTCTTTGATGTTTTCAATCAAAGTATTAGGTTAAATAAATAACCCAATACTTCAAAAATTTACATAACCACTAAAGAAACCTTGAAAGTTCAACTGTAATAGCAGAAAAACAATCAACAAAATTAGTTCAAAATTTTACCAAATAATATAAATAATCAATAAAAGAATGATGAAATACAAAAATAATCCAATAAACCACCTATATCCAGTAAATTAAATGAATCAAGAGATATTCTCTAATATATGAGATAGAATTAAACAAATAATAATAAAACTACATAGTCTAAGGATGCATAAGGCATTTAAAATATGAAAAATTTCTTTCATTCTCCATAACAGAGTGAAAATATAGTTTTTAGTACTTCAGGTAGATAAAATAATAAAATAGATATTGAAAATACCAAAAACGAAAATATTCTTGAATTACTTTTACTTTCAACTTAAGAACTTAATAAGAAATTGAAAAATAAAGAAATTGTTAGAAATTAATCGGAAGAAAAAATACCAGTAAAAATAAGACTAAGAGCAGGTAGTAGATTTCCAAAAGACTTCTTTGAATGAATCATAACTATGTAAATTATCAATCACAATTCAACCTTTTTTTCATCACATCCTTAATTTTGTCAACCCATAATTAAGCTGGATGCTCACATTCCTTACTTATATAATTTATCTTACTTTAAAATAGTACTTCTTTTTACTAGGAACATCAATATTAAATTATCCTTTCAATAATTCTATTGTTACAGATTTGTCTAAAATAATCTAACCCTTTTTTAAAGCTATAACAGATTCTTTATACCTTTTTTAATCCAGTATTAGGATCGAAATATTCTAATTTTGGAATTTCGAAATCGTACAATATCATATTTCTTAATTTATATATCATCCAACCTAAATTTATTCATAATAATCAACCTGTTTTCTTATTAACTAAACCAGTTATTACTACTTCTGGTTTCAAAGTGGCGCTCTACTTTTTTTGAGTGAATTCCTAGGTTGTTATCTTTTTTAAATGTATTTAAACATCTTCAGGTCCTTTTTGATTCCATAACTACTACCAATTAATATCTTTAAAAAATGGATGACTCTTTAGTTCTCGATATGTGTTTTTAGAATCTAAAATAATCAAATCAACTTACTGGGTAATCCTCCTCCTAATCTACTTAATGGATCTCTGACAAGCAATTTACTTATTAAATCCATTCCATCTTAAGGAATTTTATTATTTTTAGGATACTGACAAGATCTGACCTTCTAAAATACTAAATATTCTGTTTAATCACAAAAAGGAGTTGTTCCAGTGAACATTTTATAAATTATACATCCTAAAGCCCATAAATCTGCTTATGGACCACAAATATCATCCTCCAAAAGTTCAGGTGATACATATTCTGCAGTTCCAACAAATGTAGCTTTATGTTTCTATTGATATTGGTCGATTTCATCTAAAAATCTTTCATCTTATTTGCTAATCTCTCTTAATTCATTCAATTTATCACGAACATTATCTGGCAAATTATGTTCATCAAAGAAGCTAGCTGTTCCAAAATCTATCATTTTTATATGTAAATTATTTGCCACCATTATGTTTTCTGGCTTTAACATCATCTAAAATTTATTACTTTCACATCTCTATGCGCAATTCCATTAGAATGTAATTATTCTAATGTTGTTACTATTTCTGCAGTATAAAATACTATAGAGTTATAAGACATGTTTCCTAAAATCACTATTTGCCATTACTATTTATTTTTAAGAAATTAGCAAAATCTCCTCCTTCCATAAACTCTAACACTAAATAAATTTATGCTGAACTCTGGAAACTAGCAATCATATTTATCAAACCAGGATGCTGAACCCTTGACAACACCTCTTTCTCAATAAACACTTGATATTGTTTTTTTTCCTAGTCAATTATTACATTATGAACCTTAATCAGCAATCTTTTCTCCATCGCTTTTATTGCTACTAATTATCCGTTTGCTTTGCATTTTGCTAACATCACATCTCCATAAGAACCAGATCCTATTTTCTCTATAATTTCATAATCATTTAGAGTATTCATTTTTGTATAAATAAAATTAATTAACAAAAAATCATTACTAATCATGTAAATGAATAATTGTTATAAATAGTTTTTTGTTCTCTCAAAGATTGTGATTTATTTCAATCATTTAATTTTAACCTATTTATATCAATAAATTAAATTATTAATATTAGCATAATTTTGTATAAATAATTACAAATATCATAAGTTTTTTATTATAAATAAAATCTTAAGAATTTTTAAACGAAAATACATATATTTGGATGATATTTTATATANATACTGACAAGATCTGACCTTCTAAAATACTAAATATTCTGTTTAATCACAAAAAGGAGTTGTTCCAGTGAACATTTTATAAATTATACATCCTAAAGCCCATAAATCTGCTTATGGACCACAAATATCATCCTCCAAAAGTTCAGGTGATACATATTCTGCAGTTCCAACAAATGTAGCTTTATGTTTCTATTGATATTGGTCGATTTCATCTAAAAATCTTTCATCTTATTTGCTAATCTCTCTTAATTCATTCAATTTATCACGAACATTATCTGGCAAATTATGTTCATCAAAGAAGCTAGCTGTTCCAAAATCTATCATTTTTATATGTAAATTATTTGCCACCATTATGTTTTCTGGCTTTAACATCATCTAAAATTTATTACTTTCACATCTCTATGCGCAATTCCATTAGAATGTAATTATTCTAATGTTGTTACTATTTCTGCAGTATAAAATACTATAGAGTTATAAGACATGTTTCCTAAAATCACTATTTGCCATTACTATTTATTTTTAAGAAATTAGCAAAATCTCCTCCTTCCATAAACTCTAACACTAAATAAATTTATGCTGAACTCTGGAAACTAGCAATCATATTTATCAAACCAGGATGCTGAACCCTTGACAACACCTCTTTCTCAATAAACACTTGATATTGTTTTTTTTCCTAGTCAATTATTACATTATGAACCTTAATCAGCAATCTTTTCTCCATCGCTTTTATTGCTACTAATTATCCGTTTGCTTTGCATTTTGCTAACATCACATCTCCATAAGAACCAGATCCTATTTTCTCTATAATTTCATAATCATTTAGAGTATTCATTTTTGTATAAATAAAATTAATTAACAAAAAATCATTACTAATCATGTAAATGAATAATTGTTATAAATAGTTTTTTGTTCTCTCAAAGATTGTGATTTATTTCAATCATTTAATTTTAACCTATTTATATCAATAAATTAAATTATTAATATTAGCATAATTTTGTATAAATAATTACAAATATCATAAGTTTTTTATTATAAATAAAATCTTAAGAATTTTTAAACGAAAATACATATATTTGGATGATATTTTATCTATTATATATTCAATTAATAGATTAAGATGAACAAAAATTATTAATTTTTAATACTATAATAGTTTAAAAATAATCAAAATTATTAATATTTAATATTTCATCATAATTTTTACAATACATAGTTTTAATGTAATGAATATTATTAATCATTATTAATTTATTATTGAATATTTAAAAAATATATTCTTCATAACTAATACAATAACTAAATTTATATTAAAGAAATTCATTAAAATTGTATAATTTATGATAATTTATAAAATTTTCATTTTAGATATCACATTATCTTAATAAGTATTATATTTATATAATAACAATTATCAAAAATTTTATAAAAAAGTTCACTATAAAAGGACAAATATACTATTTTATATTAATAGAATAAGAAATGATTCTTCAATATTTGGAATTAATTTAAGAGGGAAATAATTAATAATATTTTAATAAACCAAATATGGTGTGAAAATTGCAATATTAAAGAAAAATCTTAGAGAAATTAAAATTAAAATAATAACCTAGCTTCAAACTAGAGTTAAGATAGCATCATTGATGTACTTAGAATTTATATTCAAAGTTTGAATATAAATATACCAAAAACAAAATATTTTTTTATAAATTACTATAATAATATTTTTATCATACAATCAATCTTCATTTGATTAATATTCTTGTTTATCTATTATATTTCAAAATTATTAATACATATAAAATGTATAAATATTTAAAAAATTCTAAATCAATTTTCATTATTTATATATCCACATTTATCCAAACCACTAAAAAGTGTTAACATTTATAAATTAATTATTTAATTTATAATTTAATGTAGGGGTTTACTAAAATAAGGTTTTTTTTTGAGAAAATATTTTTTTAGGTTGTTTTTCATTATAAACATTAATCATCATGATATCTCAAATCTAATTTACTATACTTTAATTTAAATATCAAAAGAAATTATATATATATATATAAATTACAGATATTTTACGAGATACATATTAAAAGTCAAATGTTGAGACCTGACGAATATTTTGATTGAAAAATATTTCCATTGGCTGGCAGTATTTTATAATCCATCTTTAAGGATTGTAAATTATAACTTCATTTTGTTTTCTATAGTTAGTTTAATGTAGTTTTCTACCGGAGGCTTGCCTACCTTATATATAAGAATAGGATTGTGATATTATTGAAACTTTAAACAACCTAAGGGTTATAAATCAATCTTTTAGATAGAATTAGCTAATTCTCCTATTTGGTGAATTCAATTTATATCTGTATTTAGTAATACCTGTTTGGATTTGTATCATCATAACTTTAGTTTTATTTTATAGATTTAAGAGAGAATAAATGTTTATATATATAACTTTATCTATTGATAATTTAGTTATTATCATGTTGAGAATTATCATTTTTCTCTGATGTTATTTTACTAACTTTAGACTGCATCTTAAATTATTTCCTATGCCTTTTAAGTGTCCTACTTCTACTCTTAAGGTTATTTTTATTTATCCTTTTATTATCCATTCTTTCCTCTTACCATTGCTTACATCAATCAAAAAAATATAATTTATTAATATTTAATATCCGATGGTAAATTAGATATATTGTTGGGTTTTCAATGAGATTATTAATTTATAACTATTACTAATTAGGTTATTGAATTATATAAATATTAAAAGATAGATTACAAATTATTAGCTGAAACAAATAGATTTCATCCTATAATTTTGATAATTTAAAAAGCAATATAAAGAATAATAAATAGAATTGAGTAAATTAATGAATTGATGATGGTCGAGAGGAATGAGCAAATTCATAGAATAATAAAACAAGAGAGATAGTAATAAGAAATAATAGAAAGTAATTATAGTCAAGATGAAGCTAATAAATAATAAATATGATGAAGATTCAATTTATAATAATTTTAATTAAGAGAATAAGAAATTTTTTTATACATTAATAGTCTTGTTTAAGATAAAGCCTGGATTGATTCTTTAATAAAATTGTGTAAATTATAAATGGGTAATAATATTAATTAATATAAATGGACAATATATATAAGTTTAAGGCAAGTAGTTCAGTTGGTCATTTAAAAAGTCTTAACAATGACAAACAATTCTATTCTGAAGAGGAAAGTAGCAAGAAAGAGGAAGAGGAAAAACAATTGAAGAAGTAAAGCAAGCCTCCTAGTAAGATGTCTCAATTCAGTAAGAATGCAACTGGATATTAAACAGATGACTCTGACAAAGAGACTCCAAAGAATAATAAGATAGGACCTTCAAGTATAGATAAATTGAATTATTTTAGGTCAGAAAGTGTCAAAATTTCGAAATTTGGTAAATGCTAAAAAAATCGAGGGTGACAATGATGATCCTAATTTCGATGACGATGACGACAAGCCAACTACAATCTAATAATAGATTCAGCACGTTTAATAGCAACACGAAGATTAATATGACGTCGAACAATAGGCTAGTAAAATGCAACAGAAATATGCTAAGGGGGATGTTGGAAAGTCTACAAAAATGAAGTAAGAGAGAAGATAATAATAGACACTCGAATACATAATAGACTATGGAGGCAAATTCAGATGTAGAGTAGATGAAGAATAAATAGCATTAGGAAGGGAAGTTGAAGAATCATCCATTTAGACACCTTATTTATGGTCCAAGTATAGGAGAAAATTCATTTAATAAATTCTTATAACTAACTCAAAGAGGATTAGTTTATGCAAGGAAATGCTTAAAAGGGCCTTCAGAGAAATTTATTAAATCGAAAATGGTTTAATTATAGGAATGCCCAATTGTAAAGGCGAAGACTTTGTTGTTAGATTTGGATGAAACTTTAATTCATAGTTGTTCTTTGAGAGAGAATCCTTAAGTTACAGTAACAGCATTTGGAGATTATGGAGAGGAAGCAAAGGTATTTTATTAAATATATTTTAGATTCATTTCAACATTAGGCCATTTTGTACATGGTTTTTACAATAAATGAATTAGTTGTATACAATTTATGTATATACAGCTTCGTCATCTGCCTATGCGAATGCTATAGTAAATTATTTGGATCCAAAAAGACAATGGATCATGGGGATTATGTCAAGAGGTAATTGTATGGAAACAAAGAATGGGTTTTTTATTAAAGATCTTAGGATTATTGGGAATAAATAATTAAAGGATATGGTGATTGTGGATAATTTGGCTCATTCTTTTGGATTCCAAATAGAGAATGGAATTCCGATTTTGGAATGGCACAATGATTAAAATGATCAAGAACTTAAATACATGGCAACTTACTTGATGGAAGCAGCTGAACAAGAGGATATCAGATAATTCAATACACAAAGGTTGAAGCTAGATCAACTTATTGAATATAATTTAGATTGATTGATTGATATACATAATATATATTAATTTATCAATGGGTTCTTGCTGTTCATCTAATAAGATAGTTAAGGAAACATTTGATTATCCAGATGGAGGCGTCTATATTGGAGATCTTGAAAACCATCTTCCAGTATATTTATTTATATCAAGTTTAGCATGGAAGAGGAACCATAAAATGGCCTAATGGAGCATTATTTGAAGGACAGTTCATTGATGGCAAAAAGACTGGTAAAGGCTTATTTAGGTGGAATGATGGTTCCTATTATGATGGATATTTTGAAAATGATGTCTTTCATGGTTATGGTGAATATTGTTGGACTGACTCTAAAATCTATAAAGGAAACTGGTCAAATGGTGAAATGGAAGGAGAAGGAGAAATGCTGTATCCAGATGGCAAAATTTATAAGGGTATTAAACTTGCATATATTTTCAGGCTATTTTAAGTCAGATAAAAAGGATGGCCAAGGTGAAATGATGTGGCCTAATGGTGATAAATATATAGGTTAGTGGAAAAAAGGATAATAACATGGCAAAGGAGTACTTATAGATTATAAGGGTAATAAAGAGGAAGCTATTTGGAATAAAGGAAAGAAACAATGATCGATTTTATATTTATAATAACCTGTGAGTAACTAAATTAATAATTCGAAATAATTAAATTAAATTCAAAATTTATATTTACATTTTATGATCTCATTCTTTCCAAATATAAAATAGTCCTCATCATTCTTTATTAATCTTATTGGAATCTCATTACCAAATTAATCCAATCTATATATTGTTTCATATTCTTACGATTAAATCAAAGGTTTTTCATCAGGTTTTAGAAAATTAAACTAATAAATCTGATTATTGTCATTTGGATATAAAATAACTTTGGGTATATCCTTATCATCATAAACAATAATAGGTCTAATAAAAAATCTATTTTAAAATTAGATCTTATATTGGGCTACTTAATTGCATTCCACCCAATCCCATAATCCCAATGGTTATTCTAAAGTTGATACTATCAAATGTCTAGAATCTTTTGTGAATTAACTGGATGTTGTGTGAGTCTTCTTGCTTCCACATATTGTCACCAAAGAATCTGTCCCATAAGAATCAAATACACGGGCACACTTTTAATATATTTCACTTTTTACACATTGTCTAAACCAGTTGTTGTAACATATCTTCCAGTCTCATTATATTTGCATTATGTTATTTGCATTGAATGTGCCAGAATGCAATTAAATGGTAATTTTTAACGAATATCCCAAAACAATATAGTTTTTTCATTGGCTGCACACACTTCATTCCAAATATTGCTATCTCCGCAATAAGTAAATTCAGTGTTTATTTAATGACTAATTATTTATTTTTCCATATCTAATATTTATATGGATTATCCAAAAAGGTAAAGTTAATTCCGATTGAAGCTATCATGATGACTGAAAGTGCAGCTATATAATAATTTGTCACTCTCTAATTCAAAAGAAGTATTAGTCTTATAATTATAAATAACTATTTTATTGTTTTTAAATATCTAAGCAACAAGTTGGTTTTTACAACATTACACATCCAAACACATACTTTCTTGCTTCGGAATTTCCAATTTTTCAAAACCTCCTAAAATTTAGTCATTCGCTTCCTATTGCATTTTCCCGCTCCTTGTTAATATATTATTTAAAATATTTAATGACTTCACTAAAATATATAAAATATCATTTAATTATTTAGTATATAAATTGAAAAAAATAAAGTGAATGTATGAATACATTGGGATAGTCAAGAATGAAGTCTTGCCTAAACGGAGGTATTCAATTAATAAAGGTTAGTTTTTTAGCATCCTTTTAAAATACCATTTAAAAACATGTTCATTCCCTAACCATAAAATAAATTAAATTAAATAATGTTTTATTTAACCAATTGATATTAACTTTTAAATCGTTTTTCTACCGTATTAAAAAATATATCATTTTAATCTTATTTGTTATATAAACTATATCAAGTATCAACCAGTCCTAAAAAATAACAAAAATTTTATTCTGAACAATAATACCTGTTTAATTTATAATTCTAATCTTATTATTATGAAATCAAAAGATAAATAATTCATCAAATCTATTGGAATCATCTATTATATCTTAATTTATTTTTTCATGATAATTTTTTATTTACTTTATGATAAATTCTTAGAAAATATTATCAATTGAAAGTCCTTAATTTTGAATGATGCATCTTTCTAAATTAAGATTTTTAATATCAGTTCTCTATCCAAAATAATTTTATTTGGTAATTATATAAATGTAATTGGATAAACATTTATATGAGGATTTTTATTTGAATGTTTCTGATTTAAAGGTATTTGTAATTATTCTAAGTTCATTTCCCAATTTGCACATAAGTTAAGCAAAATAAAATTATATTAAATTATTTATAGAATTTCAAATAAGGTGCTTCATTTAACTGAGTTTCTTAAAATTTTAATTATCCTAAGAATCATATAACAGATTATGATTATAAGATATTTAGATAAGAATAATAAATGGCAAAACAGATTTTCATTATTTTATTGATCCAAATATTATCTGAACAAAATCAAAAAATAAGTCATGAAATTGATAGTTTAAAAATCCCATTGATATTAAAAAACACAAAAAGCTTGGAAATTTTGTATAAATAATAAAAAAAGAATATTATGTAGTTTCTTTTACTTTTGAATAAATTTAAATTTTTTAAAAGTAAAAGATTTCAAATTAATACAATTATGGATGTTATATATTGTAACAAATGAAGAATGTCAATAATTGTAAACCATATTAATTTCATTACTCATATTTAGGTATTGAATATTATATTTAAAAAGTACTAAATAATTTTATAAATTGATTAATTTATAATTGTGCTTATTAATTAATTAATAAATTCATTCCTAACTTATAATATATATATATATGTGATTGATTAAAGAGAATTTAGATTAAATTAAGTTGCTAACTTAAAAACTAATTCCTTATTATTATTTCTAAGGATATCTATTATTTAACATTTATATTTTAATGAATGTTAAATCATATGGTTCATTTTATTAAAAATGATTAAAATTTTAAATGAAGTGAGTTGCCAAGGGTGACCCATTACTTGTAGAAACTAGTATGAACTAATCCCATGATGATAGCAATTTTATCAATTTTCCTGACACCGTCGAATTAAACAGCAAAACGGGGGTAATCAATTAAAGGGCATTATTAACAGCATGCACCTTGCATTTCAGATACTCTTGCAAAGGCTTCACATGCAGTTCTGGTATTAATAATTTAACATCTTCCTTATGTAAGACCATCAACATAATAGTTCTTAGAAGTGGTAAAAATATCCAAACATGCAGTACAACCCATAACACTGAAAATAGATTCTGGAAAATTGTTAAGATCTGGTTTCAAAATTAGCTAATAATTTTTCTCAATTGGGGAAAGAATCTTCAATTTTGGATATGAAGAACAACAATGTTGATTAAAGATATCACATGGATTTGGAAAGGTTTAAAGAAATTCAAAAATTTATTTACCATTTACAAATACTTTCCCTGTACTACCAGGCCAAAATTCTAATTGTACATTGTTATTTTTTAAGATATAAACTTCTTGTGGGTATTCATGTTTATCGCATTCACACATCCGACAACAGTAACAAATACATACACAAACTAATTCAACTCTCACAGAAAACTCTAATTCTCCTATTCCTTATATATCAAATTAAGTATGTTAACTAAGATGACCATAGCCACAGCAATTTTATACATCAATTTTAAATTAATGTACAAATTCCACTTAATCTGGTATATTTATGTCTTTAAGCAACTAATCCAATTCATCTGTTTTACTTCCATATATCTATAATTATTTTTAATTATACATTTTAGTCCATAATTTATTAATTCAATTGCTAATAAGGGACATTTGGTTGATATTCAATTTAATCAACGATTTTGTTCATCTGATTTATTAATTATAGAAAATATTTTTACGAACCCATTTAAATTCTCATGTTACGTCATAAATCTAAGACATAAATATAAAAAGGAAATTTAATCCAGATTATATAATCTGGTTTTTGTATTTGGTTTATCCATCTTTATTGGATATTTTAAATATATGTGTTAAGATTATTATAATCAAAATTAAATTTAAGTTGAGGAAGGAACACTATTTGATAATTTTTGTTAAAATTTGAACAATTTTCTTATTTGATATCCTTTATAACATAAGCAACCATGAATAATTCCAATAGCTAATAAGAAAGCTATATAAATAATAGAGCTTTAATTAAATATTTAATTACAAAGTGTCTTTGATAGATTTTTTATTTTGGCAATCATCTTCTTCGCTTTGCCATTAAGATTTCTAGCATATATTCTAATACAAAGGAGAACCTAGTGCAATTACAGTGGCTATTAAGTCTGAAAGAAATGTTAAACAATTTCCTAATATCCAAATAGTAATAATTAATAGGGCCCTTTTATTTATAAAGAGACAATACAGAATCATATTCAAGATAAATAATACAATACTACAATAAAATTAATTTAAATACCTGCAAATCCAAATAATTGCTGATAATAAGCAGCCTTCATATATAAATTATGGTATTGCTCTTCCCAAGATAAATCCTAAGAGTAAAATACTACCTAAACTTTAAAAGATTTTCAGACTATCATCATTTATATAATTTACGCTCTTAATTCTTTTTTGCATTTTGTACAAGCATAGATAGGTTTACCAGTAGGAATTTCATGTGGAAGATCGTGACTTTCTATGAAAACAGCAGAAAGTTAAGGAATGGGTTTCAGATTTAGGTTTCTTTGGCAAGACTCCTCACTTTTTTAACTATCCAAAGGATCTGTAATTTAGAAATTGCTATATTTTACATTGAATAGCTTCTTGCTCGATGCTTTACGTTTTTTGATTGATCATTTTTTGTAAAGGAATGAAATTGTTTATAATTATTACGCAAAAGTATAAATATAATTTTATTGTTGTGATGTATGATATTTCATTTATCAGTTAAGAAATATTATTCATTAAATTATGTAACTACATGAGTCTTATCAATTCTATTATGAAATGCTACTTCCCTAATTATATCTAAAATTTTCTTAAATAATTATAAAATCCACAATATATATTTTTAAGTTTTATTATATTAAAGTTTTATATTTAATAATAAATAAATTATCATTTATTCTTTAATTGTTAAAGAATTAACTTCTTCTAATGAAGCAATTAACTTTGTTTTGCTAATAATTCTTAAGCCTTTTACCAAACTCTTTCCTCTTCCTCTTTTTTTTGACTATTTGTTTGCTTCTCTTTTTTATGTCCTCTAGCACTATTAATTCTATCTTGTCTATATTTACAAGCACTATCTTTCTCATTCTTTAAATCCAATTTTTAAATATGTAAGATTTCAGAACTCTATTTTATTATTTAACTTTGATTCTTTCTCATATCTTATTAATCACATTTCTATTATTATTTCATCATCACAGAACTATAAGCTTTCTATTATTGTCTTTCTCTAAATTCTTAAGCCTTTTTTTATTTATCATGTTCTTTAATAGCTTAATTTAATTTATATTATTCTTCATTTTCTCTTAAGATATCTTAATTTTCTTTTTATATTGCTTATTTTTATTATTATTTTTCATTTCTCTTATCTTTCCATAATTGTTCATTTTCCATTCTTTTAATCTTTTTAATTTCGTTTTCTTAAATTTGAAGATTCAATTACCAAGCATAGAAGTCAATACCAAATTTTTCAAGCATTTCCTAATTTTATTTTTATAAAACTTCATCCTTATTTTTTTTTGATGCATATCTTGTACCAATTAGTTTCCATTATTCTTAATATTTTTTATTATCATTTAATTATAAAACATGATCGTTCTCAATTTTTAAATTCTCCATTAATTAAAAACATTATTGTATTACATAACATTATCTTATGATTTAATATAATTCCTTATTTTGAATAATAGTTACAGCTTCTTATTAAGACATAAGACTTTATAACATTTCTAAGGATTCTTCAAAGAGGCATAAATCCCTTTAAAAGATTTATCTTTACAATAATAATTTAGGAAGTTGTTTAATTGTTTAGACTGTTTAAGATACATTCTAAAAGGTTTTTTAAATTAATTATAAATTAATGGGAGGTATTTTAGAATTAGTTCTTGGAAAATCCTTATCTACAATAGCAATAGCAATAATAATTGGTGTAAATATTGCATTTAAATATACAGATTCACTTTATTATTATAGATTTAATTATTAGATGAATTGAGTTGTCAAATATTCAGTCATTTGAGAATACATTCTTTAGACTATTGAATTATTATCTTATTTTTATTATAGATTAGGTTATTTTTTCATTAATAGATGACTAAATTCTTTATATTGATCATTAATTTTAATAATTGATTATTTTGATAGCCATCCTTTGCTTTAAACTTCTTTTGCAAGAGATATGGTGAATTCAAAAATTTCATTAGTTTTTGATTATAATTATTACATAACATACTAAAATAAATACTAATAAATTACTAATTATGTTTTTCCATCCTTTAAATCATCTACAATTGGTTTAGATTCTAAAGCATCTCTAATTTCTTCCATCATTTATATTCTGAAAGGAGAAAAGGTTGGATGAGTTCTTTTCCTTTATTTTGATTCAATAGTTCTTGATTAAATAGATAATTAAGATTATGGTTATGATTAACAAGATAATTATGATTATGGTTATTATTATTATTATTATTATTATTATTATTATTATTATTATTATTATTTTCTTCTTTCATCTATGAATGCTCTTTCAACAGTTATTTCTTAATACTAAACTGGTATACTATATTCTTATTATGGTAATAAATCATCATTTAAATATTCCATCTCTTTTAATACTTATGGAGTGAATAAACTACCCAATAAGGATACTTATTAGATTTATGGTTATTTTTTTAATTATTATTATCTTAATCTTTATGGAGATTCACTAATAGGAACAGGTATATTTTATTATTCTTAATCATTAAGTAATTTATTTGCACTATTCATTTGATATTTAATTTCTGAATTATTGAATTCATTTTTATTTTCACTTGTTACAATATTATTATTTCCATGAGTTAATTCAAATTTATTAAGGAGATCCTATTTTAATGGAGATTAGAATAAAAGTGGTTTTTCTAAACTTTATTTACTTATTCTTAATTCATTTTAATAAAATTAGATTTATTCTTAGAGTTGTTATTTGAATGTAACAGAATCTAGATTAATTTATATTATATTATATTACCATAACTTCCAAATTAAGGGATATCATATTAATCATCATCTCTTTATTGTGTATCTTATGGTATTTAATAGAATTAATCTTAATTATATTGTTAATCTTCTTCATATTCTTATTCATCTTAATTTAATTTATTTGAAAAATCTTAAATATCATCATAATCATCAGATTTCTAATCTGATAATTTTAATTATTTTTTAACACTTGAGTATTGATATTATTATTTATATGATGGATAATCTTTATCATAATATGGTTGAACTGATTTGAGTTATTTTGAAGATTTGGATTATTTTTATAATAATTGAATTTCCTTTTGTAATTTTAATCCTTTCATAGGATCAAAGACATATGAATCATTAGAATCTAAATGAACTTCTTCATCATCTTCTTCTTCTGTAATAGTACCACAACGTAATTGCTTATCAAAATATTGCAATAATTAATTGTCAATTTGTAATGCAATTTATAAATTTTGTTCAAATTTGATTTGATTATAATTCTCCAATTATACTATTGCCTAAGTATTCAAATATTATTCTAAGAATGATTAGATATTTTACCGTCAAAAGGGTTGTATCCATAACAATCAATGTAATTGATTAAAGCAATGTAAGTGTTGGATTTGTTAGGTTAGTAATCCCTCAATTATTATTCACATTCATATGCTAGTAATGCAAAGCGTTGATGCTATTATCGATCCTCTGAAAATAATTAATAATAAGGATACAATTTTCCTCTAACTGCTTTTATTATAAATAAAGTTGTAATTATTGCATAAAAATTAATGTTATTTATCATCTGATCATTTTATTTCTATGATAATGATAAAAAATAAATAGTTAATAACATATTTTAATAAATCGAGTATTCAAAAAAGAGCTAAATCCTCATTGAATTATGTTGTTTCTGTGAAGTAGCATAATGTTGAATAATCACATAACAATTCAATAGATAGTCTGAACACTCGCGTTATGGAGGTCTTTGAATAATAATAGAAGGATGATTAAGTTCAGATATAAAGATTATTGATAAAGAAGCAACTATTAGAGATTAGAATACGACATGAAAATGAGAAATACGAAGAAACACTTAAAAATTATGAGCAATTATTATAACGATTAGAATCAATGGAACATAGCCAAAAAGAGTACATATCATAAATGAACTAATTGACTGATTGTTTAAGAGAGATTGTATAATAAAACAACGAGATGGAGAGTGCCTATGATGACAAATGTAAAGAATATGATAGTTTGATATAAATAATTAATAAATGAATTAAATAATGGATTCAGAAGGTGATGAAGCTATATTAAAAGCAGGAGATATCATCTAAGGAAGATTTCGTATAGGAGATCTACTTGGAGAAGGATCATTTGGATCTGTCTTTAGGATTTATGATACATAGAACAACAATGAAGTCTTTGCAATCAAAGTAGAGTAAGAATTGGAAGAAGAAGAAAGTATGTTAGAGAGAGAAATCAAGATTATGATGGAATTGAAGTATTTTACTTATGCATTATATTCATTTTAGGAAGAAACCTGGGTTCCCATAAATATTATACTATGGATAAGAGAATCATTTTGTTTATTACATTATGAATGTGCTTGGACCCAACCTTGAAATTACTAGCAAGAAATGTGGAGGATCTTTCTCTCTTGTAACTATGTTGAGATTAGCTATTCAGGTATATGAGTATTTTATTGTTTAGTGTAGATGCTTAGCCGAATCGAAACGTTGCATTCAATGCGTCTCATTCATAGAGACATTAAACCTGATAATTTTGTATTAGGATTGGGATAATAATAAAATATATTACATCTTATTGATTTTGGATTATCTAAATTTTATGTAAATTCTAAAGGTGAACATATAAAATAAGTACGTAAAAAAGGATTAATTGGAACAGCCAGATATGCTAGTATTAATGCTCATAATGAACTTGAATAAAGTCGTAGAGATGATCTAGAAAGCATTGCTTATATCTTAGTTTATTTAGCTACTGGATCTCTACCTTGGATGAATTTATAAATTGAATAAAAAGATCTCAAATATGCTAAAATATTACATTTAAAAAAATCAACAACACCAGATGTTGTATGTAAAAATCTACCAGCTTGCTTTAATAAATTTTTAACTGCTGTTCGTAAATTAGATTTTATCACAACACCTGATTATGGAACTTATAAGAAATTATTCTAAAATGAATTAGAGAAACATTAAGTTTAACCATACTATGATTGGGAAGTAGTGGGTGATAATTCAACAAAAAAGAAGAGTAACACAATGCATATTATGCCAGTATTAATTATAATAAATTGAAGGAACAATTGAAACAGAATAATAGTCCTAACAATCTACATATTATAAATAGTAATGGAAATAATAATGGATCAAATAAAAATACTATGACTTATGGTCAAGATCAAATTATTGAAGTTGATATGGATAAGAAATTGAATTTATAAATTTCAACAAAAGGTGTTGATAATAAATAATTTGAAAGGTTTGAATAGATTTTGCAATAGAATCAGAAGAAATACTATAAGATGAATAGTTCAAAGAGATAAAATTCTGGAAGAACTAAAACTCCTATGATGGTGAATGTTCTTGAACCAGATGTAATTAATATTTATAGTATTTAGAAACAAATTCAATAATAATAATATGAATAAGTGTATGATGAAGTATAATACATTGCAAAATCAGCTAAATTCTTGTAACCACCCTCTACTCCAAATGTTAGAAATTCATCTTCCATAATAAATCCATATTATATTCCATCTTTAAATACTTCATAAGTGAATAATTATGATTGGAGTGAAGGAGAAGAGATAAGTAATGAAGGCACTCCTTTATGGTGTATGTATGATGAAAAAGAGAGACAAAATGTAATGACTGGAATATAACCTAAAAAAAAGAATTCTATAAAACACAATAGTTTCAGTGCTCTCCAATATCCAATTCAGAATTAAGTAAGAGGAAGTGATGAAGAATTATTTGATATTGAATGATCATTAGTGTTGTTAATTTATATTCATTTATGGTTTCAATTGTAATGGTATTTATATAGCCATCTCTTCTCCAATAGATAGAAGATCTGAAATTTAGAAAATTTGATCATCTTCAGGAAATTTTAATATTTTAGATGCTTTGAATATTGCTTTAACTTGATCTCCTAAAAATTACTTTAATTTTCTATTAATTTTATAATAATATCTATTTGATTTCCTATTTTTAGCAGCAATAGCCTTATAAGAATTGAATACACTTTCTATACTTAGATGTTCCTTAGTTAAGAAACTTGATTTCAATTGCTATTTAATTTATTCAGCCACTTCAATTAAAGACATCTATTTTAAAGATAATTATTTAGAATAATGAAGAAAATTTGTTTCTTTATCTTTTTCATTTATTCCAATTACTGGTTTAGGAGTATAATTAAATAAAATCAATTAATCTCGATCTAATAAAATCTATTTTAATTTTTCAACCTAATGAATTCTATTTAATATTGAAAATACATCTAATTCTTATCTAACACTATTTAATGATTTTTATAATAAAAACAATTGACTATCTTATTTATAATTTGCTTTTTTACAACAAAAACTATAAAAAAAGTATTTTAAACTTAAATGAATTGATTTTTTTGTCATTATTGTCTATTAAAATGTAGATAATAGAAAATGTTTTCTACTCTTAAATTTATATTTCTCCATAATCTTTTTATGTTCTTCAACTACTTTCATCACCCTTTCCTTATATTATGGATCCTCTTCCATAGAATCTTATTTTTCTTCATTTTATTTAATTTCATCAAGTTTCCTTCTTTTTGTTTTAGTACCTCCCTCTTGTTAAGTTTAGGCACTAATATGAAATTGATCTACAAGACCAGACCCTTTAGTTCCTTAATCAGAATCTGTATTATAATCATAATCATAAAGTCTATTAGAAATTTCCAAATAAACTAATTTTTATTTTATTATTACATTATGTTCTATTATAATATGTTATAAGTACTCCAACAATAGATATTACTGATTATGATAATCCACCTATTTTTGATAATAAATCAGTTATAGTCTAATACTCTCGATTATAATTAGTAGAGAAATTACTACGCATAAATACAATACGTGTCCAAATACTATCATTCTTTCCTTCATATAGTTATCTGTAAGAGTTTGTAGAAAATACACTCAAATTCTCTTCATCAAGTAATCCTCTAATATGATTTGGCAACACTACTCTATCTTTAGCTGTCCTTGGAAATCCTTTGTAATATGCTTATCAAAATGGTAATCAATTCTCTGCAGATCTCCTGGATTTAATTGTAAACTCATTGAATTATCCAAATAATCTTCAGCAACAAATTCATTATTGAATGGATTTATAAACTAAATTCATTAATAATTTAACATACTGTATTCTTTGTGATAAATTATAATTGATATGATTCATTTTCCTCTAACTCTTTACATATTTTACCCCAACTACTCAATTCTTCACATTTTCCAACATCAATCATTAAATTCTTAAAAGATAAAGCTATAATTATCTATAAACTATCTACAATACTAAGTCCCTTCTAATTGAATGTAGAACTAAGAAGTAGGACACAACCACATCTCCATTTAGTTAGATTGAAGAAATTTTAATATCTTATCTGAGTTAATAAGACTTGTGAATTGTTCCAAAGTGCATTATTATAATTGAAGTCTTGAGTTATTCTTTTATGATCTTTGATTAATTGTTATATCAAAGGAAGGAGAATTGTAAAAGTCTTATTGATTGACTCTAATTGCAAAAATGAAATTTGTTTGATTGAGTTCTAATAGATCAGGATCATAGCTGAATTTAGTCTATCACTATAATTTTTTATTATACTTCTTATGTAATCTATATACCTCTTTGGATAGTGTACCCAATTATTTCATTAACACTATAAATAATGAGTAAGAGTATAATGAATATAGATATTAATCCTCCAAAAGAACTTTTATATTTTGTATTTAAATCAAGATTTAGGTTAATTGGTTATCCAAAGATATCCATCTTTCTGATTACTACATTCATATATATTATTATTACTTTAAGTTATTTGTGCCATATATAGACTTTACAAAAATGTAAAATATTATTAATTATTTAACAAATATGGATATCAAAAATCATTTAAATGGCCATCAAAAACTATTTTCTCAAGTATTTGACGCTATTATTATTCATACTAAATATAATGTTATTTTAATGATGTTACTTTAATTTCATCATCAATCATTCTATATTATTAATCAGCTTATTTTATATCTACACTAGTAATTAGTTAATCTTAATTAGGTATATATCTATTTGGAATATCTTAATCTATTAATTTATCCTATTTTATATAAATAATTCATATCTACCCAATCAAAATTTTCAAACCACTGATGTCCTTTTAGATTTGCAAATGAATTGCCTAATCTTACTTCTGGAATTTTTGAAAGCAACCTAATTAAAAATTAAATGAATACTATTCTATTAACTTTTTGGCCTTTCTATCTTTAAAAAACTATGGATATATAATATCATTCTTAATGATTTACTCATAAATTTCATATGGATCTTCAGCATCTTCTCCAAAAGGTACATATCCACAGAGAAATTCAAATAAACAAATTCCAATAGACCATAAATCAACTAAATTATTGTACCCCTTTCCACAAATAACTTCAGGTGCCATATCTTAAATAACTATTAAAATATTACAATAAGGAGTTCCAATTATTGTAAATGTTCTATTAAGATCATTTTTAGTAGAGAAGGGTTTTGCAATTCCAACATCAATTAATTTTAAGTATCCTCTAGAATCTACCATGAAATTTTCTGGTTTAATATCACGATGTATAATTTTTTACTTGTAGAAATATTCAACAATTAATATCATTGATGCAATATACAATTAAGAATCATAACTAGAGAGTAATCCTATTAATTAATAGATATTTTACCAATATCACGAATTACATCATATAATTCTTTACCATTAACAAATTCTTATAGTAAGAATAAATCATAATCATCTTAAAAAGTTCTATAAAATTTAATAATAAATGGTGATTGTAAAGATTCAAGTACTTATTTTTCTGTTTCAAAAAAACTAATTATACAAATACAATACTTTTCCAATTAATATTATTTAATATCATATTTGTTATAGGTTTTTAAAGTAAATAGTTATTAATTAGATTTAGCTTTGACTAGATAGACAGGTCCAAATTAACCAAAAGCTAATTATTTAATGAAAATTAAATCTGATTTCTTAATGGATTCATAATTATTCTATTTAATTTGATATTTCATTTTCTTATCTTAAATCTTTTCATTCTTTTTAATTACTTCTTCTAAGAATCCTCCTATACAATCAATAAAATTATCATAACTCATCTCTGCCAATACTCCATCAGTTTCCATTACAATATCATCATCAAATCTAAGTATATAATATAAATATACAATTTATTTTTATTCATTATTAGAAAATATTCTTCTCCCCATACCTATCCTTTTGTTGCAATTACTATACCTGATTTATTCTTCTTCACACAACCTTCAACTACTACAATAATTTTCTATTAAACTGATGTTCCTTTCTTCATAATTATATCACCTGCTTTATATAATATTAATTTAAGTTGATTAATAGACTTATCAATTTAAGTCTTTGTTAATTTTTACAATAATGCATTCTTTTCAAATGCCCATTTCAATAAATTTCTAAATGTTACAATATGGATTTAATCTCCTAATAATTTAGTCAATGCATCTCTTCCTACAACTAAACAAGTTATGTCATCTTCTGCTTAAACAGACATTTATCTCATTGTATTATAGAATAATGATTATTCACCAAATGTATCACCCTTATGTAACTTCTTTATTTCTTTTCCATTCTTAGTTACCATTGCAGTACCCTTATATATTATATATATGTACATCTTTAATAATATAAAATGAAGATCCTGGATCTCCTTCTGTAACTAACATTTATTATCTATAAAACTTAAGTGTTTTTAAGATAGAGGCAATTGCATCCTTTTATTCATTTGTAAGATCATCTATAAAATTAATTTATCTTCATTTTTACAAAAAAATCTAACATTTTCTAAGAATTTCCTATTTTCTTCATATTCTTGTAATATTTTCTCTTCAACTGCTCTTCTGAAACTCACTCTATCTATTCCAAAAAGATAACAATTCTCATAGCATTTTACTGATGCAGATCTAGGAGAATCATATAATAAAGCTAATTCTCCAAAACCTTCACCAGCTCTAAGTTCTCTTTTTGGCTATTAATATATATAATCAAATAGACAATACAATATCATCGACTGTCACTCCCAAACTTCCACGATGTACTATAAAAAAGCATTGAGCTTAATCACCTTGTCTAAAGAGATATGTTCCAGATTGTGCTTCACAATAGAACATTTTATTGGCTACTTATGTTCTATTCACATATATAGACATAAATACAATTCATCTTCATTCAAATTATAAAATATGAAATGAAGTTTGAGAGATTGAATAATAAATGAAGTCTCATTAAGTCCTTGTTTAAACTCTACTATTTTCATATTCTCTGATAAATTCAAATTACATTATTTCTAGTCTTCAGAATCCTTGATATATATAGAGATTATATACATTTGCTTATCTAATTTCTTCATCATTTATCTATTCATCAATATCCATTAAATTTAAAAAATAAATCAATCAAAATACCTCAACTCAAGTTTAAAATTACTTAAAATTGATAAATATATATGTATAATTGATTCAAAAGTATCTCAATTTTAAATTTTAAGATCTCATTATAAGATATATATGATAATTTATCAAATAATAATGATAATAATATTAGCATTTAAAAATAATATGTATTTTTATAATTCATTTTTCTAAGAATTATTTTAATGCATTTTCATTAAACAATTATTCTTCTTCTAATCTTATAGCTTCTTTATTATCATGAACTAATAATAAAGTAGGAATTGATTTGATCTAAATCCAATCAGAAATTCTAGCAGGGTTATTTGGATCTTTCCATCAAATTATATGAGTATTTTATTACGTTTCCTTATCACCTGCCCAACACCAATATATTGTATATGCTTTCTATAATAATTATGGAATTGCATAATTCTTGATAGTAGGTTCTGCTTCAACAGTATCTGAACACCATGATTAACCAGTTTCAGCTAGAATGTCTCCAACAAATATTAAGGCTGCCTTTCCTTCTTTATTGACTTTTTCAGAATAATTGGATGTTGTGACTTAAATAACTTAATCCATTAAATATATGATTAGATAATAATCAATAATCTCAGCTGAATATTTGGTGTTTGATACAATCGATCTCATAAAGAAAGGATAATATAAACAATGTGTTGCAAAAATTAATAGATTAGTATTTGATCCTCAATTTGTTAAAGGATAGCCACAATTCTTACAATTGTAAATCTAATTATGTCGTCGACTCTTATATTGTTGTAATAAAATCCTTAAAAAGTAAAACCTACTTATCATACTACTAGATACTTTCTAAAATATTCAGATAAATCACACAAAATTCAACCGTTACTTAATCGATCGATTGAATTAAGTTTCCATTATATTGAATTATTGGAAACTTATCAAAAAGAGAATAGTAAATTTGATGGCTCTCCTCTAGCATCTCCATCTCCAACAATAAAAAAAAAATAACTTTTTAAAGAACTTTATACAGAATAATTAAGTCTAGCTCATAAGATGGAAATGTTTTTCTCTTCAGATATTGTTAATAACTATGTACAGAAATCAAATATTTGGTTCCAAGATCATTGTCATAATTGTTATATTCAACTTATAGAAACACTTCTAAATGCATATAGATATCATAAATGTAATAGAACACATTATCCATCTCTCTTTCTACATCTCTTAACTCAATTAATGACTTATTGTAACAAATAGAATACAAATAATCGTAAGAATCATAAGTTTTCACTCTTAAAAGGAGAAGTTTATATTCTCTTAGGAAATGCGTACTTTGAATTAAGTATTCATTATTTATATATGTTTAAGATGATTATTCAAAAGCTGAATAGAATTACCTATCTTCATTAGATGAAGCTATTGTATCTGTTAGAAGTCTTTTAGATGACATTGAGAAATTGAAAATTAATGTAGATTCAAAAATTGTTAAGATTCAAATATCAAAATTGATTAGTCAAATTATCATAAGTTTAGATTTATAATCAATAATCAATTAATAGATTGAACATTACAATCGTTGTATTGAAATTAATCAAGTTTCACATCTATTTAATAAAATCCTAATATATTTTAATACTTGCAAAGAACTATAATAACATTTAGATAATAAAACTAATGAAATCAAAGATAATTATAAAGATTATGTTTAAGAAAATACAGAAATCTGTAAATTACTTTCCTTGATATTCTAAATTCCATTTAAATAATATCCTATAAATATTAATTCTACTTTTAATTTTGAATAACTAACTCAAACAGATTAATATTAACATAAATTATTTGAGAAATATGAATATTCAAAAAATAATACAACATTTTTTATTAAGAATAAAGAATTACCACCTAAACCTAAAAATCAAACATCATAATCAATTTTAGAAAATGCAGGTCTTACATAATAATATTTCATTAGAAATCAATCAATGAAGAATTTTAAATTAAAACATAATAATTCTTAGTAATCTATTGAATAATCATCTACTAATTATAATGATAGTCAAATATAAAATAAAAATGATTAAAGTAGTCTAAGTTAAATAGATACTTCCAATATCTCTAAAATTAAATTTGGATAAACTCCAAAGATGGCACATAGATAGAGTTTTTTAAGTGAATTAATTCATCTAAGAAATTAAGGTGTAAAAACTGATAAATCTGTTGTTTAAGAGACTGATGTTGAAAAAAATCATAGATAATAAAAAGAATTATTATAAAAAATTAATAATAAAAGTAAATTATTAATATTAAATAGATTTCTATTAACCCTTAGATTAAGTTGTTCATACTTATATCAATGAAAATCTTACTAGTCATTAAAAATGTCAATCACTTGAAGAAGTAAAGTAAAATGCCAGAATTATCTGTTAAGCTGAGGCAGAAGTACATAAAGAAGTACCAATTACAAAGAGTTTATTATATGCTAGAAGAATGACATGTCCTTAAGGAGTCTTGGTTAAAGATTAAAATGCAGAAAATGAATTCAATAAGTTATTAGAGTTTAATGTTATAGAATATTTTGATTTTGTGTAAACCAATAAAGATTAAGCTGTTATTAGCTTAAAAGCATAATAAGAAAATTAATAAGTTAGAATAGCTTAATAAAATTTATTCTCGGAAAACTTCATTCCAAAAAAGAAGTTGAATTTTATTGAAAACGAAGAAATAAAATAATTAGAATAAGCTCAAGTAATTGCATAATAAGCTGAGAATCTCTTAAAGAAAACATAAGATAAAAGAAAATCTACTTCAAAATAATCTAGACTTTCCATTTTGTCTTTAATGTCAGAGAAAACATTTAAAAAATAAGAATCTATATGTGTTCCTATTACTTAAGAGTAAGTGATGGAAAAAGCTCGAAATTCAATTAAACATGTTATTTCTCTTAATGAAAAATAGAAAGAAGTATTCGAAGAGTAGGATCAATTTTTGAAAGAAGTATAATAATATGATTGATATGTTTAGGCAGAATTACCATATAAATTTAAAAGATCTATCTCTGGGAAACATAAATCTAAGTAAGAGTGTAAAAGTATCTTGATTAAATAAGAATTCGGATAACTCTGTTAATCGACAAAAAACATTAGGGAGAAAGATTTTAATATACTCAATAATAATAATAATAATAATGAATAAAAACTAAAAGGAATTATAAGTTTAGAGAAAATAAAATGAATAATAATATAGTTTTTATTAATATTGTTTCAAAATGGTTGACTTAACTATTTTAGTTATCTAGAAAATTGTGAAATGTCTTATTAAGTAAAGATTTTCACTAATTAATTGGATGAACAATTTTTGCATCCATCACATTTACAATGATCAGAACATTCAATACCCATTTAATAACATTCACAATACTTCTTTTTACAACCACTTTTTCTACAATTACATCCCTAAAATGATATAAATATAGAATACTTTAGCATGAGCAATTTTTTAATCTACTTCTTTAATTTTCTAATGAAATGCTTCTGGATTTCTTTCCATCATTTTTTTCATATTTAGATTTCTTTCTAATAAATTTGAACTGTTATTAAAACATCCACAACAATTACATTTTGATGAACATAATTTATTAGCTGCAAAACAATCACAATATAATTTAAGGCATTTACTCTTTTTACAATTACAAGGTTTAGTTTCTTCAATCCTATAATAAAATTTAATTAATAAAATAAATTTTATTAAGTTTATATTTTGTATATGATATTTGAATTTAAAATATAATTCTTTATATCGTATTGTTATTATAAGATATATATGTTACTTACTCTTATTTTTAATTGTTTGTATTGGTTTTAAATAAATTTTATGCCAAATTATTTAAATTTCCGATTGAATTCTGTGATTAGAACTTTAAAAATGATTTTTGTTCTGAATTGCATAAGGAAATATTTTTTGTTTATGGAGTTCTATAATAATAAGTTATAAACATATACTAAAAGTTACTTTTGTTGAGTGTTTATGGAAATGTTATCTCATTACTCTAGAATATTTTCTTAAATGGTGGAGTACATAAATTTAAGTTCTTATTTGTTTCTTAGGACTCAGTGAAGATAGTATCACAGTTTCTATAAGACATTGACAAACGTATTTAAATTTTTAAAATTAAAATCAAATATTAGCAGCATTTAATGTATAAATAACATCAGTTAATATTGAGATTCATTCCATTTAATATACGAATCCTTTCATAAAGTTAATTGTGTTTCATATTACCCAATTTAGCATATTCTCTTTATATATTTGTTATGGAATCAATTCGACCAAATTTAGACTCAAATTAATCTAATTTCTATATAATCTCATACTTTTTAGGTACTAATTAAGACAATAATTTCTCATCATTCATCTAATCAATATAAAAATAATACATACATCTTTTTATCTAAATTTTAATAAATTATAATTGAAATCAAATCCTTTATCATAAAATTATTTCCTATTTCCTTCTTACTTAATCTTTTCTGATAAAGTATCCTGAACTTTAATGCAAAAACAATACAATTATTTCACATAATCATATTCAATCACTAAATTACAAATTGATTTAGCCTCATTCAACAATATTTCATAAGGTTAATTAAATTGCTTTTCAAATAAACTTTATATTTCATCAACATCATATAAATTATTAGTGAGAAACTGTTTTTCAATATAAAATTATAGATCACTACATTCTTTGGATTATCTTACTATAAATTAAATTTATTCTTTAGTAATATTGTCTATTAATAAAGAGTGATTATTTAATATATAAAATACTTAATATTAAAATGTTAATTGTTTAAACTTTTGACATTCTATATCTTCAAAGATTAATTTCTCTAAAGTTTATGGGATGTAAGGTTTCAATATTTTGATTAAATATTTAGTCCCATTAAACATTTATCCCAATCCCTATAATAATTATATAATATTACTTCAATATTTAATGGTAGATTTATTAGATTGTATGTTAGATTCATAAATCCAACAAATCTCTATTAATTATCTAATATGTCTTCTAATTTATTTTTTCCTTTTCTTATTTGATACGTTTAATCAAATGCCAATATTAATTTGTAAATGTAATACTTAAATTCAATTAATCTAATATTTTTATGCACTATACTTTTAGTCTTTCTAATTAATTTAATAAGAGTATATGGATATTTTTTGATTTTCATTAGAAACCTAAGTTTATTAATCTCTTTAATGAGAATTGATTGCAAATTATGATTTGGTTAACCTAGTTTTGATTAATTTATTAATTCTATCAGGGTTTTAATCTTTATAAACTAAAGATTATATAAATTATTATTAATTATCGAAACTATTTGGATAAGATATCCTTTTATTACTAAATGATTATGTCTTCTCAGTAGATTTTTGAATCTCTTTAATGGGTAATTTAATTATTTTTATTTTTGTTTGAGAAGATAACTAATTTAACAAACCTATAGAATTATCTTAATAATGAATTTCTTTGTAGAATATTAATTTTCTTCTTTTATTTATGCGTTATTATCCAATAGAATTCTAATTATATTCTGTAATGTTGTTAAGAGCATTTATTTGGGATTTAGAAGTTGCAGAATTGGAATACTTTATTATTTAATTTATCATCTTTTTATTTTCACTTTTTGATCTTATTATTCTTCTTGTTTAAGTTGGAATTTAGAATTCTCTAGTCTTTTCAATAATGTCTTATCTATAATAAAACTTTTATCTATTCATAAATTAAATATTTATTTAAATTCATGAGATGATGTCATCTGGTGTATTATATTTTTATTCACATAAATAATATATATTTTTTAATTTAATCTCCTTATCTTAAGTTATTGTAATTTAACAATACCTTATATTAATAATCTCATTTATCAAAGGACATTAAATAATTTATATATATAGAAATTAATAGTATTATAAAATATATAAAATGATAATAATAATTCATATTATTAATTTAATCTATTTGATGATATTTTTATTTATCATCACCTTCATAGGAATGAATCTTAATGAGTATCTTATTGAAAAGTAATTTCTTATTATTTGATGAATTAATAATCCATTAATACTAAATAATAAAATAGATATGAAGATTCCTAAACTAAACAATAAGATAACAATCATTTCAGTTTATGAAGTTAATTAATCTTTAGCTATTTAAATAAAATAATCAGAGAATAATCTCAATTGAAAATTGGTAGCATCTAAACCCCAATATATATACATGAAGTATTCTCTTGAAAATAAAACATCCAAGAAATCTTTGAGAAACTCTTATTTTGTTTCATTATTATCATTCAATCCTAAATTTTAAGTTGCTAAGAATGTTTATTAATACAATTAGATCAATCCAACATTAAAGAACTTACTTATCTCTTTGACTAAAAATCTCTATTTAAATAATTCAGTTTCTGTATCACAACCTACAAGTAAACAAATATCATTTAACAATAATGAAGCCTTATCATTATCTGGTAGATCTTTAGTAATAATTGTAAATGGTTCTTATACCAAATTTAAATAAGATTGAATTATATCATTTTTATCTAATTCTAATAATTAAAGAATCTTATTATCACCTCTAATGTTTCCATTAATATTGGGAGTATTTTCATTTACATCAATATAATAATTATAAAATGTTTTGAAATTGTAACAATCCCAATTATTTATAAATTTAATAAATTACAATCTAATTTATATACCTGATAATGCTGTATTTACTATTGGATTTATTTAATTTGAATAACTGTTGTATTGTATTTAAAAGATAACAAAATATATGATTAATAAAACAAAAATAATTGTTTACATTATGTAATACATAGGTAGATTGAATTAATCATCTAATTTAATATTCTAAGCTCCTTAAGTTTATGTTTTTGAGACATCTTAACTCATTTCATAAAAACTCTAAAAAAATTTACTATTAAACCAAAATTCTTCATTTTTAACATTTTAAGCAACAAATTCAAGTCTTTATAATTCATCTTCAATATCACGATTATCTAATCTTTAAAAAATTTATAGAATTTATTTAATCTTATAAATAATTTATGCAAGAGTCAACATTAAAATAACATAGAAAACTAAAATTCCAATATAAAAGATATAAAAAATGATCTAAACCTATTAATCAAAAGCATTATTATATTCTTAACTATTTTAAAGACATGCCTCAATAAATTCTTATGTTATATCACATACATCATTGAAATTTAAAAATAAGATAGATCTTGTATTTATTTGTTGAAAAGTATCTAAAGTACCTTTTAAGTAAAGTGAAGGATCACCAGCAAAAGTCTTAATTGCTAAATAAAATAGTTAGTTCATTATTTCATAATAAGCTGCCTATGTTTATATAACTTAAGTTTATATTGTATAAACTTAATAATCAACAAATTTAAAATTAATTAATTTCTCATCCTAATAACTATTTAAAACAGTTTTATAATTTTCATATAAATTTATTAGATTTTAACAATTTTCTTTGTAAATCCATAATGTAAATGAAATTTTATCACTTGTTGTAATTGATACTTATATATCTTAATCAATATTAATAGTTTGATTATAGGGAATAAAATTATTAAAGTCTCTGTAAAAAACTGTGTGTCTACTACCCTTTAATATTATACCATAATAATCTAAGAATTCTGTTCCATAATATAATCTATTAAAACATATATCCTATTCATTTCTTTTTTACAATAGTAATATATAGATTACAACTAATCCAATTATAGAAATACACATATTTATTAAAGAAAGAAACATGAATTATTTAATTGCTGTTGGAAGTGTTTTCTAAGAAATATAAACTAATAGATCATCAGATGATTTAACAATAGTAGCAGTACTTTATCTAGAATGTAATGATCTAACAACATTGTCATTCTATTTTGATTTACTTTTGCTTTTTCTAATAATAATAAATTTATTTTTACTTTTTTATAAATTCTTTTTTATTTTCCTCTTAATATTCATGAATCTATTACTTTTATTCACTATCAAATTAAGTTAAATCTATCAGAAGTCTATAATAAATGTAATACTCCAAACCATCTTCAGTATGATATTATATGGTTTACAAAGAAATCTCATAATCTACTTAAGATATTTTATCTACTGATATTGAATTTACTGAGGTTATACTAAATTATTCTAGTTTTTCTAATTATTTAAAAGAATCTAAATCTTTACAGATATTACATGATTTATTATTATTATAAAATCTTGTAAAACGACTCATAATTTAAATTATTTAATTTTAAAAATAGAGAGGTTTAGCATTATTAGGTGAACTATGAAAATAAATTAAATTCTCTCTTAATTACGGTATCATTTAAAATAGATTAATTTAATTTAATTATAATTAATACTAATTTATAAGTTATTTGAATTATTTATCTGAACACATCAAATTAAAGTTATAATCCAAAAGAATTATAGCATTATTTTTTTAATTAATTTTGTACAAATATGCTATTAATTGATATTTATTCAAATTCTATTTAGGAAAATATGGAAAGAGAATCATTTTAACAGGAATTATAGTATTTGCATCTGGACTAATCATGCTTTCAATTTAAGTTCCAATAATTCTTGATTTTCCTTTTTGTAAATATTAATCTACCAATTTGATATGAGATGCTCTAAAAGAAGGATGTAATATTTGAGAAACAGAATTTAGATTAAAATGTTCATCTAATTCTAAAAATTGTAATTATTTTAATGTTATTTTTGAAGTAATTTCACCAGATTCTTTCTCATTCAATGATGCAACCAAACTAATTGCAAAATTTGAAGTAAAAGCTATATTAGTAAATTCATCTTCTCTATATATTTCATTTTAAATTATTTCATCTATTCTCATTTAATTATCTATTTATTCTCTTAAATTTTATGTTAAAAATGATATCAAATGACATATACGAAGTGCAAAGATATTGTTTAATTATTTGTTATCATAAATTTTAAGATCTCTACTCTTTTTTATTAAATCTTAAACCTTTTCTTTTAATTTATATAAAGAATCATAAAGTTTTTAAAAGTTTTGAATACTCAACAATTTTAAAGATTCATAAAATTTATATTTCTCTATTATTACCTTTTATAATTCTTATTAAACTATCAAGCCTTCAAATTTTAATAATCTCATTTCTTCTATAAATTTTACTTGTTATTTCTATTGCATTTCTGTTTGTAATTTATTTTACAAAACTTATTCCAAATATGAAAAGATTTCTAATATATATCCATTTTAAACATTCTTTTTTTAATTCAAAATAGTTTAATGAGCTTAAATTGTATTATTGGAAATATCAATCAATATCAAAATATACTGTAATGCATTCTCTTCAGAGAATTTCTATTATAATAGATTCTTGTAATATAAATTGATGATTTAACTTATTTCTTTTTCAGATAACTTTCTTACATCATTTTTACATGGACATCTCAAAATTTAACAATGCATTTGATGTTATCGATGCAAGTACAAAAATTATACGGCTTGATTATAATTTGATCTGTAATTGAGGTAACCATTATAGTATTATTAGTAAAATGATACTGATTAATAATTTTTAAACAGTAGTGAATTAGCTAATTAATTAATCATAGTCTATAAGGATTATGTAAGCTAAATTATCAAAGTAATATTACTGTAAGAATTAGCATAAAATCATATATCATTTAATCATGTCCTGTTATTTAAGAATATGAATATGCTACTATATAACTTATAATTATTGAATATACTCTTATCTCTTGAAAGTATAGTTCAGAATGGTTTATTACTATTTCTCCATATAACCATATTATCAAGTAAATAAAGTAAATTAGACTAAAATATTGCAAATAATAATTGATATCAAATAATTATGAATACAAAATGATCTATTAAATTATCAATATATTAAACAATGCTAATTTAGAAAATTGTTTATTTATGTTTAAAGATTTGAAGTGTATATTCTAAAAATAAAAGCATTATGTTATTCCAAATAAGAATATCAATAGTGTATTTAGAATGCATATTGCTATTTTTTCATTTTAATTCATATTCAATGAAAAATTTGCAGAAATTATTTAAAAAGGAATCAAAAACAATCGATCATAATTACTTAATAATAAGCGAAAGAATATGGCAGTATTGGCTTTCAAATTAAAATAAAAGGTAAACAATAAAATTATGGCAAATAATGCTATGTTACATATTGTAACGAAATAAGGGCTCAACTCTCTTAAAATTGAATTGAAAATAAAAGTTAATATTGGTATTTCAGAATCGCAAATTTAAGATGCAATCATAAAAAGTTCAATTAAGTAAATTGGAATGATAAAGTATTGAATTACAAATAATTCAGTTGATTAACTTTGAGAATCATAACATTATACTGATGCCATAAACCCTCTGTATTTTTTTATGAATTTCTCACTCATTTCACTAATTATCATAATTTTAATAAATTATTCATCTATTTCTTATATTCAAAAATTCAATTTAAAATAATTTTATTTATACATTTAATTAATATAATATTTAATACTTTACTATTTATCTCTACTCTTTTTAGGGGGGGGTGAGGTGAGCTTATAATTATAAGGAGTCACTACACAATTATTTTAGTGATTGTTTACCTAGCTTAGTAGAAATATGTAGAATCTATAGAATTATGTTCATTTATTTAAATATTGTTTAATATAAAGAATAATTTATAAATATATGGATTATCAAAAAATAAATTATATAATGTTACTATTATTCTGTAATTCTTAATTAAAATCGTCCTTTATCTTTCAACTATTAAATTATATATTTTTTATACTACATCACAGATTCAGTTTTAATGTAAAAATGAAAAATTTCATTATATTAAAAAAAGCATAAATTTCAAAATAATATAACTTTTAATAATTCTTACAAATTAGTTCTAAAATTAATCAAATTATTCTTACTAATTGCTTATTGTTTTTACAATATCAATATCAAATAAAAGTCCTTAATTTTCTTTGAGAAAAACTGAATATAGCACAAATTTATAATTAAACATAAATTAGACAAATAATTAATATTAAAACATAGCAATTCAGAAGACTATCCCTTATTCTACTACTTTTTTACAAAATTCAGTAAGTTTTATTTTAATTTTATAATCAAATTAGCATTGTAAGGGAATAATATGGAACTGATTGTAAATTGTAATTTCATACAAGGTTATGTTGTTAGTTTCATTTCTAAATTATATTTATATAACAATCCTTAAGGGTTTTCTAATAATTAATCTAACCTTTTCAATCAATTTTTAATAATTATTGTTTAATTATGAAAGCAAACAAACTTCAAAGAATATCAAATAGAATCAAAAAGAAAGCTATTTAAGCTTTGCTTTACATCTCAGAAGATGAATTTGATATCACAAAAAGCTCTTTTTTCAATTGTTTAAAGATTATAGTGTATTTTTTATAGTTGGAGGGATATGTTTTTAGTTAATATGAATCAAAACCCTTAACATTAAAAGAAAACATTTACTTTTCTAATTATACTCAATTATCTGCTTTTACTTTTATTCTTTTTTAAATAGGGAATGATTTCTTAACATAATTATTTTTTTACGTAATATTTTTCTTGCATTTAATTATATACTTGTTACTTGCAATATTATCATTAGATAAATAAATTGAGAAATCTGGCATAACAAAAAAGATGCTACATTTATTTTTTACAAATTATTAATGGATTTTTGTTACACCATTTTAAGAAATTAGTATTGGTGTAATGGTTTGTGGTGATAATGCTTTTATTAAATAAAACTAATATTCTCAAGATTGTTAATAAACTAAAAATCAATTTTTATATATATTTGGATCAATATCAACAATCTTTGTATTTATTTCAGGATTTTCAATTTCATATTTTTTTAGAAATTATTAATTCAATGATAAGACTTTTTCAAGATAATTTAATTATGCAACAATTCTTAGAATATTGCTTCATTAAATTGTAATAATATTGTATTATATTGATATAAATGGTATTGATTTTATAAAACATGCAGTTTCATAAACTATTGGATTAACATTAATTTTGGATATTATTTTTAATTAGCCATTTGGATATTCATTTGATTCTAAATTTTATAGTGCAGCCACTTTAAATCATTAATGTCTTTTAATATTGTCCACAATTTGGATTTTCAAATCTAAATAAAATGATGAGTTTATATTTTTAGCTTTCTTAATGTTTATTCCAGTAATAATAAATTTTATATTTAGATAAATACATTTGTATCTAATCAATTTTTAAGATTGAAATAATTGAAAATTTATAATACATTTAATCCTTTTGCATTTTAAAACAAATTTGATAAATAATTAGAGGAAATATATAGAGTGGCAGAATCAAGTGAAAACAATGTAGAATCCAAATTATTATTGTATTTAATATTCAATAATCATATTACTATTTGTCAAGATATTGAATGTCTATGTATGCGAGACATACAATCATTCTTCATTAACAATTCTATAAATAGTAACAAGCTCAATTAATGGACAACTATTTTATTTTAAAAGTAATTGAACTTTGCTTTAATTAATAAAGATTTTGACTTTTATGAACATCTTTCATTGAAATTTGTTACATTTCTAGCTAAATATTAGAACAATCCTATAAATGCTTATTCAGTATTGTAAAAGATTATGAATAGTTAAAAGTCTTAATCTTAAATGTCAAAAAGTAGGAGACAAACAACAGTTTCGTTTTATTTCAAAAACATTTAAAAGATTCTTTTGAGACGTAATCGAAAATAATTCATGAATTAATAAATACATTGTTCAAAGAAAGTTGAATCTTTATTATAAGGATAAGCATAAATAGAAAATATTGGTTAGTAAATGTAAGAAGAATTGTTAAAATTAGCAATGGAAAAATAAAAATTTTGGGAGAGTTATTTAAATAGTAAGATAGCATCATTTTAGCTATTAGATTAAGCATTAAATAGAGTTCAATAAAGGATTATTTAGACAACTTATATTATTAAATAATTGAGGAATAAAATTTAACATTTAATTAATTAAAAACATGATTGTGTTAGTATTTTAAATTTTGAATTACTATTTAAAATATGTACAACAAATAATGCTTAAGAAGTTTATGATATTCAATAAAAAATCAAATCAATTTTACTTGCTGATTAATATGAAGATGAATCATATTTGAATATACACTTTTAAACTAAGGAATGTATATCTTTAATAGCAAATATTTCATAAAATAAAAGAGGAGAACTTTGGAAACCTAATCAAACTGTTTTATAGAAATTCTTTTAAAAAAATTAAGAAATTAAGCATTTAAATGATATATTACCTAGTTTCATAGCAGATATACATAATGGAATCATAGAAAATTATATTAGATAAGGTAGAAGTTCAAGGACTAATGCAGTCACATAAATTTTTTCTAATATTGGTGAAGAATACATAGAACCAATTTAATTTACTCTTAAATTTTTTTTCCCCAAATTTGAATCTGATGATGACTTTTATATGATAGGATTTCTAAGGAAGGAGGAGGAAATTAGTGAAAGTAATTAACATGAAAAAAAAGTATCAGGTTATATTTGTTTTGATCAAAATTTAAATATATTAGGTATTAATTAAGTTGTAGCCTAAAAATTAAATCACAAATTTTAACGTTTTAATAATTATAACGGATTAGATATTTGTTCTTTATTACCTACAATACTATCTTCATTAATTGATTAATATAAGTAGATCTTAAATGGGAAGATAGATAATTTAATTGATAATGAAATGATAATTTAAAAAAATTAAGAAGTATTTTATGTTCCAAATGAATTCTAAAAAAATTATTACATAAATCCAAATGATAGTTTAGTTGATAAAATTAAAAAATTTGAAGAAATTTATGCTGAAATACAAGAAGAATAATGTTAATTTTTGAACAGTTATCATGTGGATTATCAAATATATTCAAAAAGATTAAAATACTTTAATGAATGTACAAACAATGTACAATATAAAGAATTTTTAATATTACAATTACAATTCTTAGAAAATCATTTTTCTAATGAGAATAATAATATAAAAGTTTATTAAAAAAATCAAAGTTAATAAACTGAAATAAATGTCAATAATTTAGATGGAATCTTAGAAATAGCATCTAGTAGATCTAAGTCAAGTACAAAATCAGTGTTATAATAAATATAAATATTTCACAACCTTTTATCAAACTTAACTAAAAGCAAACATTAATAATTATTCAAAATCATAAATGTATTTTTTTTATTCTTTTTTATTTTTATATTCATCACAGTAAGTTTTACTTTCAAAGGTAAAAATGTTATATTTAATGATTGTAAAATTAAATAAATTTAAATCATATATGAAGTAGCAATTTACTCTAGTTTGATAAATAGTATAAATAATGAAGGAATAGTTGAAATATCCAAACCTTATTTTGATATTAATGTTGAAGATGTAAATCTTAGTATTTCTTATTTGTAATACTAATAAATTTTATCAGAATTAATTGATTACTCATCTAATAATTTTTTTAGGATTATTTAAGAGACAGATTTCATTTTGGATTTGCCTAATAATTTCACTATGTAATTATTTTCTGAGTTTGGTTAAGGAATAGAATATAATAAAGTTGAAAATGTTTTAACTTTCAGATAAATACTATCTTCAAATATTTAAAATTATAAATCATTAAGAAAAAAATAAGACTTAAGTACTATTGTTTTGAATTATTTTAATTATTTAGAACAATTAAAAGTATCTACTTAAACATGTTTAGATGATTCTAAAATAGAAATTAATCAATCAATATTATTTGCATATAAAATCCTAATTTTTATGTATGTTTTATTAATTTTAATTTATTTGACACAGATTTATATAGTAAATAGAATGATAAAGAGACGTAAATTTATCCTAAAATTATTCATAAGGACAGATTATAAAGAAGCTTTATTGGAGAATGAGAAATTTTAAATTTTGACTGCTTGGTTTAATTAGACAAAAAAAGGTTGGAATCAAAAGAGTATGTCAATTTTATTGAAGTAACTAAATTTGAATGTTAAAACTTTAAAAGATGATGATGAAATTTTAAATGGATTGACATCTTCAGATAGGAGATTGAATGAGAAAGGTGAAAAGTTGCTTGAGAATAGCGAAAAATTAAAAATGCATTTTTCTCACAGATATCAAAATTGTACTGGTTACATTACTATATCTATATTGTTTTTGTTTACTTTAATATACATTTTAACTTTCCATATTTAAATAACTAATATATCAGATGATCTACTATATTTTTCCTCATTTAGTTTATTGTTATAAAATTATTAAATTAACTACGTAGTTCAATATTTTCGATGTCAATATTATATGAATTATTAATTCTATAATTATTTTGAAAATAAAATTATGGTAGAAATATATCGATAAAATAATTTTACAGAATAAAATCTTGAGGATGCTTTAATACAATTAAACAAGAATGTATTTAGTTCAATTCTTACTAATTTTGATGATGCAATAATGGATAGAATCTTAAAATTGAGTGAAGAAGAATAAGCTTAATTTTTTGAAGGAAAAGTATGTTAGATTGATGTAAAAATTTGTGATGAGAATTCTAGAAATGTGTTATTGAAAGAAGATTTAGAGAATTATTATAATATAAGTTTAAATCAGATATTTTTATAACAAGGATAAATCTTTTATTAGAATAATGAGATGTACAATATGGAAGGATTGATAGGAGATTATGTTAATAATTTGTTGATTTCTAAAGAGTATTTTTTAAACAATGTTTGGGGTTTTGACATAATTATTAATAGAGTTAGCAATTGTATTGTGTATTTTTTAAGAAGGATGAACAACACTCTTGAAGATAGTGAGAGTATAATGTTTCTTTATGCTCTAATAATTGGTTTATTGTATTTTAGTTTAATGTTGATGTTTATACTATTATTTGGATGGTACTTCAGCAAATAAGATCAGAAATAGAAGTAGTGTTTATTATAGATGCCATTCTCAACTATATTAAAGAAGAATATCTATTCCTCTCTGAAATTTATTGATTGATTATAATAAAGTTTATGTAAAATTAATTAACTTATTAATAAAGATACGACAATAATTCTGTATAAAGATTAATCCATCACACATATAAATTTAATAGAAAATGGATAAAGTCTAATACTCAACATCTGTGAAGGATATCAATCAAAATTATGTTGAAGCATAATATGCAGTCAGAGGTCTTGTGCCATCAACAGCTGCTAAGATTTAGGAAGAGATTAAAAATGGTAAATAATATCCCTTTGAATCCATAACTGAATTAAATATTGGAAATCCATAAACATTTGGATAAAAGCCAATATCATTTAATAGAAGTATATTGGCATCAATGTTGGATCCATCCATTCTTTAACATTAATCTGAAGATGTCTAAAGAAGAGTGAAACATTACTGTGACAAGATAGGATTTTAAATAGGTGCTTATAGTTAATCTCCAGGATATCCAGTAGTAAGGGAAGCAATTGCAAAGTATGGAATTTCATCATCTATTAATAGCTTCATTCAAAAAAGAGATGGGACTCTTGAAAAACCAAATATCAATGATATATTATTGACTGATGGAGCATCAGCTGGAATTACTTTGATGTTCAATTTATTATTAAAAGATAATAAAGATGGAGTGATGATTCCAATACCATAATATCCTCTATATTCTGCAGTCATTACCTAATGTGGAGCATAATAAATCCCATATTATTTGGTAGAAGAAAAAGGTTGGTCAGCTGAATAGACTGAATTGGAAGCTTAATATGAAAAGGCTAAACAAAATGGGATCACTCCAAAAATTCTAGTATGTATCAATCCTGGTAATCCAACAGGTTAAGTATTCGATAAAAAGAGTATTGTAGAAATGATATAGTAATGATATAGATATATTTTATAGATTTGCATCAGAAAAGAAAATTGTAATCTTTGCAGATGAAGTATATTAAGAGAACATTTATGTGGAAAATAAAAAGTTCATATCTTTTAGAAAGGTTGCTCTTGAATTGAATTTGAATGTAGAAATCTATTCCTTCCATTCAATTTCTAAAGGTATAACTGGAGAATGTGGACTTAGAGGTGGTTACATGGAAATAACTACTAAAGTTGATCCAGATGTCCATTTCCAAATTCACAAATCCAAAAGTATTATATATTATTATATGTTTTAGCTGTGATGCTCTGTTCTAATACTATTGGATAATTAATGACTGGTTTAATGGTCACTCCACCAACTAAAGAAGAGGGATGCAATGATCTTACTATTTAACAATACAATGAAGAATGTCGTGCTCTTTTCAGTAGTTTACAAAGAAGAGCAGCTATTGTTACATAATTCTTGAATGAGACAAAAGGAGTTTCTTGTTAACCAATTGAAGGAGCTATGTATGCTTTTCCAAAGATTGAGTTATCAGGTTAGATATTTTTATTTATCTTTAGAAAAATTCATTTAATTTGCAAAAGAGTAAAATTAAGAACCTGATGTTGTTTATTGTTTGGATTTATTGAAAGAAACAGGATTAGTAGTAGTTCCAGGTTCAGGTTTCCTATAATATCCAGGTACTTATCATTTCAGAATGACAATCCTCATTTTACCAGAAGAGAGATTGTTAGCTAAAATGAAGATATTCAAAGAATGGCATGAAACTTATATGTCTAAATTCCAATGATTTTAATTTATGGATATAAAAAGAAGAAATATTTAATATTCAAAACCATGTCCTGTTTATCTTCTGGCTTCTTTTGGATGTGCTACAACTATACTAAGTGAAGTACTTTGCTATCCACTTGAATACATCAAAATCAAATTACAAATGAATGGAACTTAAGGTTGTCCAAAATACAAAAATCTAAAATCAATAATTGCTGAAACAACATCTATAAAACAATATTATAGAGCATTGAATGCTTAAATGTTGAAAATCATACCTTACTCTACCACAAGAATATTTGCATATGAATTCATACGAACTGCATTTACAGGAGATATTGTAGAAACTACTTATAAAAGGAAACTCTCATGTGCATCAAGTGCTTATGCTATTGCATTACTCACTGGAAATATGGGAGACATTATGAAGATTAGGTTAATAAATAATTAAGAATTAACATTGATTTAAGCAATATAGTAATCTTATAATAAAACTGGATTTGCTGGATTTTTTAGAGGTTATTGGCTTAATCTTATTACTATTACATTAATTTAAGCTGTAGAAATATCATTATTTGAGAAATTTAAGAGATTTTTTATCAAAAATTTTACTTAAGGAAATAATACAATTGGGATTGATGCAATAGCCAGTTTAATTACAGGAGTTAGTAGTGGTATATTAACAGCTCCATTAGATGGATTTAAATGTAGATATATGAATCAATTGATTGATCAATAGACATATTGGTAAACCTTCATTAATGTAATAAAAGATGAAGGATTGTTAGCTTTATATAAAGGAACTTTACCATATTGTATAAAGATATCAATTGGATTTACTTTGACCTTTGTGCTGTATGAATAATTCAAGAGATAAATAATTTGAATAATATATATATTTATGTAAAGTGATTATTATGAGAGTGACAATATTGAAGTTATTCCAGAAGAGCATAATGATAGAATGGCACCGAAAGAGAAGGTCACTCTCAAAGAATAGATAGAATTTCTTCAATAATAAACAACACTTTTAAAATAATCAATGGAATTGGAATAGGAATTATAAGTAGATAATCCAATTGCTTATTTGAATGCTATAGAGAATAATTTAGAATCTCTTAAAGTCACTAATTTATAATAGAGGATATAATGTTTGGCAATATTGGGATCAGGAGCAGAGAAATGTGTTACATTAAAATGTATTTTACCATAATCAGATAATTTGAAACGTTTTCAATAATTGGAGAAATAGGTTAATTTATTGGAAACAATTGTTGGATAGAAGATATATCCATATAATACAACCATAATGTAAGATTTGAATGAAGTGTAATAAATTATCAACTCAATTCAAGGAGAAAACAAAGATATAAAATTAGGATTTACATAGAGTCTACCTTAAATAGATAAAATAAATGAAATCTTTAGATAAGTATAATTATTGGTTGGTATTGCTGATTTACTACCAAATATAATTACAAGATTGGAACAATTAAAAAATGCTCATGATTAAAGCATTTAATATTAAAATTAATTAAAAGTATACAATATAAATTTAAATTATAGGAATTATAAATAAAACACACAAAAGTTTTGGATATGATATCTAATAACAGAACTAGAATCAAAGTTTTATGTGCTAAACTTGCTTAGAAGTGAAATATATATAATTATTAAAAATTTAATTGAGATATATAAAATAAATCATTATAATTATGATAGAAAATAATTATTTAAACTATTATCCTTAATTTAATGACCTAAATCAAGTGTTATAGATTTGTTCTTTCGATACATAACAAAATTATCATAACTATATTTCATAGGTAATGGAGATTACTATCTTCCACTTACATATGTTTTATTGATTTTCTAATGAAATTGAGTCTTTCGAAATTGTTTTTATTAAAAATCTTCATAATCTAAAAGTATGGTTCTATTTGATAGATTTCCAGTCATTCCAATTAATGGATAGAATTATAACATATCATATAATTCATTACTATTATCAATAAATCTTTCTAGAGTAATACTTATTTATTTTTATGCTTTTCTCACAATAATTTCTTATTATTTGATTGGTTATGATATTATAATTTAATTATTTGATAATTGTTCTTATAATTATTTTTTAAATTCCTTTATATCTGGATAGAAAGTATGATTACAATTATTTATTATATGTATGGGTTTAATAATGCGATGTGAAGTAAATTTAATTTAATAAAGTAATTTAAATTGTAACATATTTATTAATGTTACAATTATTAATTTATCACTTAATATCATATCTTTATTAAAGAGTAAAGTATATAAATTATCACCTTCATTAACAGAAATATGAAATTCTTAAGGATTTCGAATAGATACTTATAAATGTTACTATGTTTATATTAAGGTACTTCTTAATTCTTGAATTTCTAATTTTCTTACATATTTAAGTATTGTTATTGAAGGAGTACAAGTATACTTTGGAGTTTTGTTAAATTTGTTCAATGTAAATATACTCACTTATCCTATAAACAATTGTATTGTTTAGATATATCCCATTTGTGTAGCAATATGCATTAAAGAATCTTTGGTTTGTCCCATTCTTTTACTATAATCAAATTTATCTGAAGGGCAATTAGCAAAACTCTTATTAAAATAGATGAACTTACTCTTAAAGATGGTAATAACAAGATTTCATGTATTGGAGCAATTCCTTAAGAATTCTTCTAATTTGGATTCTGATATTTTAGTAACAATTGGACAATTTACATTTGATTAGTATAATCTGATTCATTTCTACATTGTCTTCTAAATACAAAATGTAATGGTGTATCTCCAATGACACCTTTTAATGGAATACATAGAGCTTAACTTAGGATTTTCATTTGATCATTCCAAAAGACTATGATTCCATGTTCAAGCATATGTTCAACAACTTCATATTCTAAACGATCACAAGCCCAAAGGAATATAAATTGAACTAGTAATAAGTTTGGATTCAAGTAGGAAAGTAATATCTTGTAAATTCTGTACTGCTTATATTCACTTTTACCTTATATTTAATTTGGCTGCTAGAATTAAAGGTTAAGGATGTTACAATTTGGTCAAACATTCTAAATGATTTTCACATATTGAAGGTATAATACTTTATTCATCATATTGGATTGCCTTAATGATAATAGTATTAGTGAAATTGGAAAATACATTAACAAATTAAATGAAATTCATCTTATTGTTCTTTCTCAACTATTCACCTATCTTAGATGTTTATAAATTAAATTATTAAGCACTCATATCAATTAATGTGAACCAACTTATAGAAAGTCTTTCAAGAGTAGGATGATGCTAGTAAATTTAAAATGCATTATATTGAATATCTAAACAAATTAAATTAAGATATGAGAAGTCTGTTGAGAGTAATTGATTATCTGAAATCTCTAATGTATGTAGTTTAGGTAATGGTACTCTTGGAAATTCTACAATTTGATTATGATTAAGAATTAAAATCTCTAAATTATTCATCTGTATGATCTAATGTGGAATCTAAACAATATAGTTGTAACTCAAATTTAGATATTGAACATTCATTACAATTGGAAATTCCTTAAGACTTTGAGATTATAATTCACCTTCTTTTCGAGATATTACATTCATTATTAATATTGTTAATATTATAAATGGAATTATGTGCTAAACATTAAGGAAATATCCAATATATAGTATTGGGAACAAATTCTGTTTAATTGGCTTGTTCTGAATGTAGAGATGAATTAATTATGAATGGACAATAACCTGATTCCTGTCTATTGATATCTAGAGTAATTAATATTATGATAATTCAAGATTCAAAAAATACCTGAAGTCTTATTAAGTAAAATTACTATTGAACCTCTTTTCAAAACATTCTTTTCTAAAATTCTCTTTGTAACAAGTGAGGATCTTGATAAGACTAAAAACATTTGGATAAAAGAATTTGAAGAAATGAAAGCATCATTAGAAAAAATGATAAGAGATATTACTATTTTCTTTGATCATTTGATATAGAATATTATTAATTATAGAGCAGAATTAAAGAGAGTAAAATTCTATTAATAAATTAGATAATTCAATTTGAAACATTAGAATAATATATCAAAGCTAATGTTGCTTTTTAAAATTTTGATTCAGTTTCATCCATTATCATTTTTAAACAACGTTAGAATACAACCATTTAAATAGAATAAAAAATTTAAGATTATATTAATTTATTTAAAAAAGAAAGCAATGATAAAAATAAAACAAATATTGAAGTCTTAATTAAGGATTATCAAAATAAAGTAATCAAGTAATATCTATATATATATATTTTAAAGTGTTCAACTTCCACCCTCAAAAGAAACATTAATTTAATTAACAACTAAATTCTAAAATTTATAAATTGCTATCTAAGAAAAATTCAGATTAGTCAATCCAACTTAAGTGTAATCTTGCCTATTGTCTAATGTAGGCTTTTAAAATACTCTAACTAGAATTACACAAAACTAAAATCCTAATTATGTCTTAGTCTATCAGGGATCAATTGATGGATTAAATTTTAATTAATTTTGGAATAAAATTTAAAACAAATCCAAATTACTTATGATAATGAAAGCAAAGAATAATTAATGTGTTTTTGGAGGATATACACCTTGTAAATGGGTGAAAACTCCTTAAACATAATTTATGTCAGATCAGTAAGGTACATCATTTTTATTCATACAAACTCCAAATTCATAAATTTAATATTATCCAATAAAGAATGAATTTAAGAATTAAGCTATTACTGTTAATTAAAATTTTGGACCTTAATTTGGTAAACCAGATCTAGTAATTTCTAATGACTTTAAAGATGGATAATTGAATATTGGTTAACATTACTTTAGAGATCCCAAAGAAAACTACTAAAGCTTCTTTTTAGGACCTAAATTAGAAGAGATAATAGAATGTGAAGTATTTGAATTATGAGATTTATTTTTAATTTTAGTATTTTATATATACTCTCCTTCCTCCTCTCATATATTTCTTTTAAATAATTCATTAATTTCAATTTAAAACGCATCTACCTTTTTAATATTCTATAACTTATTTGATACTTTTCTTCTTTGCAACCTCTATGGCTACTTTCTATATGATATCATAAATCTTAAAGAGATTTTAAAAGAAGCCAATTACTTAAGCAAAATTAACATAAATTATAGTAATAAAAGATTATTATTTCTATTTCTTTTTACTCTTTAGAAAGAGTTTTAATGATGTGAAAGAACTTTTTATTGTAAATATTCTAGTCAATTATTGATCTACTTATTTTAAGTATATAATTGCATGATAATATTAAGATAATCTAAGAGATTTTGGATTTTATATATTAAAAAGTGATATCATTTTATTAATATTCTTATGTGATAGATTTAAAACTATTAATTTATTGTATAGTATAGAGATTATAATAAATAGTATAGATATAATTACAAATAATAATAATAATAATAATAATAATAATAATAATAATAATAATAATAATAATAATAATAATAATAATACTAATAATAATAATAATAATAATAATAATAATAATAATATGTCTAATATATTGTAGAGAATGGTAACTAAAGAAGTTAAAAGGAGATAAGTTGATAGTCGTTTATTAAATAAATCATAATAAACATTGAGATAATTGATTCCTGATTTGAAATCTCCTATTAAATCACCTTAAGTCTCAACTGCACTTGAATAATTTAAGAGTAAATTTACAGAAGGCAAGTATATTTTTTAAATTGAATAATAACGAAAAAGCTAATTAGATGAAGTATTTTAGAGAGTACAAATACCAATAAAAAGAGACTTTTTAGATGTATTATTGTAATAATTTGAAACTGAATTATGGAGAGTTTGTAATGAATAGAATCTCCAGTATTTAAGTGATCGTTATTTGAGTTATTAATTATCAAATAACAAGTTTCTTAAACATCTTGTATAATTTGTTGATGAATAGAGAGAAAAAGCTGAACTTGCATTGGGATAATTAGCAGGGAAAGAAGCAACTATTAATGAATTGTAAAATAAATATGCACAATTATAAATGATGTTTCAATAATTGTCTCATAATAAAGATGATGGATAAACTAAGTTGAATAAAAATGAAAGTGTTAAAAGATAAAAAGAATTATATATGGAAAATGTGAGATTGAAAAATGAAATTGAAAGAATTTAAGATAAATTAAAATAAATTGAAAATCAAACAAATGTTTAAAAATTATAAGAATAATATTAAGAATTAGCAAGAAAATCAAGTGAAAAAATTAATGAACTCTTAAATGAAAATTAAATTAAAGAAAAATAATTATAAAAACTTAATCTCCATTATTAAAATATTAAATCTCAATATAATAAATTAGAAAATGAATCAAAAGCATATTAAACTGTATTTGAAGCTAATAAATTACATCTTGATAGATTGATTAAAGAAAATGAAATACATACAAATTTAATGAATAGATATAGGGAAATTGCTTGTATGTAAAGAGAAGATTTTGAAGTGAGAATCATGTATTATAAAGAAGAATTAAGTGTAGCATCTAAAGCAAAAGATAAATTAATGCAATTATAATCAAAATTAGATAGATTTTAAATTGAAAAATCAAAAGATATAGAACCACTACCAAATAATAATTATGAGAAAGAGAAAACAGGTTTAGAGAAATTTAATGATTTATTTAGTAATGATAAAACTTATCAACGTTTAACTTATTAAGCTTTACAAGAAGAAAAAGGAAGAATTGTTACTAGAGTAGGACATTCAATTGTTACTATGGAATAACATTTTAATGCATAAGAAATATAATTGGAGAAATTCACAATTGGATATTGTCCATTTATAAATTTAGTTGAACATCATAAAAAAACTTTAGAATAAGAATTTAGTGGATTATAATACAAAAGACCAAATTTATAATTATTAGTTACATTAAGAGTTATTCTTGATAGTAAATGGAATGAAATGTAAATTAAACCAGAGAAAATGTGGACTCATTTACCTGAATTTGCATATTCTCATTTGATGAATTTTAAAGTAGATATGTAAACAAAATCAATAAAAAAAATAGATTAAGATGTTCATCGTATAGATGATCAAATAATCAAATTTATTGTAGATTTTAGTAATCCTGTATTTGAAAAGAATTGGGAATGTATTACATTTTAAGAATTCTTAAATGATTTTACAAGTTAAGATGAAATCTATTTCTATTTATATGCTCGTAATCTCTTATTTCGTGGACCTGAATGTTCACATACTACAGCATTCTATGAACCACATCATTATATTCCATTATTATAAGCTGAATTTGTAGCTACTCATTTACTATCACAATATGAAACTGCAACACTCTAATAAGTCAAAAAAGTTTTAAGAGAAAAAGCAGTTAATAAGACTATTACTAAGAACTTATTTATAGTAGATGCTTCTTTTGTTTTGAGAATATTACTTGAATTTTATAGAGTAGAACGTAGAAATAGATATAAAATGTTCAAAATAGCATTTGGTAGTAGAGCTACAAATATCAGTTTCAAATAATTTAGAGTTGTTTTAATTAGCAATTATCCTTATATTACAGATCTTGAATTAGCAACTCTATATAGAGAGGCATATTCTTTTACTGGTACTGGAGTATCAATTGATTCCTTTTATACTGTAGCTTCTGAAACTGGATTTTTCGTAAAACATCTTAAATTACAAAATCTTACTACTCAACCTAAAATTGTTAATAAAGAATTCGTTTTTGAACCTGATACTCAACCTTTCCTTATAGTCAATGAAGCATACAAGAGAGTAAATTATAAGTATATAATTATAGTTTTAAGCATATTAAAATAAATTTGAATAAATATTAATTGATTTTGGTTTGGAGGAACTATTTGCATAATTTAAAGAATTAGATAATTTAATTTAATAGAAATTTGCACCTCTTTAACATAATTAAAAATCTTTATCATAGATTATTGAAAGTTATATGAGTGTATTTAGAAATATTAATAATTTAATATGTAATAGACTTTACCTTTAAGATTAGTAAATAATATTATATATTTATAGGATTCAATAAGGGTAAGAGTTTCTAATAAAGCATGAAGAGAAAATGAAACTTAATAAAGAGTAGAATAAAGATGCTTAATTTTATTCTGGTGATAATTTTAATAAACAATATTTGAGAAGAGAAGATTTTATTCCTGATATAGAAATATTGAAAGGATAGATGGATTGTTTAGAACATTTAGGATCTTATTTAGAATCTTATGAATTAGTAAAGAAGAGGAGAGATTATTGTATGACAATTTAAGCAAAGAAAATTTAGAAGTTTGTTAAGAAAAAAATGAATAAATTTTATAGTTTTGTAAGTTCTTTGTTAAGTGCCAAATTCAAAGCTTCACTAAAATAAGGAAAATGATTATAAAATAGTTTTCATTTATAATTATTATTATATAATTATTGATATTAATAAAATATAAGAATTTATAAAATCATTAAAAATTACTAAAATTATGTTTAAATTTAAGAAACATTTATTCTTAAACTATTTAATGGTCTGTTTCATCACATTTCAAATATGGATGACTTAATGCTTATTTAATATTAATTCTATATTAAGTATTATTCACAAGACCTTTCAAAAAATTTGTACCATGACCTGGAATAAGAGGATAAATCCCTTAATCAATATTAATTGATTAATCATCAAAATTATATAAATATAGCATAACTTTATGTAATCCATACATATCAGTTGTATCTGGCTTTTCCTCAATTTTAGCTTTACTAAATCCAATCAATTTTATTTAATGATTATTACCTTACATGAAATTTTAGGGTCTAATCTATCCATGAACAATATTATTTTATTATAATGCTTCCAATATTATAAGAATTTCCTAATTCCATAATTTTTAATACCTTAATTACAATTTGATTTTCTTCATGAGTATAATCCTACTCTAATTTACGATCCAAATATTCTAAGATAATATAAAAATATTTTGAAGATTCATAAACTTCTACAATATCAACAACATTTTTGTAATTCTTCAGTTTGTTAAGAATTCTAACCTCTTACAGAAATTAATATTCTTTTTGTTTCTTATATGCTTTACAAAAATACTTTTCTCCGGTTATAACTGATTGTACAATGACATGCTTAAGTAATATATTTAATTTACAGTCTTAAGATCACTTTTTGACATTGTTTCCAATTCTTCATAGATTTCTGATGCTCCTAAATACATCACTTGAGAATTGAGGTAATCTTTAAGTTGTGATAAACTTTTAGAAGAAGATTAAAGAGTGTAATTCTCAATCTAACATTATTCAAGTACTTTATTCCTATAATACCATTGTAAATGTAGATTTAATGAAATGTGAAATTTAAGTTCTTCATTTTAGATTTTAATGAATATTGATTGTTCATTACAATTCAAATGAGCTGGTTTAGAATTAAATAAACAATCAAATTCTAAGGATTTTTGCATGATTATATTTATAATATATCTAGATTTAAATTTTGAAAAGTTTATATAAGAACATCCAGACTATTGACATTTTAAGAAATTAATTTAATAACATTAATTTTAATTAATATTTAAAGAAAATCATTTAATTTTTTAATAGTAGGAACTCTTTGTGTACTAACTTATCGCTTCTGTAACACCAGTAATTAACTTTGGATTTTATGTAAATTTCACAGGTATATTAGTTTCACCAAAAATACTTTATATGTATTCATGTTGCATTGCATCTTCAAAAGTAAATCTGTAATCTAGATTTGGATTCAACAATCCAACTATAAATTCGTTTCCTTTATCTGGAATATAAGGCAATGAATTATAAGAATCCTTAAAACCATACCTGCAATCATTACAAAAAAATATTACAATTATATCATAATTTAACCTATGTTTCCAAGATAATTGTCAAGATCGATATCTTTAGAACGAGAAGCATGGCAAAAACTGATAAGTTTTATATTACCTCTCTTATCCATCATGAGATCAGACAATTTGAATTTGGAATATTGTATTTAATTGTCAATTAATATCTTAATAGTTTTGAGTAAATCCTAAAAATATCTTAAGGAAATACCAAAGTGATTATTTAAATTTCTTCATGTATGAAATCTACATTTAAATGATGATCCATCAATTCCATGACTATATAGATGTGGGCTTTTGATTCATAAACTTCATATAATTTAGGAAAATATTTGTGTTGTTACAGTTTGTACAAAATAATAATTGATTAATATAATTGTTCTTAATTGTAAGCATCCTTTCTTAAAGATCTACAACATAATTTCACCTTTGTAAATCTATCTTCAACTTTACAGATCTTAAATTTTTTAATTAAAATTACTTTACAATTCTTTTTATCAGACAGCAACTCTATGGTTTCATAATAATTCTAAATTCCCAAATATGATACTCTTCCATCAAGATGTTATTTCAATTGATTTAAATCTTCCTAATTTGCTTTTATCATTAAATCTTCTATATGAACAGCTTGAATTCCAGAAAGAGATATCTCCCATCTCATTTTTATTTTTAGATGGATATCAATTTTGAAGATTAAATTATGTCTAGTAATTTCAATTCTTTCATCATATAGTGTTAAATTATGCTAAACATTTAAAATCCAACAAGGAAATTGTAAGATTGTTAGCATATAAATTAGTATTTATTAATTATACTGCATTTTAAATTATGCAAAACAACTAATATGATTGGTAGAAATACAATTTTAGTATTGATTCCTCATCCTATATTATATATATAATAATTTTATATTTTCATAAACATATTTACTACATTCAAAAGATTTCGTCAAGATTTATTTTTTAACACTTTCGTTTTGTTTTTTTTACTTTTCTAAATAAATACACTTTATCTCCAAAAACTACTTTGATTTTATTATCAAAATGAACATTCTTTTCTGTAATATCTTTAACTTATATTTCTGGATTAAATGCCAGTTTTAAACAAGGCTTTTTAGAAGTCAAAGCTGAATAATTTGAATAGCTAGTTGGATTTGTACTATCTGGAGTTTTATTTGAAACATAAAAACTATCATCTCCTTTATCCATAAGAAGGATTTATTACGTACGTAATAACAAGGCTTTGGGTTCAACATGAGAATGAATTTCAAGAATTGATTGTTCATTCTAAATGATTAACTCATCGAAATCAAAGGTTATTTCATCTTCATTGATAACTTTTGTTTGAGCTGCACAACCCATTATGATTAATATTAATTCTTTTCTATATGAGTTATTTTTTAATAAAAACTTAAAAAATGATAATTTAGAGGATCAATAATTACTCTAATTTTCACTCTATTACATGTAAAATTAAATTATAGGATAGAGGCATACTATTTTTTAAAGAAAAAAAATAATTTGATTATTCTATTTTTTTTATTGATTATTCTTTGAATATTCTTCTTTCAGTAATTAATTATTTCGGATTTAAATAACATTATCATTATTTACATTTATACTAAGACATACTTATAAGTATTAAAATAACAATATAATATATGAAAACAACTAATCGTATATTTTTAATTATGATGATGAAAATATTCTTTATAAAATCAATATCATTATATGCTATATTAATCAATCATATTTAATATAGACTCTTAATTATATTATTTCAATTTGATCTTATTTAATTGTCTTTTTGAATTAATCTAATTACTATAGATTATATTGATATATACCAAAATGAATGTTATGAATTAACATTTATATATATATATCTAATTTTATATTAAGATTAGTATCTTTGATTTATTTTAGCAGAACTTCTAATTAAGTTTATTGAGTTTATTATATTATATCTCTTATTGAAATTGTAATTACTGATCAAATTATATTTCCTTAATTTTTGTGTATATAATTATTAATATAATTTAACGAAAATATATGCTCAAAAACCCAAAAATAAAGGAAACATTGACTTCTCGATTATAATAGTAGGAATGTTGCAAATTGTAAGGACATGAAAATAATCTGATCTAATTTGTTTGCGCTTGTCATGAATGTCCATATCGTTATTAGAAGGCATGTGCACATTGTGTTATTAAATTACATGGGAAACATGTGGAAGATATGAAAGAAATAGAGGAATTTGATATGATTATTAATGAAAACAGTAAGAAAGCATAGAGTTTGATAAAGGAAAGTGAGGAACTCTTTTTGTAATTGAAAAATCCATTTAGAAATTTCTTTGAATAATTAAAATTGCAATTAAATGATATGATTGACAGTGTTCAATAAAGATATTTGATATAAAATCAAGAAAGAGCATAATAAGTAATAAGGAATGAATTGGATTTTATTAATTAATTCAATTAGAATGTAAATTCTAAATAAAATCGATATTTGAATGATCATTCTTTAAAATAGTATAGTAATTCATTAAGAACAGCATAAGAGAAGTTAAGTAATGTTTTTTCATTGTTTGAATTGAAATAGTTATTAGAATCAAATTTGGTTGTATTGATTGAAGATTTTGGTAAAAACAATGGAATCAGTTATATTAGTAATACAAGTCGAAACATTAGTTAGAGACATAGTAGTTGTCATAATATAATGACTCCAAGATCTGCATTAAATGTGTTTAATCACAATATTAGTGTGGCTAGATCTAAAAAAATTAGAAATTGATTAATTTATGAGTAAATAATCTAAATAATATCTCTCTACATCTGCACCTCATGTAGATATGTCACAATTATCAAGTGTGTCACCCAAAAAGGAGTTTTATGATGCTACAAAGTAATTAGAAGCTGCAAGAAGAAGAATCAGTCTTCTTAGATTGGAAAATGAAATGAGGTATAGTTTTATTATGTTAAGTAAGGGAGAAGAAATTACAAATTCAATAATAAAAACAAGAACAATTAAATAAGATTAGGGAAGATCATGAACTGTTCAAAGAATATAAATAGGCTCATAAAGAGTAAGTGAATATGCAATTACAGAATCTAGTACATAGAACTAGGAGTATGAAGATGTAACAATCTTAAGATAAAAAACTAATTTAATAGAACTTTCATTAGATGAAGTAACAAGAAGTAAAGAATATTAAAGAACAATCTCAAAGAAATGAGTATATAATTCGATAGAACTTGGATTCAATAAAATAATAAAAGGCAGAATAAAAATAACAAGTTTAAACTCAAGTCTAACTAGCTTAATAAACAATACAAAACTTTCGCAAACAAAAATACCTTCGATTCATACAAGAACATCAATTTTCTAAATCTTAACATTCTATGGAAGCAGATTTAAAATTACAGTAAATCGAAGAACTCAAGAAATAAGAAGCTTATCTACTGATTAAATTAGATGAAACAACAAATGTATTATACAATTATTATATTATAGTAAGTCAATAAACTCAATTAAAGTACTTTGATCAAGTAATCTTAAACGACACCAAAGACTGCATCCTATTCTTGAGATATTATTATTTTTTACAATCATTTATATATATATTACTAATAAATTATAATTAACAAATGAGTGAAGATGATTAAGTAATCTATTATACACTATTACAATATAGCATTTCGTTGAAGAAGACAATAGTGAAGATGATAAATTTGAAGAGAATCTTGAAAAACAATATGCTGTAATTCAGTTACATTATTATTATAGTTATACCCTAAAGCAAGTAACAAGAGACCTGAATCTAAACATGGAAGACCTGAAAGTTCCAAATTTTCGTATAAAAAATAAGAATAGCAAACAATAGAATAATAGCCTAAGCTATTGGAAGCCATACCTACTTCTCCAGCTCTCAAGAAGTTTAACTAATTAGTTTCATTTCATAAAATACAGATTGAATAATTCTGGAAGAATCATACAATAATGGCTTCTTAAACTGAATTCATAGGTTTTTTATTAGAATCAGGTATCATTTAATTAATAAATAAGGATTTCAATTTGAATAATATGAAATCAATTCAATTCTTAGTGATTTAACTAATGATCGTGGTGTTATCACTATTGAAAGTCTATGTAAGAAAGTACCTGCATGGCATTAAAATGAGAGTATTTCTTATATATTATTAATTATTTTAGATGCTATGTTAGAATTCATAAGGGAAAAAGCACTCAAATTGGCATAGGAATCTAAGAGAAAATTCTCTGCTCAAAAGAGACCTAAACCATAATCAGCTAGTACTAAACGAAGTGGTTTTAATAAAGGAGAATCTAGACCTATAAGTGGCATTTCAAAAAAATATTAATCAGGCTTTAGTGATTTGAAAATGTAAATCTACATTTACAACATTTAGATCAAACATAAATGATAGACCATTGTAAAATAAATCCAAACATTATTTATAATTGGCTAAATAAAGGTAATAAGAAGAGGATCGACTTCTTTAATTAACAATTAATTAAGGAAAGAATGAATATGAATATGAAATGCTTATTAAGATGGGAGAAGCCAATGAATTGTCATAAGAATTAGACAGCAAGATTACTTACAGAGCATATAAGACAGCATAAGGACACTTAAAGGTACATGTGTATGAATTGGAACATTTTTAAAGAGATCTAACATTGGAAGAGTTTTAAAGAGAATATAATATTCTTAGGAGTAAATATAATGAAAAAAAGAAATTGAAAATTTGGGAAGTACTTAGTGAAAAGAAGAAAAATCAAAAAAGTCTTTAACATTTTGGATCTTCTCAAAAAGAAGAAATAAAATAAAATGAAGTTGATGCTAAAGCTGCAAATAAAAAAGAAAGATAATAAGAATTAAAGAAAGTGCTTTTGGAAACAATGATGCTTTCAAATGTTTTAAAGGAATAATTGGTGGTGTTGAATAGAAAGGGTATCAATGCAATTTTAAATCAAAGTGTAAAATTATGATATATAATATATTTGATTTGATACTCTATATTAATTAGTCATGTCTCATTAATTATTGTAACTAATAATTAAATCTAAACTGTTTGGATAATAATGTCTTCTAAAAGAGAAATAATTACAAAGCATAAAATTGAGAGTTCTTATAGATCTTAAAAAAGGAAATTGGAATAGGCTATCCTTTAAATCAATAGTCATCAAACTATTACAAAGACATAATAAGCTTTGCCTTCAAAAGAAATTGAATTATATAATAATGTGAATGTGTAACATGTAATTAATGGAGCTGATTTTATTTGGAATCATCTTGAGAATATGCCTAAGAAACAGATAGATAATGTCTTTATCCCTCAAACTATAGCTGGAATGCAAAATGTATATTGCATAGTAAAGAAAAAATATAATGCTGAGATGATTAGGAAAGAGTAATAAGAAGCTAATAGAATTCAAAAGAACTAAGAGAAACATCACTTATTTGAATAGAGAAAACTAAAAAATGAATAAATCTATGTTAAATTAGGAATGAAGAAGACTTATTAATCTGCTCCTATAACTAAATTCACAGAAGAACCTCTATTTTAAAGATTAAGTTAGCCTAAATAATCTTTTATTCAATAATCTACTTATGATCTACCTGATTTTAGGGGATTACCTATAAAGAATCTCACTCATGTTGATAAATTCAAGAATCCAATTCTGATTAATCATTTCATAAGTTCAAATTTATTACCTAAATCTGTAAATAAGGAGAAACATAAAAATAAATTTGAAACATTCGATTAAAAACTTGAATAATTTCAAAATACAATTTAAGTAGATGAAATGAATTTGGATAATGATTTCAAGGATCATGCTATGATAGAAATTGATAAATTTGAAAAAATGTTATCTACAATACCATAGACTATGTACTCATAAGTAAAAGATAGAGAGAATTAATTATTATAATCAGTAGAAGGATTTAGATCAATAAGAAAGATAAAAAAAGATCCAAATTATAGATACATAATAGGTAATCAAATCAGAGATTAAATTTTAACAAAATAATGATTTTAATTAACAATATATCAAATGTGAACCTTCTTTATCGCAGTATCATCAAATTAACATTCTTCCTATTTGATTTCTATATCAAATTCATCTTCAAATTATTTCCATAAATTTGACATACTAAGTTCCTTTTAAAACTTATTCTATTATAATATAAATTATTATCTTACTTTTTCCAAACCCAATAAAAATTTAGCTACTTAAGTAGGAGTGAGTATACTTCTCATTTCATCAATGAAATTTTCTAAGGAATTTGTCTTTTGATAGAGATTCTCTTTGACAGTTTACAATTACTTTATGATACTTGGAATAATAACACTAAATATTTTACTCTTCTAATTTCTCCTTATCTGATTAGATTCTCTTATAAGATTTTTTAAGAGATTTCATTTATTAATCTGTTATATTTATTTCTTGACTTAAATTAGTTAACCAAGTTGGTTCAATTAGATTGGATCCTGATGCCCATAATAAATATTTCACATGTATAGGAAAGGAGATCTCCATAATTTATTATAAAAAGTAATTTGAAGCATTAACTCTTTCTTTACCTCCTCCACCAACTCTAAATCTCATAGAGTCAAGTAATAAATTAATGTCATTGTTATCAGAATTATTTTACACAGCAGATTCCAATTTGTCAAACAATTGTTATCTACCTACAAAAAAGTTTTATAACTAATATAATTGTAAATACTTACTTATGGATTAGATCCAATTTATTGCATACAACTACTATGTCCTTTAATAATCCTCTTACATTTTTCTAATTCCTCTTTCAATGTGTTTACTCTATTTTCCAACAATTCTAAATATATTTTCTTTCTCTTTCTTGAATTTCTAGCACATTCTCTATTTCTAATTAGTTTAGCTTAATTAGAATCATCAGTATTAGTTGAGACTTTCCTTTCAAATTTAGGATTCATGGTAGGTTTAGATTCTTAAATTAGAGATGTAATTTTGTTTATGTAAGTGTTCTTTAAGTTTTATTTGCTTGTCAAAATTGTATCATCTGATTTCTTCTTTTTTTATTGTTTCTTAACTTAGGTTTATTGAGGTAGTTAACATGATGAAAAGAACTCTTGTTAATTAGGACCTTCATCATCTGAATTTTAACATTACATGAATGAGCTACTATTAACATAAGCAAAATTTGATCTTTATGATATATTAAACTAAATACTAATGCTAATCCATTAAAAAGTTAACAAAATGGTCATCTCCAATAAGTTCAAAATGATTATTATTCATTTATTTAATATTTCATCATTAATGCTAACTATTAATAAATTATTATCTCATATTTTAAGTATCTTTTATAAATCTTTCTTAACATTATTGTTATATCTAAAATAATAAGTTATAATAATTGAAGTATATATTAAGAAGACTTATAATTTGTCTATTTTACATTAAAATAAAAATTAAGTTGATATCATTATAATTAATAATATTGATTTATTTAATAAAAAGATCATATAAATAGAAAGAATATTAAACTAAAATTTAAGTAGTATTTTAATTTCTTCATTTAAGTATAAAGTAAATAAATTACAGAAAAAATGTAAAAGATATTCATAATGCTACTCATAATAGAATGATTTAATTAATCTATTTAATAGATTGAGATTCTTTTATAAATATTAGAATCATATCCTATATAAAATTATTAATTAAAATATAATCGCAATAATAATAATTTATAAAAATGAATGTAAAAAAAAGAAGAAATTTAATTGAATTAAACTATTGCAAAGAATTTTCAGAGAACTATGAAATATAAGTATTTTGAAAAGGTGAAGAGAAATAGATTGGTTTTATCAAAATCAAAGCAAAGTTTTGAACTACTTAATGAATATGTTATTAATTGTTATTTTTAGTAATTTATTATTAGATTATTTGAATTTTTATCAATCTAATGTAGTAAAAATATTGGTAGTCAAAATAATTCAATATTATTTAATTATTAAGGTTTTAAATGGGATTAGAACAATCAAAAATTACATATGCTTTTCTATTTGAGTTGTTTGTATGATGCTTCTATTTTGGATATACTTATTTTGTGATTTAATATATAATTTATATATTTATATAAACTTATGAAAAATTTAAAAGAATGTTTATCTTCTGAAGGAGGTTATAAAAACACAAAACGATTTAAGGAAAATATTTAAGATGAGTAAATTGATTTAGTATAATATTAGGGATACTTTGAACTATGTTATTGAGACCTTGGAGGACATTTTTCAAAGCCCCAAATCACAACCAATATCATTGGTGCTTGCTATGAGAGTATGTCTGTTGGTATGTTTAGCTGAGCAGTTGACAAAAGAACTTATGGATCTTCATTATGATTGTGTTGTACACTCTATATCCAAAAATATTGTTTATATGATTGAGGATATTATCATGGCAGATTTAAAGAAAAACGAGAGAGGCAAATTTTATTTTAGTGATTAACCAAGTATAAACTAATAATTACATAGATTAATCTCTTATATTACTTGGAAATACATTGATACGTTTATCACTTGAAAGCATTTTCGTATGGAACTTATGGCACCCCAATAATTTAGCGATTACTTAAGTGTAATTAAATATGTTAAAATTTTAGTTATTAACGATTAATAGATAAAGGTGTTTAGTTTCCAAAATTACATTATTTTAATGCTTAGAAAGTGAAAGAATACTATTTAACTGTGAAAGAGAGCTCAAAGAATGGAAGTTTATATCGTTAACAATCATTAATGTTGAATGAGTAATATTTTGATTAACTCAAAAATACTATTGAGAAGAATCAGTACAATAATGTCAAACTACATGAAATCAATGAAGAGTTAAAATGTAATTAAATTTAAGAAAATCTAGAAATCAAATATGTTAATGAAAATTAAAAATAATTTATTGAGAACTTTAATAAGGCTTATAAAGATTATCTTGTAAATAATAAATTAGATGAATTCAATAATTAAATATAATCGATGTATGCTTATTATTAAATTAAGTTGCTTAGAATATGATGAATTATCAAGCCAAAAGAAGCAGAGTAAGATACTAATCAATTATTTTTAGATAGTGCAATTTAATTCTGTACATACTCTACTGATAAATAAAGTAATTAATTTTCAAGAAGTATTAGTGTAAAAAAACATATATCAATTTTAGTCTTAAAATTCTTAAAGTAAAAATGAAAGCAGTAATAAATAATAATCTATTGAGCAATTATTACATGAAAATGAATTAATATAGGCATAAATTCAAAGTTTTGAAATTCCAAAAACAAATTGTCATTTTAAGAATACAAATATATGATTCTTATATTGTAAACAATAATATTATTATTAAATCTTTTAAATCAATTAGATTAGATATATTTATTGTTAAAATTAAAAAAAATACCAATCTATTTGTTAATGAGTAACCTATTAAATATTATTAGATCAATCATAATTTAGAGATAAAAAACAACATTTTTAGAAATTTCAAATTGTATAATATTTTATATAAAAATGTAAATTAAGCTCTTTTTTCGATCAAGAAGTGGATTTTAGAATTTCATATGGGATTTTCTAAAATCTTGCTGCTTCTGGATTAAATTCTGGTGTCTCTATGAATTATAAAAATAGATTCTATAATCTTTATCTTAAACCCTCTAAAGAAGGTTCTGGTCTACCTCTATTTAACATATCTGCTTCTCTATCTATTAAATCAACTATCTCTCTTGTTAAATTGCAATCCCATTCTTTTACTGTCCATTTTGTATTAACAAGAATATCTAATCTTTCATCTAAACTTAATTTTCTTTACTTCAAACCTATAATAAAATAAAATTATATACCATTATAGATATCCATTAATTCTCTTGCTCTTGTAGTATATAGAGTATGAACTTCAGTCAATCTACCATCTGATTTCCTTAGCCATTTTTTAGGATCTGAAATAGATTTCAAAAATTTATTGATTTTCTCATCTTTATTTTTTTGATTAGCTATAATCTTTAATCTGTCAATAGTTTATAATAAATCTGTTTCCTTATTTAATACTTATTTAAGTGCAGCCCTTTTTTCCTCTTCAGTCATAGCAGATGATTTTATTCTAGCAATTTCTGTTGTTCTCCATAGCTGATAAATATAGATATATAACAATATACTTCTAATTCTTCATATAAAATTTAGAAATCTTCTTTAGTTCTAGGATTAGTTCTCCTTTCTATTTCTTTTTTATGTCTCACTTCTTCTTATCTTCTAAAATCTTCTTCCTTTTCCAATTATTCATTTTGTAATTACTATTTTTTTTATCTTAAAGCATTAGTTCTTCTTCTAGCAAACCAACCTCTAATTAATCTTTAAATAAATAAAGCTGCTTCTTCTCTTCTTTCTTCCCACATTTCACTTGTAAAATATCTATGACATTATAAATAACTGTTACAATTTTGGTTCAAATGTTCTATCATTTCGTAAATCAATAAATAGATCTTCTTTTTCCATTTATGTACCAAATTCTTTCATCATAATAGTTGATTTAGTAGATTCAAAATGAGTTTATGTATCTCTATGATTTTTCTCCTTATGTTCTCTACGATATTAATTAGTTTATGCAAATGCATGATGTAACAAAGCACCAGATTTCTTATTTTTTAATCCTCCTAAATAAGGTTTTTAATAATCTAAGTAAATATATTTGAATAAATAACTTGCTTTAATAATTTGGATTGTCAATGTATATTTCTTTTATACTTCACCTTTTTCATCTTTTATGACAACAACTGATTCAAATTATCTTCCCATAGTTTATTCATATTCATCATTTTCATAAAATTATTCTTAATCCTCTAAAAAGTTAACCTATTAATTATTATCCATTTTTATTAAATATATATATATATATATAATTATAAATAAGATTATAAAAGTTCATTTTTTTAAAATCCAAATTTTAATACTATTTCTACTTATTGTATATAAATATACTCCATCTTCAGATACTATAGATGTACCCATACTAGTACAAGAATCTAAAATATGCAATAATTTAGCTGTCATCCAATCTACAATTTCTATGTTTTCACTTGTTGTAAAAATTGCTTTAGAATTTGTTAAATGTAGATGCATAACATCATGTTAGTATTTAGTTATAAATTTTCTAAGAATCTTAAAATTTACTTAATTGACAAGATAAATTTTTGATCTTTTCTATCCATTTATTAAGAATAACTAAGAATTAGAGATACTATTAATAACTGATACTTATTTGATTTGATATTGTAAAGATTTCATTTTTTCATTTTTCATAATCTCTGGAAAATTATTTAAGTTTATTGGTCCAAATGTACCATATATGAATAATTTAGTATGATTTATAAACTATACAAAGTTTAATCCATAAGGAAAGTAATATTTTGACAGTAATTCACAAGATTAAGAATTAAATACCAATAATTACTTATCTGAACCTGCAGTTATTAAGTAATTTTCATTTGGACTGAAATCTACCTTCATCACATAAGCTGTATGATGACATAATAATCTAAATTAAACTTATTATATTCCATCAAACTCTATTCTTCCAATATTGCAATCAGCTGAACCACTAGCTAAGTATTTCCCAGAATATGAAAATTTTAGTGTGATTATGAATTTTTTGTGATATTTATAACTCTTGATCAAATTTAAATTATTGTATAAGAACATATTCCCATCAAAATCACCTCCCATAAGTAGATTTCCCTTCTTACTAAGAGTGATGACATAAAAACTATTGTAAGTATTTTGAATTATTTTGAACAACTCTAATTGAGTATCATTATTTTTATTATTATCATTCTACATTTTATATAATAAAATAAATCAAAATTTATGGATGTTTCATGATACATTCCCAATCTATAAATACTTAAAAATTCTAAATGCATTTAACATAATCCATATCTATACTATCAATTATTATTAAGATCTTATTTAATTATTACATTCATGTCTTATCTCTTAAATAAATAAACATTTTCTCTAATTATTAAGATGCCTTATTAAAAATAATAGATACATTTAAAATATCTAAAGATCGAAAATATATAGTAAAAAAAAGCTATTTTATTTATCATTCAAAATACATACTAAAATGGTTCTACTATCAGAACTTAATAATATATATATCCTTGAACAAATAAGATAGTGATAATATATATTTATATCTAAATAATAAAATGATTATCCCTTCTTTAAATTCTGTTAATTAGTTCTTTTTATTATTATTTCCTCTATTATCCAACTTATTTATTAATTTTTATAATTTAGATATATTTAATAAGTTTAATTATTAGAGTCTACTTAATGATGAAATATAAGGTTTGCAACAAAAATTAAATGGTAAATTTATTGTTTCTTATACTATTTTATAATAATTTAATAATGATATTACTAATTATAATCTTTCTATAATTTGTTTGTTCAGTAATAAAATATTTTTAATTCATTTTACGAATTTAATATACTAACCTTTATTATCAAAAGAATTTGGTTTTAATTCCTAATAAACCAAATGATTCCCTTAAAAATCATAATAAATTCTATCTCGCTGGAAATTCCAATAATTCATCTAATACTATAATGTAAATTTATTTTGATTATATTTTATTTATAATTCAATAACAAAAATAAAATATTATATATATATATCTTTTTTTATTATTCTTATATATTTGAAATAGAATTCAATTGAAATAATAATAATCATAAATATACTTTATAGTTCACAGATATTAAGATTTAAAATGATTAGAACTCATACAATTTCAGCATATACTTTTCTTTTCTCAAATTTCTTCCTTACATCAACATTATTCCTAGTTGAGAAAGCACTTATCAATTATTCTCTTTAGACTTTGGCTTTGATAACTTCTGATCTATGAGTAGCTTAATTTCCTTCTTGATCTTGAAAAGTTTGCAATTATCTAGAAAGCAATATTGTAGGAATTACTTAAAGACTTGCTTATTTTCAAGTTAGACATCATCTGTTTAAGTAAGAATATGTTTGATTCTTTAGACAGCATTTTATTTAAATTTTCTTTATTTAACTTAGTTTGTGGAACATCTTGTATTGGTATCTATTAGATCAAAACTTGGTTTGCTATATTATGAATAATAATTGTGATGAGTTTATGGTCTAGGTTCTGTAGATGTTCTAAGTGCAGCTTATTATGTACAAGGACGAGTATTGATAGTTATTTCATTTCGCTATAAATCTAGAGATTTATCTCTTACATGAGCTTCCTTTATTAAAGAAATAAATAAACTTGTTTATCATCTTATTCTGTATCTTTTGGTATGACGTCTCCAAAAGCAGTTGAGATTTCTTTGATTAATTCTGGCACTGACTTTTTTGCTCCAGGTACAAGTTATTTACTTGCAAAGAATTATTCAAATTAAGCTAGAAGTTCTTCTCTTCCTTTAAATTTATTACGTTATAGGACTTTTTGTAAATTAGCTAATCTTGATTGTTATATTATGCCATTGTAATATCTGTCTGACCATAATGTATTGTCATACCTATAAAGATATTATAAAATTAATAAACATAATTCCTTAATTCTTTTTAAATGTATTCAAATACTCATTTTATAATCGATTATTCTTAGTTTATTATATAACTTGATTGTAATCAGCTTTTTCTGAAATACTCTTTCCTAATCCTTTGGCTTTTTTTAATTAAAGATAATAGAGATCTAGTGTAGCATTTTTAGTATAGGTTTAAAAGGTTTTACGTCTTCTCAAAAATTACTTATCAGTTACAATCAAAGGAACTTAAAGTATATGCTTAAATTTATCTTTGGCTGTTTTAATCTAGAAGATGAGAATGAGGAAAGTACTTTAAATTCCTTTACGTATTGTATTTCAGCATCTTCAGTAATTTTATTTAGCCAAGAAGATTTGAATGTAACACCAAGTTATTCCTCTTAGACTCTTTACCAGAAATTAGAATGAAGATGATTCTTATCTACTTTATTATTCATTTATATTAATAATATGAAACTTTATATAGTGTTTTTGGTAATTTGTGCTGTTGTCTCATAAAATATAAATACAGAATTGACCAAAGATGATCAAACTCTTTTGGATAGTATGTTTAAAGATAAATTCGGAATGAATGTATTAAATGATATACAAAGTGAATACAGAAAAGATTCTGGTAATAATGTATTATATATTTTGAGAAAAGAAGGATTAATTGGTGAGAATAGAAAGTTTATTGAATACAATTGAAAGATAGATAGCCTAAGATGAGTAGGATGATCTAGAATAATTAACCAAAGATTAAGAACTATGTATTAACAAAAAACGAATTTTATACTAGACAATTAATAACTAGAGAGTTTGAAAGAGAAAATAGCTGAAGCATAATATGATTATAGTAGTATTGATGCAACAATTAGATTGTTGGAAGATGAATCCAATAGATATGATACTCAAATAAATGAGAAAGAAAATATTGTTAATGAATATGAATCTACTCTAATTTAATTAGAAGAAATCAGATAACATGAAGTATATAATAAGGTAGAGTATAAAATAGAATGCTTATTTTGAAATTACAAGAGATGATTCATTTGCTATTTGTAGTTTAATCAAAAGAGCTAGATATTTGATTAGAGAATTGTTACCTAGAAGTCCAAGAAATGTTGCATTTGTTCAATAATATACTTATGAAGATAATTCTCATCAATTCTCTACTACAGATGTCTTATAATAAATGAAAGATCTTTAAGTTGAAGCTTAAGAGACATTATAAAATAATGAACCATTTTTGAAGATCATAAGTTTTTAATATCAATTAATTAAAAGATGAATTTGTAACTGTTTCTACTCAAACTGAAGCTGTTATTGACACTGTTAGAGCAAATGCTATCATTAATTTATTATAACAATTATATGATTAAGTAGATAGTACTAGTAGAGTATAATTAACTGCTGAAGATGATAGAGAAAATCTTCATTAAAGAATTAAAGATTAAATTAATGGAGAATTAGATTATTTAAATTTATAAGTATTTAGAATTTCTATCCTAATTTCTAGCTCTCCATTCTTTATGATGAATAGGATGGTGTAGAAGCACACATAATTGCAGCATAAATGGATTAGAAGGATGGTGAATAAAGATTGGCCAATCTTAAATAATCTTATTAGGATTTATAAAAATGCAAAGAAGATTCAAAAGTATTTATATGTCTTAATTATTAGGTAAATTATGGAGTTAGATCAAAAGAGAGAAAAGAACAATTGAAATTATTAAGAAAAGCTAGAGAAGTTCTATTGAATGAATTTGATGCTGTTAGATGTTATATTGAGGATATTCTTAATAGAAATTTAAGTCAGGAATGATATTGTTATGATTAATCTAAATATTAAACAAGTTCAAAATCTCAACCATTAGTATATTCATAATACAAAATTCATTAAGCTTCCATTAGAGTACTTTCTCTACTCAACTTTATTTTACATCTTTTAGACATATCCAATATTAATTGAATGAGTACACAACAAATAACAATTAATACAATTGAGAGTATAGTTGCAATAATTATTCGTTTTGATTGACTATCTTTAGTTTATAAACCTATGGTTATTATTTTGTTTTACCTAATAATGTATTTATTGTGGTTCCTTCCAAATAATTTGCAATTTCTAATAGAAACAACTATGAATTGTTTTCAACCTTTTTTAATTGCTATTCCGAGAATTGATCACTGGAAACTAGTTACAACACTTCAATATTATCAGTTTCTTCTATTGGTAATTGAATAGAGTAAGTTAAGACTAATATACATATTAAAATAAACATGTTAAATAATTTATGAACGTTTTTTGAGCAATAATTATATATAAAATAATTCATAATATTAATATTATCATTATTACTATAGAAAGTAGAGTACTAAATCCATCATTTTAACATAAATTACAATTTGTACCATTCCAAGAGGCAGAATAAAAAGTATTCTTTAAACAATTATCTTTTGTAAGAAAAGAAGTATCTAAAGCATCTTAACATTGTTCATTTTCCCATTAACAAATCTAAAAAGTGCCTGTCTGATCACCTCTTAAATAAGTGCATTTAGTTTTATCTGTTATTTCTATACAATAAGGTTCTGAACATTCCTCTTTCTCAGAATCCCATCTACAATTATATAGATCACATTTAGATTTTGAAATGATATTTGAACACTTATTTGGATCATAAGCTATACATTTACCAACATTATCCTCTATAATCCAATCACATACTTAACCATCTGCTTATTTTATAGCTGCCTAATTCTAAACTGAATCAGCTGTACATAAACCTTTATCTTCTATCTTATTGCAAACATAATATGTATTATCATCACCTTTCTCTATACACTCATACTTTCCATCTATTATATTGGTTCCTGCTACACATGTAGGCCATTTAGTTTCACATTACTGAGGGTCTTTGACATGATAATCGACACAATCAGAAAAAGGTCTGCAATTACCTACATCATTTATTGCACACCCAATGAAATCTATACATTCTTGTTCTGTCTTGCCATCAAAAGATTAACACTATATTGTATTGCAAGAAATATCACCCCATAAACATTATTTTATGCCAATATTACAATCCTCTTAGCTTTATAATTATTCACATGAACACACATGATCAACAAGTAATTAATTAGTTAATGCAATCAAGCAAATGAATATACCATAATTCATCAATTATTATTATTATTATTAATTAAAATTATAATATTAATTTAAATTTAGTATCACTCATTAAAAACTTTTATTTATCTCAATATATTCTTTTAACAAACTGGACAATTTACTTTATTTTAGGAACATTCCATACAGCAACTCAAATGAAAACATGGTTCATATATTATATTAGCCCTTCTTTCTTTACAAATGAAACATGATAATGTTTAATGATATTAAGAAACCAAGACATCTTTTATATTAATATCTTAATATAAAATTTTTTTTGCTGAATTATATAGGAAATATGATAGACTAGCAACCAATCCAATTTTTAATAGAATTGAAATTATGTTTGAAAAATAGAATTAGAAACGGAGATAAGGATAATCTTTAATCTCAGTTAATTTTCTAATTCTATAACACCTTAACACTTTAGTTTTTGGATTATGAATGAAATCACCAAAAATTAAATACTATTTGTTATACTATATAAATCTAATTATATTTATTACAGGAAGACCAGCTATTATCTCTCTCTTCATTAGGTTTAGATTAAACAATAATGCTCTATAAACACTCATCTCCTCCTAAAACATAATACGAGCTTTCTCTAAATTGAAACTAAACTGATTTAAAGCGTTAATTTAAACTTCCAAATCATAAGCATTTTTTAAACTGAAAATTGGTGAACGTTCTACTATATTGCTTGAAAAAAATGAATCTTAACCCTGTCTTAATTTTATTTATGATATTAGAAAAAAAGTCTTTAAATTTGGATTTGATTCACATAAACTCACTATTCTTTGGGGGGATCCTGCAATATACATTTAAGTGAAAAACTATAATCCATTCTATTCTTGATTTTACTTTTCAATCTTTTTAAATAAATAATTTATTGATGATCTCTCTCCTAATAAAGATTTGAATTTTAATAACTAATATTATTTAGTCCTTACTTATTTTACAGCAGACTTTGTGAAGTAATAAATCCCAACTATTGCTCCTACATAAAATATGGTTTTAGATTTCATTATAGAATAATAACTATAATAATTTATATAATGTCTAATAGTTAAGAAAGAGAACAAGAACTAAAGTAAATTCGCAAAGAAATGTTAAAAGATGCAGAAATGAATGCTCAAAAATAAAGATTTGGATTGTTTTCATCTCCTGTTCCTTTAGGATTAGGAGATGATAGTATGGAGATGAGAAAGAAACGTAATTCATGAGAATAAATTTGTTTAGCTTAAAGAGGAGAGAATGGGAAGCCCATAACAGAACCCTCTAATATTAAGGTTAGTGCTACTAGGACTGGCAGAATTAGATCTTCATATTTTGGACCTTTGAGTTTTACAACAGTCGGGGATCCATACATAGATCCAGAAAAAGTGTTAATACATTATGAGAAGGAGCAAAAGAAGCTATTCAATAAGGAGGCTCCCTTCAAACCTCCATCAGGTTATAAAGAATTGATTGGGAGTGCCTATTAGCACATGAAAGACTACGATTACAAAAAGGTGGAGAGTAGAAAATAATCGGATGGACGAGTGTATTCTGCACCACGCAATGTTACAACAAACCCAAGATGTAAGGTGATGGATAAATCGATTCCTTATATGACTGACGATTACAATAGATATAGTGACTTTGAGAGAGTATTTAAATTTTTAAGATAAAGAAAGCAAGAATGTAAAGTAAGAGCAAAGAAAAGGAGTAGCCATTTCGAAGTACTGTGCATGGAGGACCAACTTTTGAGAAAGATAAAAATTTATATGGAGAAACTAAGATGCCTTCTACAAGTTAGAGGAAATCCCCAGATCTAAAATAAGCAAAGCATGAATCAGCTTTTAGACCAGTAAATGGATTGAAGAAAGGTTTAGATGGATTATTTGGTCATTTTGAGTACAAGCCTGATCCAATGAAAGAGATTAAGAGATAGTTTAGTTCTAAGAAGGAGCGAGAAAGTTTTAAGTAATAGTAGAGTATAAAATAATAGACCTGCAGATTTGGGAAATAAGACAAGGCCTAATCCAACTATTTCTTGTTTTAAAATGAATATAAGGAGAGAGATGGCTGGACATTATTGATTATAGTATTTAATTTTATATAATATTTTTATATAATAAATATATACTTTAAGATTTAGATGGAAATAATGATAAAAATGACGTAGTATGCAATTATTTTTTTTATAATGATTTACATCATAATTATACTAATTCGCACTATTCGATTTCATAATATGAGAGTAGATTAGGCAAAATTAAAAGAGGAAAACGTAAATAAATTAACATGAACATTCTGAGTGAAATAAAGAAACAAGTAGAAATAGAAATGAAAAAGATTAAGACGGTACCAGTCTCTAATAAAACTATAACTTGTTAATAAAAGAAAGAATTAGTTGATTTGGTGAATCAAGGAATACTCTTGAAAGATGCAGCAAAATAATTAAACCTTACTTATCATGAGGCCAAAATAGTATACAATGAATAAAAGAGAAAATCTATGAATACTTAGAGTGAAACTGAATCTGCAGTCTATAACATGCGGACTGCTGGAGTTGGTGATCTGAAAGTGTTTCCAAGACACTTTCTATTGTAACAAAGAGTCAACAATACCTTGGTATCTGTTAGACGGCTATTTAATATATTAGTTTTGAACCCAAAATAATAATGACTTTTAATTTAATTTATAATACTACGTCATAAATTTATAAATGATCAATATCAAAACAGTTCCAAGGTTCCTTATTCTTTTTCCTTTTTAAGAGTTTCGAAATAGCCATAAATAATAGTTACAGATAAAAGTATTCCAGTTCCTAAAACATTTTTAAATAAAGAGTACCTGAACCAATTGCACCTAAGAAATCAGCCAAAATTGTAAGAGCTCCTATACACATTCCACCAAAGGAAGCAGCAATTGGAATGTATCTTTTGAGTACTTCCTTCATCGAAGAGTCTCTGTAACCCACTATTTACATGTCTTATTCTTTGAGTTATTTGGCAACCTAAAAAAAGATTTTACAGATTAAATACATCTTTTGGTGATGATCCAGACACATCAATCCAAGTCTTTGAGAAGACTGCACATGTTCCTAAAATGAATGCAGTATATAAAATAGTGTGGATAGGATCAAAAATGGCTTCAGAAATTGATCTGGGAGGTGAGACATAATAAACTAATCCACCAATAGGAACAGTTTATCCATTTTCTAATTCTTACCAATAACCAAGTAATCTAATTAAGAAATTGCCTCTGAAATTTCTATATAGGATTTGTGAAAGGAAGTAAAGATTAGAAACTAAAGCAGTTTAGAGAATGATTGGAATATTAGATGTATAGAACAATTTAATTGGATAAGATGTTAATCCTCCTCTAACTTTATTATTTTTGATTGGAATATCCACTTTAAATCCTTAAAAGTAGATAACAATCATGAAAACTAAGACAGTTGCTAATAAATTAGTGAGATTAGGTAGTGAATCTCTCATGATAGCTGATTAAATTGCAGTAATCTTATCATCTCTAATAAATAATCCATGGAATAGTGCAATAATTGCTCCCTCATATTCTAAACCAATTTCAGTTCTATGAGTAATTGGAGAGAATGCCTTCCACATTATATTCTCGCAAATGTTAATAGCAATAAATAAGGATGTTCCTGAATTTCCAATTCCATATCCTTTAGATAATAATTCATCAATCATAATCATTACAATAGCTGAGAAAACTAATTGAATAATGATCAATATAGCATTGCCTGCTCCCAATTTATCTAAATCACCATACATTCCAGACCAAACATATGCAAATGCTTCTCCAAAGGCAATTAAAATTCCTAACAATTTTTATGCTCCTGAATAAAGTTGCTTATCCTCCTTTACATTCTAATCAACATCAATTAATTTTGCACCTGCCAACAATTACATAATCATAGAAGCTGTAACCATTGGTGAAATACCCAATTCCATCAATGTTCCTCTATTTGATGCCAATATGACTCTGAGCCAATAGAAAGGATCTCCAGCAGATGCTTTGTAAATACCATAAAGAGGAATTTATGAACAAATTAAATACAAGAGAGTTGCAATAGCAGTCCATAAAGCTCTATATTTAAACAAAATCTAATTTTAAATATGAATAGTATATACTCTTCTTTCTGGTTCAGCCACATCCGGAATTATGGCCATTGCTGGTCTCATATAATTCAGGATCTTGGTTTTGCTTGGCATTAAAATTATTATTGAAACATGACCATTTTTCTTTTTATTTCACATCATTCACACGTGTGAATTATATTATTATGGACAATATTTAATAAAGAGAAACTTTAGGCTTATTTTTAAGATTCACCAGTATCTGTTAAATTCGTTGTGGAATCTTAAGTTCCAAAGATGATACACTTACTAAAGATAATCATCAATGTTTGGGTATATAATTAGTTATAATATGAATAGAGAAATGTACAATTCATATGATAGATTCTTTTAGAAAAATCCAAGATGCATACAAATGATAGAAATACATTTAAACAATACAAAATATCATTATTTAATAACTTCATCAAACTTTTAAGATAATTCTTATAGAATTGTATTTGAATATTGCATTGTGTACTTCCCACCTTTTTCAATTATAATTTTATGATCCATCAATTCCTTAAGATTATCATTCAATTACGATTTGCCAGATACTATCATTTCATCTGAAAGAGCATCATACAGATCTTAAAAATTCAATCCCTCAAATTTTATAAATATTATATATACATCTCTGCTTTCTAATACTCTTCCTGCAAAATAATAGACAATGCTTTTCTGTTTTTAAGTCATACTTGATAAAACATACCATAATCCTTCTTCTTGTTTCTATTTTCCCACTTAATCTTCAAAGATTTACAATATTTCCTAAAAATATGGTTTATTAGTGTGCACACACTAAAAGAATGCTCTTTCAATTTTACATATCATGGGATAGCGATAATTATCAAAACTACAAGCCATACGAACATTTGGACAATTACTTAATTATCCAAGTAATTTTTATGCTTGTTCATTCAATAAATGACGACCATCAATACTATGTGCAATAATAATGATTGAATGAGGAGTGTTCTCAATGCATTTTATGATTTATTCTGGATTTCTCACATGTGATTCTATTTTCAATACTTCACCCATCTTTTACAAGAACATCTTCATATTAACTAAAGGTTTGAATCCTTTCAAAACAAAAAAATACGATTATGGATTACTCCTATAACAAATTAAAATAGAAATACTTCATTAACTCTAACATTGCTTTTTCTAGTAATTCAATCTTACTCCCAATTCCAAATACTAAAACATTAAAATCATGATTGATTTCTAAAACAATATCTTTTGATCCAATAATATTTTCTTCAAATTTCTCTTTCACAGCTTAATCAGCTAATCTTGCTTACAATTTTGTTAAATCAAAGTCAGAACTATCAAATTTTGTGATTTCAGAAGTGTCTTTTATTTTCAAAGATGAAATATAATCCTTTAATTTACCATATCTCCTTTGATATTCTTCTCTTCCTTTTTCGTAAGTTTCTACCTACATTGAATACAAAGTGTATAATTAAATTACTTATAAATTTTGTAAATTGATAAAAAGAAAAACATTCAATATTATAATCCAAATACAAAGACAGCTTATTTGTTGATCCTTTATTTATAACATTGATTTAGAATATTATATATTTTAGATAATTTTTTACTTATCTTTGATAAATTTTAAAATCAGGTTTTTATATCTAATAATCAATTATCTACTATCTCATTATTTTACTAGATTTTCAGAATATTCATTACTCTGTTATGTCAATATTAAATCATCTTAATTCACTCATCAGTCACTTTTATATTATCAAATATTTATTCAATTTAATTTCAAAATTCATAATATCTTTCATAATCTAATGGGAAGCTTTTGTCTGTTTCCAAAGCTAAAATTACATTCTTTAAACAAATGTGATTCTTTTCTTTAGTATTTTTTATTTCTTAACACAAGCAGCCTTTGAAAATTTTGATGTGTTAAAGTGAATTTTTTTTAAGATCTAGATCACCTAGATGTTTCTTACTCTCTTCCAAATTATCCATATAAAAAGATCACTAAGAAGGAAAGGTTAGCTATCACAAATTTGTTTAATTATTTATACAGATTGATTTTACATATACAAAAATGGCTAGTCATACAATCAGGTATGTAATGAAGTGATAGTTAAAAGCAAAGACATGGAGACTGACAAATACTTTTTAATTGATAATGTAACTGCAGAAGTAAAACAGATCAATAAGAACGGTGACTATATTAAAAAGTTTAACATTGAACTAACTGGCAAGGCAAATTACAGTGAAAGAGTAGCCAAGGCATAAGGCGTAAATTGCAATTTATCAATTTAGGATTAAGCATATATGCCATACAGCACTAAAGTTTTATAAACTAAGCCCAATCTTTATACTCCTTAAACAGACAAGTTTGATGGTTATGCACAACTACCTCGCACTTTGTAAGAACCCTACATAAACAACACTCGCAAAAGACCCAAAACTACAATAGAAGCCACGAAGTACTTACTTGAAGGGAAAGAAAAAAATAAAAAGTACTTGATAGGCAAATAATTATAACATATAACTGGCACTATTCATGATTACTTCAAGGCCAAGAAGGAAGGCAAAATAGAGATCTTAAAAATGAGGACTGAAACCAAAATGTAGGATTTCGTATCAGGAGGTTCTGTTAAAATCATTAATGGTCGTGAATTGACTCAACCCTAAGTTTTGCATGATCCTCCAGAGAAAAGAGCCTAATCAGCCTCTAGAATCAAGTGTGATACTATACCACATACAGCTGAGACAAGGGCATAGACAAGTCAATAGTCAAGAGTGATTGTCCCTCTAGAAGAGTAAAAATTGAAATCTATGTAATCTTATGGGACATTGAATTAAGAATTATAAAATGCAGAATCTAAAGCTTTATTTTAGAGTAGAACATACAATCAAACCTCTTAATCGAAAAGAAGTCAGAATGTGATAGACTAAAATGTTTAGTTATACAACATACCACATTTTTAAGAAAGATTGGATATTTTTAAGAAAGAAATCTAGAGTTTCACTTTACCTCAACCAAAGGAGATCAAATAGATTACATCTAAAGGAAGATTTAATTGTCATTTAGCTGATAACTAAGAACATTATGTATAAGATCGTTTGATGATGAAATTATGTATTTTTTTATTTTTCACAAAGTTCAACCTGAATAATTTAAGTCAAATGAAAGTCCAAAAAAACAGGAAATGGAAAAATAAAGAAGGATTTTGGCTAAAATGAAAGAGGCTGATATGTTGACTAGAAATTTAAAATTGAAGTTGTGAATTACTATTCTAGAAAATATAATTTAGAAACACGACATGTGTTTTTAATAAATAAAATAATTATGTCATTTTTCGGAAAAGTCTTCCTTCTCACAGCTCTTGCTGGTTACAGTTACCTCCTCCTCACAGATGCTACTTTAGGAAAACAATTCGATACCAAATATGCTAATTTCTAACAATAAGCATTGGTCAAGCAAGTATTTGAATTCAATTACATATTCAAGTATATTCCAGCTGATGTCTTCTAGCATGTCCCAGCCCTTTTAGCTAAACAAATTGTTGGAGGCCTTTTGACAAGCACTGTCCTACTTTTTATCTGTGGAGGGTATTAAACACAAGTTAATTTTTAAGTTTCGTCGTTTTTCCTGTCCTTGGTTTATTACTTCAAATTGTCATCTAAAGTAATCCATTATTCAGCAATGATCATGTCACATAAGTTGAATGCTTTAAGCTAACTGCTTTGATTGGAGGATTATTAATTTGGGCTTCATCCAATTGTTGTTCTAAATAGGCAACTAAAGCAAAAACAGAGTGATAAAATAACATTATGATATATATCATTAAAAGTCTTCTAATTTCGGATGAACATATTTATCCCAATCCTTAGGTCTCTCTATTTTACTTTCTCCTTCTAACCATTTTTTTCTTATCCCATTCTCCCAAACTCCGACTTAACTCTGTCCATCGTTTAACATATACCTTCCTATTCCATGTTGCTTCCCTTATAACCAATATCCTTCATAGCATCGACCATCATTCCATTTATACACTCCAAATCCATGTTTCTTATCATTTAAGTACTCCCCATCATAATTCCTTCCGTCTGGCCAATAGTAAATGCCCCTTCCATTCATTTGATTATGCTACCAAAACCCTTCATAGCGCTTTGTATGAACTAATCATCTTACCCTCCCATCAGGCCAAATATAAACTCCAAAACCATTTAATTTGTTATCATTCCACATTCCTTTATAAGTAGAGCCATCAGCCCATTAATAGGCTCCGAAACCTTACTTCTTTCCTTATCTATATTGACCTTCATATTTCGAATTATCTGCCCAAAATTCTCTACCCTATCCATGTTGCAAATCTTCAAGCCATTCCCCGTCAAATTAAGCTCCATCAGCATGGATATACTTACCAACACCATTTGCTCTATCATTTTTCCATTCACCTTCATAATAGTCTCCATCCACATGCCAAAACTTACCTCTGCCATTAGCTTAATTAGCTTTCCATTCACCTTCATATTTTGCTCCATCAGACCATATTTGAATTCCAAAACCATCTCTCATATTTCCTATCCATTCTCCCTCATAAATTGCTCCACTCTTAAACACATATTTAGGCCTCTTCTCTCTAGGACCTTGCTTATTGACCTCATCTTAATTCAAATCTTCTTAATTTCTTTTATCCATTCCGTCTTTTTTAAAGATGCTGGGATCATTTTAAGATTCTTGGGTCAGTTATGGTTATTGTATTTGAGCACTGAAAGTAACTAATTAGGTTGGGGCTATAGCTGGAGTCACGATAGGAGTTGGAATTGGGGCTTCTGATTAATACTTTTATTCTAAGTTTGTATTTTTCCTCAACTCTATTCCTTTGCTCACTAATTATTCTCATGGATTACATGAACTTTCATCATTTTCTTCTTCAGGTGGTTACTAAGAATACTGATTCATATTTTAAGAGCTCTGCTGTCTGATCTCTGATAAAACTACTACCTATTCTTCTCTTTTCTAACAAGTCTAACACTATGAGCATTAACTACCCATTTTTAATTATAAAAATTTATATTATTATCTAAAATCTTGTTGACCTGATAGTATTTATGAACCTATAAGCAAATATTTCTGGTGTTTAAGTAAAGATATTGAAATTATGATGCATTGCTAAAAGCTTTCTCTGCCATTTTGACAAATGATAGCTAATAATAGATTGTTGTATCTTCTTGGGAAGGGAAAGCATTCGAAGGTATGGTATATCCATTAATCTACTCACATTTCTTTAATACTCTCCCCAATCAATCTTCATTCATTATTGATAGTGAATAATCAAGCAAGTAAGTATTTTGAAAAACTCATAATCTTGAAATAAATCTAATTCCAAAAAAAAATGACTTTGTATCAATCAATCCTGTTCCACTACTCTAACTTATCGAAATCCACAACTTTCATAGTGATTTTAGAAAGATCCATATATTTTAGTTTTCCCTTCAGTGCATCTCCTTTTCGTTTCATATCCTTAATCGATTTTCTATTTTTACTCACGTGATGAAAATATTTTGGCATTCATTATCTAAAACTATTTAATTCCCAATCAGCTATACTTTTCAGAATCCATTTATTTTCATAACTGAAGAAAAAGATCCCAAAATTTACTTTCATCCTTATTAATCATATTTTCAATTAGTTCAGCATTCTTTTCTAACGAGAAATAATCAGAAGCATCAATGTCCGAATTGTCAGATTTATAAACCTAAAATTCAACTGATTTAATTACAGAATAAAAGTTTGAGAGACAAGGCAAACATCTAAGGGCTAGTTCTTTTGACGTGTTACATTTCTTTAACATAAAATTAAATTCCTTGCATAGTGCTTAATTATTGAGTTTATATTTATCTAGAGTCCATACTATAGTAATTTATTCTTCACTCAAAGTTTCTCTAATGAGATGAGCATTTAATTTAATATCCTAATTTTGTTGCCCTAGCCTAAATTATCAATTGTAATATTCCATCAATATCAGTTCTTACAACTGAAAATTGTCTAAAAATTTTTCAATGCAATTGAAATATTAAATAATCCTTGCTTAAACATTTCAAATTTGAAATATTCTAATGGATTTCTAAACATCAATAAATTGTTTATCCACATAGATAATTTAAGCCTCTTTTTTGAGCTATTGATAAAATGTTTTATGAACCATATTAACTAACTTTTGTAAAAAGGAACATGTCAGTGTAAGCATCACTATATTTTAGCAGGTTAATACGACGGATGTTCTCTTATTTAAATGAAAGCTCTAATCATGATGAGAAGTGATAGAAATATTGTTGAGATGATGTATATGATAAGCAAAGACTTTTTTAGATTCTAAAATTATCATCATTTGGTTAGATCTAATAGAATTATAATATTGTGTATAGGGCTGATATGATATTATATGATATGATATACATAATTTGAAATACATAATGAGCCAAAGGCAAATATTTCCTTTCTAAGATTATTTTTTGATGCATCTTTCTCCAAGTTTTGGTTGTTCCCTTTTATATTTATGGCTGAAAAACAAACAAAAGAATATGAACACTAAACAGAAAGAATGAAGAAATATCATAAATTTTGCATTCACTTTCAATACTTATGTAATTTCTCATCTTACATAATTGTATAGATTACTTCATGGTAAAACAATATTCAAAATTGTGAATAAATTAACCTAAAAACCATAGGTCTGTGTAAAATCAACCCATTGGCAATAGAATGATTCATTTAAATTTTTCTCTGTATTAAGGGGAGTATTAACATCAAGACTTGCCCATAGATTGAAGTACTCAATTATGAAAATCTCAAAGCAACAAAATGTCTCCTGAAGATTTAAGCCCAGTTTTCCATGCCAAAATTAGGAAAAATAATTAAAAAGCTGCAAACCACATCTCTTTTGATTAGAAATATAAGGCATAAGATGCCTTAAAACCATAAAATATATTTTTTATTTTTAATTCTATTTCAGAAATTTATTGAATCTATAGTAATTAATACATGATCAAATTTAAGGTATACTAGATCATCGTTTATCGATCGTTATACTATTTGAATTTTATTTGATTTTTAATTCAGTTCATCTATTCTAATATTTTTTAATGGTATTTCTTGTATTACAAGGCTAAAATTTATGATTTATTTTTTTTTAATTAGATTTTACTCATAATTTTAATAAATATTATTTTTTACAGATCAGAAAGAAAATTTTATATTCATACCTAAATTACTCTGATGGATTTCTTTTACATTATATTTTTATATTCTTTTTTTAATTATTTTTATAGCTAGTAATAATCAATCTATTGTTTATTCATGTAAATAACTATTAAACTCATGAAGAGCATGAATTTATCTTGATATTAATAGATAAATAGTTTCTTCATTCGTTTTTGGAATAATCCAATTTGCAACTTATCTAGCTTATATTTCTACTTAGCAAAATCAAATATTAAGGATTGATTATTCATTTAACACTAGACTTAATCTAATTTCTTTATTATTTAATATCTTAGTTTTTTTCCTTAGGCTGAACATATAGAATTTTTAATATTATTTCTTAAATTGGCTTCATTACTTGCTAAATGGTATTTTATAAAATTAATGACAAGGACCAATATTAGAATCACATTCAATCTCTTTATTATTGCCATTTTAATTGCTTAATAAAATCCATAATCTGCTATCTTAGAGACAATATATTTAATCGCTATTATTATATCAGTATCATTCTCTTATAAATTATTCCTATATGAGTATCATCCATAGATATGACTACTCTTTTTTTTGTTAATTTTAGACATCACATAGTTTGATTAAATTTCTCTTGCAAATTAACTTTTCTGCCTTTCTTCTGATATCATAACTTTCATTTTATGCTGAATCTGGTCCTTTATGATCATTTCAATTAATAGTTTATTTCAAATTTGCTTTGAAATGCATAGAAGGCATATTTGATGATATTATTATTATTAATAAATTAATTACATGTCCGGATAAAGACAAGAGATAGAATAGATGAAGTAAGGTTCCAAATTAGCTAAATCAAACAAATAAACATTAAAAAGAACAGGGACGATTTTATCTGAGAAAACTAGTTCTTTTGAAGATAGTCGAGTAACCTTGTTACTTTTTGAAAAATACCGTATTGTAGAGATGACTAGATTTTGTGTTATATTTGCATGCTAAATACTAGCTATCTTATAGGTATACATCTAATCCTATAGTTTTCTCTTTTTTCAGTATGAAAGCTCTTTTCAGGATCAATTCGAACAGACTTTTGACAGTGAGACAACTCTGCTCCTTTACCTAATTTTCTTTTAGACAATCGTGGCAAGTAAATTGTATATTTGTCATAGTCACTCTTACTTTAACCTCCTATTAAGTTCTATTAGCTTACCAAAAAAAGGCTATGATGGTTACCCCATAGGCTAGTCTTCTAGACTCCAATCTTATATATGGCCTTATAATCGAAGTACTATTGATGATCCCTTCTCCTACTCCTTTTACATAGAGAATAAAGGTTCCATTTCATGAACGTTACACAGATACTCCACGCTACTATTATGTGAATGAAATTCTAACATACATTCTTACTTGCCGAGTGGTCTTATTAATCAATATTGCACTCAAATTTTAAGCATTTTACAATAGTTAAATTGGAAGATTATGGTTAACTACTTTCATTCTATTTTTAGCCGACTCTATTCCACAGATTTCGATACACATTTAGTATTCAAAATATGCATGAAGGACATCCCTGGGTTTACATTGATGGGTCTATTTGGTGCTGGAATGCTGTTATTTGGATATAGCATGGAAATTGCAGAAAGAGCTCTTCTACGTGATGAAACTTCATTTAGTGATTACAATGTAGGCAAATCACTTTGGGTCACTCTTATAACTATTGCTACTGTTGGTTATGGTGATTTCTATCCAACTACAGATTTAGGTAGAATATCAATGGCTGTTTGTGTTTTTTGGGGTGTTTCTAATACTTCTCTTTTTACTGCCATGCTCTACTCGATGTTGTAAGCAGAGACCAGTGAAGAATTAGTTTGGGCATTGCTTGAAAAAGCAAATGTGAGGAACATAATGAAGGCTTGTAGTTAATATTTGTTTGTCAGGATACAAAGACTAAAACTTAAAGCTTAGAATTAAAACACCAATGATAAAAGTCATCTTAAAGAATAAGTAGAGTTGATTCAAGAAACTTTAAAAGCAATTAGTTAAATGAAAAGATAATACAGAGATATTGATGGAGAAGCTACTATGGTGATGGCAAAGAGGAAGTTCAAAGATATCAACAACATGTTTGAAGAACATCTTTCTATTTTGAAAGAATCTAAACGATTGCAAGTTCTCTCAAGCATCAATTACTAATATTGTTATGAATCTAATGTTAATTCAGGTACAAAAAACAAACAAAGCTCCCCACACATTTAAACTTATCAAACTGATGACAAGTAAAGCAAGGACGAAGCCTTTTTTGCCAATTTGTAAGATAATGAATCCAATCTACTATTAATGGACTTTCGTGATTGACTATAATTTATTGAAGAATTATGAAAAATATCTTATTTCTTATTAATAATATAATTTTATTTATGATATATAGGGCAAATTATTTTGGGGTTAAATAAAAATTCAGTTATGTTTAATTATATGAGATTTAATTAAATATAAAAGAACCACATTTCTTTTAAAATATATTAATTATGTATCATACAATAAATTTAAGAATTTCAAATATTTTTTACATCTATTTTCAATAAATCTTAGATCTTTATAAAAAAAAAAGTGGTGAAAAAGTTAATACAATTAATTACTAATAATACTAAACTCAAGTATTTTGTATTTTGAGTCAAAAAAAAGTATTTTTTAAATTTAAACAAATTGTTGTGAAAATAATCTAGACTATTTTAAATTAATCACCTGGTATCATTTATTATTCAATTTATGTGTTTGATAAGTTTAGACAATACTCTAGATGATGGTAGGTTGTACAAGATAGATCCTAGAAATTGAACAACCATCAGCTTATTTTAAGATTTAATTACTTATATAAAGAATTTCATTAATGCTCTACAGATTGAGTCATTTATTTATAGAAGAATAATTTTAGATTGAAGATAATTTATGCAATAAATTTGTGATTTCAAATATCTTGTAATTCATGCTTATATCATAAAAAGGCTTCATAATAAATTTTAGCTTTCCCTACCTAAATACAACTAAAACAATATATGAAAACAATTTCATTATCTTAATAATATTAATAATTATAATAATAATAATAATAATAATAATAATAAAATGAACATTAAAAATTACTCTAGTCACCTTGTCACTAGGCTTTTCATATTTAGCATTAATTAATAGAATTTTAAATTCAAATTATCAATCTTCTCACAAACGTAATCTTACTAAAACTATAACAAGAAGATTTAGGAAAAAGATAGTAAATTACTATCGAATTCTTCTTCAAATCATTCAAATTCCTTGTTTAAATCAGGATCATGCATAATTAATTGGCTAAAAGTCTATTTATCACAACAATTAGCTTTTTTCCAAGCTAGTCTGAACATTTTGAAATTACTTTATCATCGTCTGCCTCTTTCACTCAATTGAAAGAATTACTCTCTAATTTCTATCTGTTATATTCTGATTCCAGTTTATTCATATTCCATATCACTTAAGGCTTATGACTATTTTTGAGCTCATTTCTAAATCTCCATACTTATTCAGATGTAGATTCCAAGATTGCAATTGGTTTGAAAGTGATTCTTCCATTTTACTGATTCCCTCACTAGGGATGAAATTTGTAGTGAGCAATCAAGTTAAGACTCAAAACCAACATAAGAGCCATTGATTTTAGTGGCAAAATTTCTTTAAACCCAGGTAAGTAGTGTGACTCAATCAACTTAATGAAGTGACTAATGACCATAAT